CATAACTAATAAAAAGTTTTCCCGAGTGCTGTTTCGCTGCCAGTTGAGCAATGATGGCCTGCCTTGGCCCGTGTGGCGATGCAACCACAGAGTTGCAGTGCAGATTGCCGTTTCCCTCGTCCTTGCTCTTCTGAGCAGTGAACTGTGCAAGATGTTTAATCGTTGCTGCGTGTTGGATGGGCGACAGTCAACCACAGGCGAACCGCAGAGGATGATGGGACTCTGTGCTGCAATGAATCTGCCTCAATCCGGTGTCAATTCCTGCCACTAGTAACGATGCATCTGTTCGTTTTTCCACATTTCTTTGCTAAATGAAACGCCTCGATTCCCTTCATTCTCTATTCGTTCGATTAAGGTTCCAGGGCTCAAGTCTTTGATGCACTTTCAATAATGCGCGTCTTGGCCCCCGAAAATGATGCTGATAGACCTCCATAAAATGACAGAGATGGGCAAATGAAAGCACCTGGCCATCTTCCTGTGACGGCAAAACCTCCCCGGCTTGTGTGTCGACAGGGGGCTCCCGGTCGTAGTGCTGGCTCTTGGCCGACTGGAAGCGGCCCGCATCCCAGCGAGGCGCTTCCCCCCTGTTCCGCATCGTCACATCTCAGAAAAGATGCATGCTGATATTAAAAACCCTAGCGTCGTCCTAAAAAAGTGACCAGTCAACGGACAGCCTGGCCATTTTGGTGGCAAGGGCTTGTACAGGTGGCAAGGGTAGCATCGAAGATCAACGCAGTGGCGGCGGGTTTCCGCACACAGAGCTCCTGAGGACGTGTCCATTCAGTGCCAACGGTTGGAAGAAAGGTGCGGATAGATTTTCGGTTCTATCAGGTGGCAGTCCCGTTACCTATGCGGTGATATGTATTTGTAGATGGTGATGCCTTGAGAAATCAAGGGCTTGCAATGCCGTGCCTCGAGCCGACTCGAGGAAAAGCACCGTTAGAATAGTTTCTAGAAGGGCATACATAGTGCGTGCTTGTTGCCCGGTTTCGCATCTTGACGGACTACATTAGCGACGAATAGTTTTTGGGGCGCCAGCCGCACAACAAGATATAATAAGACGCAACATCAGTAGCTTGGCTCGTCAGTGTGCACAGAGTATAGGGCTGAGTGGATGGAAGTGATTAATGCTGATTATGTTGGCCGTGCTGGTCTGGTACCAATGTCACTGAAAAGGTGCCATGAGCCATAAGCGTGGGGCGATGTAATTGATGGAGAGATGTTGTAATTGACCCGTGGTGGGCGAATAGGATAACCAGTTTGCGCCTGGTCGACCGATGAAGTCAAGGCGGTGACGGAGTCTAGAAGCAGGCGAGGCATGAATAGAAGGTGATTCTGAAGCATCATGGCACGTTTTGTAGCCATCCTGAGTTTCATGTTGAATAGCGTCGACAAGGACGAGAGCTTCGTCGTTTCTATACCGTTCGTGAATTGATCTTTGTTGGGGTAGCCTGCAGGGTCGTTTCGGTTATTCTAGTGCAATGTAGGCCGCCACGGTACCATTATCGGTGCCTGCAGCTCAATCCATCAGTCCGGAGGATTTATTCGCAACGCGAAGCACGTACAGTATCGGCTTGTCAAGGCTAGTTGGATCCTTGGTCGGACGTTGTACTTGATGGCCAGCATTCTTACGTCGTACGCTGCGCAGCGTACCGTGCACCACCAAACACTGACTGGTGCTACTAGCAACCGGCTTGGGACGGGACAGAAACCCCATCAGTCTCTCAGATGTATCCTATCATCTTGGGAACTACTAGAGGAGTAGTTAGTGTTGCAGCGGTGTTTGCTGTCCACCGCCGTCGTTCAGGTGGTAGGATGGACCAGGTGAAGATAGGTAGAAGGCCCGCCTCCCAAGCTCACCGCAGAGATATGGACGGGCTGGCCCGTGTGTCAGATGCTACTGGGTCCGGAAAGTTGCTCCTTGTGGTCAGCCGGACGGAGGGCAGGACGGGCAGTACAGTACGAGGACGTAGGGGAGAACTGGCAGAAGGCCCGCTAACTGGGTGAACCCATGGTGTGGACAATGTGTGCGTTGGGTAGAGGCTGGTGTAGTTTTTGCCCTCTACGGGTTATGAGGATGTTTGCTGTCGTTTTCTGACTTGTCAAATGCAGCAAGATTTGTGCATGTCGGTGTGCATTGGCGCGTTTGCATTGGTGTACTCCGTACTCCGTGCGTGCGTACTGGCTGCATCCCACGCACTGGCTTGCATAAAAGTGCAGTGCTAGGGGATCTGCCACATGGCGGAACTGGAGCCGCCTCCTGGGTAATGGGGACATGTTGGTCATAGGCCCAAACTCTCCAGCCACGAGTCAACAGAAACGAGCGAGGCTAAATTTGGCATGGCGCAGCCCAGCCCCGCGAGCAGGACTAATGAAACAACACCAGCGCCCGCGGTTCTTTCGTTCCTTGAACTTCCAGCTCTTCCGCTCCTATTACGGAGTATACTGATACAAACAGACTGCTTCCTCTCTGTTGGCGGAATGCTCTACGAGTTAGCGTGCTCTTGTATCACATATTTGCTGGCAGGGTACGGATGAACTACCTACACAGGTAGGTCGGAGCCGGGTTGGATGGCGTCTCGCACGGCACTAGCGATGACTAGTAGGGCGCTAACTGGGCTCCGTTGGGATGGTTGGTCTTGACTCTTGAGTTTCTTTGTTTCCTTTCTCATGTTTTTAACTACGTGCCTAAACTAGTTACTGGTAGTAACTACTGGTCAGTCAGTTGTCAATCAAAACTTCTTGGCATGTGCACGGCTGGGATAGTTACTGGGCGTGGTAATATTTGACCTGACAGGTTGTGCGAATTAATCGCGGAAAAACGGGTTAATTAACGAGGTAATTAATACTTCTTTGTTAATTAACAAGGTACCTAGTAGTAGGCATGGTGTCAAGGCGTCTTACGGGCCCAGGGGACTGGTTCTGGGGGAAACTCAATCTCCTGGGTGGTGCACACCAGTGGTTTGGAGGGGATGTGCACTCTGGTGTGGTTGGTGCGCAGGGCGCCGAGCCTCTGTAATCTCTGGAATGTGAGCGACCCAGCAGCCAGGTCGACCCTGCAGGCCAAGCTGCAAGCCAGCTGCAGGTTGAAGCAAACATGCCCACACACAAATGAGAAAGTGGCATAAAATAATTGATCAGTGTATTTGTATGCAGGAAATGAGAGAATTTGTTTTATTCATCCCCCCTTGAGACCCTTGTTGGAGCCACCACATCTCATCGAGGTACCACTAGCTACCATGCCCCGACATTGAGACAACAGCTGAGTGCCAGTGGGCGGACACGGGAAAAGTAAGCTACGACCAAGGGGGCAGCGTCGCCGGGGGACGCAGATGAGGATATTCAGAGAGATGCAGGCTTACGGTGGTGACTTGCAAGAGACTAAGCTGCTAGATACTTGGGGGGTAGAGTTTGAACAGTTGGAGTTTGTACAGTTGGAGTTTGTACAGTTGGAGTTTGTACAGTTGGAGTTTGTACAGCGGCAGAGTGTGTAGTACAAATTGTAATATATTAACTCGGACGAGCAGCTGTGCGCCGTGTCGCTCCCGCGCGTTGGTGGCAGTCAAACATTTTCCTCCAGAGGTCACGAAGTACGGACACTGTAAATCTGTATCCGTACCTCTGGTGATCTTGCGAATGGTGCTCCCCACAGCACCCACCCTCTCGTCTTTAGCGTCTTCTTAAGGCGATACCCGTCCCAAGAATGATCCACTGGGGAGAAGGCGACAGGTGGTTGACGGTGGTGTGGTGGACCTCGACAAGGATTCTGTAGCTCAGCTGCAGCCCCACAGCTCCAGTCCGGACAAAAATAATGTCGAGAAAAATAAAATAAGAAAAGGAAAGAGGAGGAAGGAAAAAGGGAACCGAAAAATTAACCCGCTAGCGCTCTGGGCCCGGGCCCAGCACGCACTGTAGTTGGATGTACCTGCCTGTCCCAAGAAACGTCCCTCCTCCCCCCTGCCCACTTTCCAGACTCTCGGGCCCCCCCCTCTCCCGACGCTCTGGGGCCTTGCTTGGCCTTGCCTTGCCTCACGAGCCGCCAGCATTTGCACCAAAGTCACCACGTCCAGCCAGTCCATATTTTTCTCCCTCACCAACTAACTGTACACCTCACCTCTCGTGCCATCTTGTACCTTCTGACGACCTAGATACCTACACTCGAGGCTAAGGTAGCAGGTGACAAGAAATACCTGCACTCTGCTGGCCTCACCAGACCCCGAGGCCTGTACCACCACACAAACCCACGCACACACACCAACCAAACCGGCCAAACCACCTCAGGTACCACGGTACCACGACATCCCCCCAGTCTCACGCTGCCTCTCTTCTCTTGCCCACTCGCTGCTCAACTCTGATTCTTTCCGTACACACTCTCTCGCCCGCCTTCGCCCTCGCCCTCGCCCTCGCCCTCGCCGTTGCCACTCCTACATCTCGGCTACACTCCCCCGTTCTCCTCCCGCGTCTTGCAACGCCTCTCCTGTATCGCCTTCGCCATCCTCTTGGCCTTTGGGTCTCGTTCCCGTCTCTGCTTGACGTGGTGCCCTCCGTTGCTGGCCTTCTCTTCGTCTAACCCCTACCCTTCCTCTACTTTTTTTGCTTTTCCTTCCCTTTTCCCTCGACTCGACCTTTCTCCCCGTCGCTCTCGTCCCGTCTCGTCGCTACCGCTTTATTGCCCGGTGTGACTTGCTTTTGCAACCGGCCAGTATTACTGTCTCCGGCCTCAACTCGCCCCTACGCCATAGCATCCATCAGCCACGTCTTTCATCACATCTCGAGGTGAACATTCATCCCCCTACAACATCTTGCCAATATATGCATCGAAAGACGCCTCCCGCCGCGCCGCTCAACGCTTGAATCATCCCGTGTCGAATCGCCGCCTCACTATCGCCCTCTCTTTATCAGCCTTCCCCCTCCCCACGCTCTCGCTAGCTCATATCAAGCCCGTAACGGGCCTTGGCCGGTCCTGACCTCCTCTTTCGCCCTCCTCTTTCGCCGTCAGCATGGCGTCTTCCGTCCCAAAGTCGTCGACACTCGTGTCCAACACTGAGGACTGCCAGCGCATACATCGCATCACTAGAGAGAACCGCAGTCTATGGTATCAATTGAGAGTCCTCCAGCAGCCTGAGCGTGCTCGAGCATGTGGTGCTGGCATGAAGGCTAATAGCGACCGCCGTCCCGTGGATCCTCCGCCTGTTGTTGAACTGCGCATTATCGAAGGCCCTTCGGTTGAAACAGGCAAGGATATTACTTTCGACTACAACGCCAACTTCTTTCTCTATGCCAGTCTCGAGCAGGCCCGTCCCATGGCCCACGGTCGTGTCCAGACGCCAGCCACCCTCAACCCTCCCATTCTTACCGGTGTTCCAGCCTCCGGCATGGCCTATCTCGACAGACCGAACGAGGCCGGCTATTTCATCTTTCCGGATCTCTCTGTCCGCCATGAAGGCTACTTTCGCCTCTCATTTAGTCTTTTTGAGACAACCAAAGAGGAAAAGGACTTTGATCTTGAGCCGGCCTCTGACATGCCTCCAGGCGTCGACTGGCGTATGGAGATCAAGACAAAACCCTTTAACGTCTTCAGCGCCAAAAAGTTTCCTGGCCTGATGGAGAGCACCACTCTAAGTAAGATCGTTGCCGACCAAGGTTGCCGAGTCCGCATTCGTCGCGATGTTCGCATGAGAAAACGTGATGCCAAGCCTGCCGCTTCCAGTGACTCCAGAGAGGAAGCATATCGCAAGCCTGCTCCTGTTCCTAGCAAAAACAATAACAGCAACCCTCGCCACAGGTCCATCAGCAATGCAAGCGAACATCGCCCTCAGTATCCAATCGAGCCCGAGCGACGCCCCTCTGCCGCCGAATCTCATTCCTCTCACACAACCCACCCGACCGCCTATGAGCACTCGGCCCCCCCAGCACGCCATCTTTCCTTTGGCAGCGACGCGCCGTTGCAACCACGCGCACCGCCTTCTCTGCCTCCAACGAATCATCACCCGATTGCACCACGGCCACAGTCGAGCCACATATCACCGTTGGCAGGACCGGGACCGCAACATGCCCTCCCGTCACCGTCTTATCCGGAGTCGGACCGTGCTTACAGGAATTCTTCTACGCCTCGCCCATGTCCGTCACCAGCGCTATCCGGAAAACTGGATGCCTACGAACCGAGACCGAGTTTCAGTCACATCCCGCCTTCGCCGTCCTCCTTCTCTTCCATCGATTACCATTCCAGACGCGGCTCGTATGCCCCTACTCACCCACCTACGCCAACCCACCACCCACGGCGGCCTTTGCTTCCTCAACCGTCCCCTTCATGTGGACGCCTCGGCATTTCTTCGCTCGTGTCGCTGCCACCAATTGAAGCCCAGACGGAGCTGCCTCCTCGCCCGCCTAACATTCCCACCGGCGGGAAGCGCAAACACGAAATTGTCTTTCATCAGACTTCGGAATCCTTGCACAACGGCCAGCGTGAAGTCGACCTTCACTACCGTTCTAACTCGCGCGTTTACCTCGAGCCTGGGCAATGCATGTATTCGAGGGCTGATGGCAAAATCAGCTACGTTCAATTCAACTCTTACCAATAGAGTGTGAAACAGCCAGCCAACTAGCACTTTGACCAGCCCCCCTCATATTGCGGCCTAGGCTGTATAACTTGATGCTTATTTCGATGCCTTTTGCGCATACGAATAACGAGTATGCTATCTTCGACCAAGGGCTCATCTTGTCGAGCAACGACTCTCGTCTTTTCCTTTATCGGCGTCATGGTCTCGGATATGGTACCGGAAATCAGCCCTACTTTTTATCGTTTTCTTGGCGCAGGGTCCTTGCTTAGCAATTTGACGAAACCATCTTTTTTGTATCCATGGCTTTAAAAAGAAGCCTCCACCCCTTATCAACGATTTCTTTGCGCTTATCTCATACTCGGTCACGGCGTTCTTGGGTGGTCTCCTTTTCATTCACCCGACATCTGCGATTTTCTACAGGGACGGAAAGGGACTGGGCGACGCAGTTCAAGGTAATCTACCTCACTTCGGCGTCCCACATTCCAAATCAATCTTTCTTTCTTGTGATGGGAAGGATTTCAAGGGCGGACATTTTATTCTTGAGCAGGCAGCGAACTTGCTTTATAATCTTTTTGAACGGCACTCTTGGGAAGAAAAGGGTTTATGTCGAATGATAGGAATTGTTCTTATTTTGGTTCAAACAATGGCTTTTTTTGGACATGTATCGGAGGCTGGTTTACCTGTGTTTTTATATATCTTTACTCTTGACAAAGCAATCTCAATTGCTCGTCTTCGGACGCAATCATCACGGCAATATCATTACGTCTTATCATTAAGCCAAAGATCTTTGAAGTTGAGAATACGCAATTCCTAAATTTGTATCGCATCTCCCGCAGTCATGCTTTGGATTCCTGCTAAGAGTCACCATTACGCAAGTTTGACTCGTAGGTTGCCCGGATCTCGCCGTCGAGTGTCAAGATCCTGTCGACGTCGAGCGCGGCAAACTCGTCCTGATTCCTGAGGGCCAGGTCAAAGTGGCGCATCGCGAGCAGCAGCTGCGCTGCCCAGACATTTTCGTTGACCCGTCCGACGCCCGTCGCCAGCGGCGTCATGAGCACGGAGGCGATGCGGTCCTCGTCGGCGGCGGCGCGGTTGTGCGCGTCCACCGCGCAGAGCATGCTCCACACGCAGCGGTAGACAATTTCCTTGTCCCAGGTGACGTTTTCCGGGACGCGCATGGTCGGACAGAGCAGGAGGCATCGGACGCCCCAGACGTTGCGCGACGCCGACGAGGAGCCGGGGGCCGCCCAGGACGCGGGGAGACCCACGAGGGTGCAGGAGCCCGGGTTCGCGTAGCCGCGACGCTCGCGCCAGAGGACGGCCTGGGCGGCGCGGGTCAGGGCGTGGTAGTCGTCGGCGGGGGCGAGGGCGCGCGAGAGGGCGTCGTCGAAGGCGCCGTCGAGGCGGCCGTAGGCGTTGGCGGGCGAGACGACGGCGTCGAGACGCACGGAGGCGGGGAGCTGCGCGAGGGCGCAGTCGTGGATGGAGACGGAACGGACGAGGGACGGCGGTGGCGGGGAGTGCTCGGCGGCGCGCAGGTACGCGGCGCGGTCCTTGTCGTGCATGCAGAGGAGGTGGATGGTGAGTGCGGCGTCGGGTGACGGCATGATGAGGAGGGGAGGGGGAGGGATAAGATGCGCGGATGCGAGGGAGGAAGGAGACGTCGAAATTACGGGCGATTGGAAGGAACGGGATAATGCGTGCCTTGACTTTTTCGCTGGAGTTGGTGGTTGAGGCTGATGGATTCTGGCCTGCTGGGTTGGGATGGATGGATGGATGGATGATGTTATAAGTCGGAACTCGTGAGAACGACGGCCTTAGACGACGTTGCCAGCTGGTGGCAGCCGAAAGGTGAGGAGGATGGATCTACATGCGGGGAAGAAGACAGATAGCAGATGGTATCTCGCGCGTGCTTCCAGACGCTTGCAATGGTAGGACGAATGTGCGTAATCGATTATTAACCGCATAGCTGGCACCTATATAGCTAAATTATACCTCTGTAGGTTGTACGAGGTTGTGGTGGCGGAATGGTTGGTGTATGTACTTGAGCTACTCTTTGCACACGACTTTTGCTAAACAATCCAAATTGATAAAGAAAAGAAAAGGAAAAAAAAAAAAAATTCAAATGATAAAAGTTGAAGTAAATCCAAAATTATGTGGACGAAATTATTTGCTCGTTTCAGGTCAAATACAGCACTCCCGCACTCGTCTTGTCGTGCAGACAACCTCATCGTCCCCGCGTTGCCGTGGTGAGCGCCCATGCATCTAAGTCAACAAAGGATCCTTGTCCATCGGCGCATACCTCTGCCTCGTCGCCATGGCGTACAATCCCAAACGTCAAACAATGTCAAGCCACATTCAATTCAAACAATTCAGCATAGGAATTTAATCCCGACATCTCTTGCATTTTACTTCTTTCCTCCTTCTCCATTGCTGCCACTCTTTCCAGCGTGGCCTCGATCCTCTTCTTCCTGAGCGGCAACGCCGTTTGCTCGCCAATCTCTTCGCCTTTTGCGATCACCTCCATTTTGCAACCAAGCAAAGACGAAGGCATTTGCTCACAAGTGTTATCAACACACCATCACCATCACCATCACTCGACAAACACCATGGGCGGGCCACTTAAGAACCCGTCCCTCGCAGCCCTCCAAAGCCGTAGCCGCTTCTGTGAGGGCTCCATGAACGACCGCGCTTCCGCCGCACCGCCCGTCCGCTTCCTCGACCCCGACTCCCTCGCCGCCTTCGAGCAGCCCGTAGCCCTCCCATCCAGCGGCCTTGGCAACCTACTAGCCAGCCACGATACCGCTGGCTTTCCCACCAGTAGCAGCAACACCAGCAACAGCAGCGGCAGTAGCGGCTTCTCCCAGGCGTGGTCCCGCAAGACGGGCAGCAAGCTCTTTGGGCAGGTATGGGAGGGTGTGCGCGGCCGGCTACGTCTGCGCAAAGGAGACGACTCCTCTGGCGGCGGCGATGCTGCCAAAAGGACGACCAGGTCGACGCCGTCGGCGGCCATATCCGCGGCGACGACAACGACAGCCGTGACACAGACCAACGCCGAGACCATCACCATCTACACCGACCCGGCCGAGCGAAGCGATGGCCCACCTGCCTCGCGCACACGCAGCCGGCTCGCCGCACCGACACCGCTGCAGCTACCCACGGCGCCGATTGACATTCCCCGTGGACCGGCAACGGCGGGCATTGGCGGCCCCGGCAACCTGTCGTTTGCCGGCTTCCAGTCCGCGCGGCCGTCGAGGGACGAGGTCCTCGCCAGCTACAAGCAGCTCATGGCCGACGGCTTCTTCCACGCGCACGCCATCCCCTCGAACCGACAGGGCCTCGGCCGGCCGGGCACCGCCAACAGCGCGCGTCCCGCAACGTCGCACTACCACCCCGACCATCACCAGCAGAGACCACCGTCCTCACCACCGCCAGAGTGGCCGCTCACCACGCCGCGCCAGGAGACGATGGAGCCGGCGATGCTGCAGTCCCCCACCAGCGCCTCCTCGCGCGGCACCAAACGCGCGGCCGCTCACGACTCCGATGACGACGAGAGCATGCGCGACCAGGACATGGACATGGACGACGACGACGGCGACGTCCGCGTCTACAACAAGGAGAACCAGGCGCCGCCGCATCCAAACACCGTGCGAGGCGACGACGCCAGGCAGCCCAAGAAGCGTCTCCGCCGCCTCGCCTCGCGCGAGAGCCTCTTCGTGTCCAAGACCCGCGCCCCGCCCACCACCTCCCAACGCAGTCTCTCGTCCGCCACCACGCACGGCGGCGGCGGCGGCGGCGGCGACGGTGACATCTTCTTCCACCCGGGACCGCCACCGGCCATCAACAAGCTCCAGAAGCGCCGCCCCTCTGCGCAGCAGCAGCAGCAGCGTCCTCGCCACGTTAGCGACGGTGGCGGGAGCGCGCGCGTGCTCCGTGGCAAGGCCGCCGAGGAGCGCCGCCGCCTGCGTGTGGTGCCCGACGAGGGTCGTGGCATCCCGGGCGTGCCCGCCATCCCGGTGCGCTTCACGTACGGCGAGGACCGCGAGAATGACGGCCCGTGGCGTGGTCTTCGGGTCCGCTGAGATGACAGCGACGATTGGTTTTGAAGTTTGACAGGGAAAGGAGGGTCTAGGAGAGAAGGTATTTTTTTTTATGATGATGGCGAATATGAATGAATACGGCATCTACAGAATGGGAATACTTGGGTATGGGATTTTGGTAACGACTTTATGAACAACTAGGTATATATATATATATATATGATAGGCCCTTTTGCTACTGCAAGAGAGGACATGACAACAGGCACTTGATAAATATGACAAAGCCACGCATGCTAAATTTGGTTCAATTCGCTAACAAGTGACTATTCGCTGGCGGTTACCAACAATGTCAAGTAACAGCATCATCAGACGCTGGAATTAGTACATACATATATCTACCTAAATAATTCTGTATCGAAACAAGGAACCCCGGCGCAAGAAAGTAGAAACAACCCCGCAATGAAGACCAACAATTCCTTAACGAAGGAAAAATAAAAACACCCATGTGCCACAGGGAAGAAAAATATCTAGGTTAGAGTTGACCCTTGAAACCTCCATTTTCCATGTCCATTTTCCCACGACAAGTCCGCCTCTTCGAAAGCCGAAGATAAAAAAAGAAAGACCTCTAAAACAGGAAGGAGTGCAGCCAATGGCGAGTAAGTCCATCTACCCAGGCCAGGCACATTTCGTAACCATAGAAACATTTTGGAAACAGACACAAGCCCAACAGCCATGCATAACTAGCAGTGAAGACGGTGCATGCCTCACGCGTTCGGAGGACGAAGTAGAAAAAAACAGAGCAAACGACAACGCGTTACTCAACAGCCTTGTTGTTAAAGATAATATAGCTCCGTCATGCCGGTACGACGCGCTCTTGTCTGTTTTGCAAGTAGCGGGTGGCGCGGGCATGTCCCACCTGGATTACGGCCGTGGCCGACTCAAACAGGAATGGGAACAGTTTTGGGAAGTAGCTGTACAGCATCGCGCAGATCATAATCAGCAGCAAGGGAATCCAGACGAAGAAGAGCTTGCGATCGTTGCTGAGTCGCTTCAGCTTCTGCTCCCTGGCCCGCAGGAATTGATCTTGCTGTTCTTGAGTAATAGCATTCTTGCGTCCAATCTTGAGGACGCTAGGTATTTCCGTATCCGAGCTGTCAGAAACAACGCTAGCCATGGCGGGCTTGGTTCTGGTCGACCTCTTCTTCAGCTTAGTCTGGGGCTGATCGTACAAGGCAGAGCATTTCATGTCGGCGTCGGCCTCGCAGGCTGCCTCTGCAGCGGCACGCTGCTTCTCTTCGAGAACTTTCGGAGGGAAGATATCCTCATATGCTGGGGGCGGGGCGGGCGCTGCGGCAGGGCCACCCATATAGGATGACAGGTCCCACCATCTGCCATCCACCTTTGGTGAGTTCTCACCAGCTGAGCCCGGCCGTGTACCAGACATACCGGGTACGTACTGCTGCATACGCTGGAAGTAACCTTGGTAGTCTGGTAGGACAGGCATACCCGGCATCTGTGGAAGCTGCGGAATATGAGCCAGGCTCTGGAGATGCACAGCCATAGTCTGCTGAAGCTGTTGGAGTTGTTGCTGGAACTGTTCTTTCAAGGCAGCGGCCATGGCTGTGGGTGCTGACGTATCAACCACCTCATCGACAGTCTCCTCTGAGTGATCCTTGTCCGCAGCGATCTCGCTGGCGCGTCTCATACTTAGGTAGCTGTTCTCGTCGGGGTCCTCATCTTCAAAGTCGCCAGAAGTATACTCGGGACTCTCTTCGCCCGAAGCAATGGAAATGGGTCCGTCATGGGTATTAGCTCGAGTGAGAGGCTCCCACAGCGATCTGACAGATGCGGAGCTGTTGGTACGACTGTGAATAGATCCGCCGCTGCTTCGAGAGCGAGCGTGGCGCTCTGAGTGACGGATAGCACGAACAACGGCACGAGATTGCGCAACATCAGCAGCAGTGAGACCGGATAAGCTGCGGATGGTGGGGTCGGCACCACCGATGATCAGTCGGCGGGCAATCTCTGAGTGGCTCTGGATTGAAGCCATGTGCAAAGCAGTGAAGCCGCCCTTGTCGCGAGCATCAGGGTTTGCGCCGCGAGCCAGTAGAGCGGCAACAAAACGGTGGTAGCCGAGAGAGCAAGCAAGGTGAAGCATGGTGTGACCGGTTGATCTCCTAAGGTCAAGCTTGGTCCTGTGTGCGCTATCATCGAGGTCAATCAGATCCAAGACTTTGAGCAATTGAGACTCAAGATGTTCGTGTGAGGCGTGATTAAATTGAGGGCCGTTGGCAGAAGGCCCGCTCGTCCAACCACCGGAAGAGCCACTGCCATCGTTGACGTTGAGAATTCGTCTCGCTAAGTCACTCACATCCACCATTTGACCGGACATCTTTTGCCCCAGAACAGACAGGGCTGTTCTGATCAGCTTGTCCTCGTTGTCGTCAACATATTTGAATGTTGGCGGCTGCTTGGCCATGGGAAAGTTTTGTGGCGAAACGCCTTGCAGTTTGAAGGTAACCGGGACTGTTCCGGACACTGGCGAAGGAGGGAGCAAGCAAACAAGAGATGATTCGCCCCAGAAAGTGGTTGTAGTAGCTCGTTGATCACCAAACCAAACCTCAAGACCTTGGAAGAAAGCGGCTCCCAGAACAGTGACTTCGATACCGCCAATCTTCGGGCCCTCGTTGGGGATAATCTTGTGAATAGTTGGGGTGGCGCGTGGAGCGCCGACAGGTGGAAAGAGGCTGCTAGCAAGCGCGGCGAACTGGTTCTGCGGGGCGCCGGCACGGAGCCCGTTAGGGCTGGGAGCACGGCTCGCGTGACTAGAGGTGGGAGCTGAGTACATATTGGCCATAGCAAGATTGTCCATGCTGGCTGAGCGATTGTTGGCAAAGAAGGAGGCTTGCTCATTGTTGCTGTTGGGGGTAGGGGGCCCGTTGGCGAAAGGGAGTTGGCCATTCGGTAAACCGAAGAGATGTTCGGCTTGATGGAAAGCTGACGGGCTGAATGGCGAAGCAACGCTCGATCTTTGGCTAGTGATAGATTGTGCGGGCTGTGGCGAGGTATCGAGTCGGGTCATCTCCAATCCATTCGGCACCCGGGAATTGCTGCCCTTTCTTCGCTTCGGCACGGGATGCCCTTGGGTTGGGGAGCTAGGTCTCGAGTGTGGACGGGGCGTTACAACCGCTGTACTCATGGTTGGCGTAGTTTTACCTGAATTGGAGCTTGTATAGCCATTTTGCATGGATGACACATCACTTCCCGCCTGCGACATTCTGAAGTTGCTATTGGGTATAGGTGCCATCATGCCATTCACTTCGGGTGCTGGGGCGGAGACAAGGGGGATCGAGGAAGAGACGACAGTGTCGGACATGGGAGGCTGTGAGGTAAGTTGAGCCATGGGATGGGTCTTGTGGTCGTCAGTGATCATGATTGGGTTGGACATGGCCTGGGCGATGAGGCGGTCTTGATAATCCTTGATGGTGAAGATGACGTTGAAACCCATCTTCTCCCCGTGATGACGGCAATAGCAGGCGATGCGCATGGGCGCATCGATTTGCATGGTGCGATTCGATACAACGTGTTCGGGACGCCCGTTTGAATCGAGCATACCGCTCATCGGTTGCCATTCCTTGACTTCTTGTGTATTGAAAACAATGACACGGCGCTCTTCGTCTTGGCTCCACACCTTTTCCTCATCTGGCTTTTTGATCTTCTTCCTGGCCGCCCTCTTTCGTTCTCTGGTAATGCAGCCAGCGCATATACGAACTTCACCGCCATTCTGCGGAGAGTTTTCTTCGTCATCTAGATCAGGGAGGCTGCCCTGAGGTTGTGTCCTGGCTCTCTCAAGGGCGTTCTTTTTCCACTCGGCCTTCTCCATTGCGCTGGTGCAGACCAAGCTGACGTGCAATACTAAGGTATCGGGAGAAGGCGCTGGAGTCGGCTTTGCTAAGAGTTTTGGCTTTGATATCGTATGTGCAGGAAGGTGAAGCTTGGTCACACCGGGGGGGAGTGGGGAGAGGGTCATTTTGATGGGAATCTGCGTCTCAACTCGAGATTTCAGTGGTGTTGGCAAGATGCGAAGCACAGGGCCAGTGTTGTTGAATGGGGCCGGAGTGAACATGGACATGTGCTGCGTCATGTGTCGAGCTTGAGCCATATTGTTGGGCGCAAACGAGGCTGGGGATGGGACACAATCCGGGGTCGCGGCAGCTTGTATATCAGCCTTGTTAGGCCACATGCCGGCCTGCCCCATCATGTGGTAGAACTCGGGATTGAGCATGGCTGGTGGCGAGTTGATGAAGGTGGTGGCTGGAGACGAGTTATGGCTGGCGACCAAGGTTGACATGGGCGACACTTCTCGGGAATGCGATCGCTTGATGCCATTTTGTGATGACGACACGGAATAGGTCTGAAAATGGTCAGCAAGGGGGTAGGGAGACGTGGCGACTGGGCAGAACTCACCGAGGCCTTTTTCTTGTGCGGTTGGTGCTTCGGCTTTGCGGGCAGATTGCTACTTTTATGAGGGCTTGTCGACTCAATGGTGGGCATGCCGGGGGAGGCCATTGTTACTGGGCCGGTGGAGGGAGCGTCAGGGCTGCTGGATGCGCTCTCAAAGTCAAAAGACTGGTCCATGAAGCTGTCGTCTTGCTCGGAAAAGCCATAAAAACCGTTGATGGCGGGCTGCGCGGTGGTTGCACCGAAGTTGAAGGCGTTGTCGTCCTCATCGAAATGGGGAAGACCGGTGTTCCCCCAGTCCATATTCATGTTGGAAGCGTCGTCGTCCATGCTGGCATCACCGGCCGAAGTAGCTGGCGTCTTTGCGGAGGCGGAAACGGCGAGACGCTTGGAGGGCCCGGCGGACTCGGACGAGGAGTCCTGAGAGGAGCCGTTGGGCGAGTCGGGGAATGGGCCGAGCGCCAGCTGCTGGGGGTTGAGGAAGGTGTCGTGGTCCTTAGAGGTGCTAATGGCGTCGAGGCTCTGTAGGGTGTCGGGGCTGTTGGAAAAGTCGAGAAGGTTGGAGCCTCCGATGTCATCGTCGGAAAAATCGTGGAACTCGCTGGTGGATGTGAGGGCTCCCGCAATCAAAGGGCTGCCGGCGCCAGGGCCACCAGCCGATGACATGACCGGGAGGACGAGTTAGGCGACGGCGGCGGCGATGCGTGCCCGCTGCACAGGGACCTGCAGAGAAAGATTTGGTCGCGACTTGAATTGGCAACGGTTGGAGATAATGGCGTCAGCGAGGGTCGAGGCCGTCGAATAATGTTGAACTGGCGGTGGTGTTGGCTAGAAAGTCGGGCAAGACCAGGGGTCCGAAATCACCGAGGGGAGTGAGTGGGTGGCGATGGTCGGTGGTCCGGTGTGGATTTGTCGGTTGCGAGATAGGATGCAGGCAAACTATGTAAATGTAGAAGATACCGTTGTTATCGGCGGAAGCATCGTCACGCGGCGACGGTAAGAAATTGTCGACGTGGCGGACCGTGTCTGAAGCGCGAGAAAATAAGGTACCAGTAGGCAGTCAGGGGCGGGCGTCGTGGACGAGTCGTCTGTAGCAAATTGACAAGCCTGCCAGGTTCAGGAAAAAAGCGGTAACTAGCAGCAGGTTGGCGGGCGAGGAACTCGAGTACCAGGTTCCAGACGTGCGCAAGCGACTGAGGCGGGCCCACCGGAATGAACCAGGTGGCCTCTGACGGTTGGAAGAGTGGAAGCGTTTGCAGGGCGGGTTGACGATGTCGAGATGCTGTGGTGGTTGAGGCTGACGACAGAAAGAATGTTGAGCGGGAGAAGAGACGGGAAGGAGAACTTGGGCGATGGACGAATGGGCGAACGGAGGGTGACAGCGGACCCGGCCTAGGCGGTTGAGGTAGGTAGAGAGAGGATTGAAGGCTGCGGTGGACAGTGAGTTGGATGCAGTGGGCAGGGCTGCTTAATGGTGCTACAGGCGGTGCAGGCGGTGCAAGCCGGTGCAGGAGCTACAAGGCAGTGCTACTAACGATACAAGTGCAGTTGACAATCATTTGGTTGCCAGCCATAACCGCAACGCGAGACTTCTTTTGAATGTACCGACACCAAGAGATTGCGCGCGCAGTTGCTGATTATCATCCTTCAACGACCTATGGCGCCCTAATAACTCTTTAGCAGGCTACCTGCTGGTCCAGGCAAAAGCCCGGTTGAAGGTACTCGACGCACAAGTAACCGGCCTGATTACTGCACCAAACCGAACTGGTGACAGGTGGCGCATTGTCCGCACTATGCTTCGCACCAAATCTACCCGCAATCATACGGTGCGGATACAGTGTTTCCAGGCGGGTCCCTGCCCACTTGGCTTCGTCTGGCCAATTATGGGTCAGAAAATATGACTCTCTGGCACATGATAGCCTCCACAAGCTCAGCCCAACGACACAAGCCCAGCACCATAGGTACCTCTATCTGAAGTCACCGTTGCCAGATGCACCATGGCCCCGCTTCCTTTTTTTTCTTTGCTGCTTAATTGTTGGGGATTGTGGATGGCAGAGAAGCAGAGGAAATCGTTCCTGGGACTTCCAGGCACATCCATTTCGTCGGGTTTGTTGTCACGAGCTTGCGCAAGCTCCCCCTCTCCTGCATCCAGCCAGCCTGTCCTTTGACCTGCCAGATACCTCGGTTCTCTTCGAGGTTTATGATAAACTGCCTATCCCGCACATGACGTTTGAACTTTGCGTCGCTGGACGCGTCCTTCTCAACGGATTTTGAGCTTCTTTAACTGGCCGAGTGCATGTCTGGGCGGGTCGCCGTATGCGCGTATGCGTGTGGTATGCGTGGCCAAGTACATGTGAGTTTCGCCGACAGCCATTCTACAGGCTCGTTATGTAGCAACCTATCTGCCAATTCATGAATACTAATAAAATGTATACTATCCGTACCATGATCTGTGATAGCTACTGCGCGCGATGGTGCCTATTGACGATCTAACCACGGATAAGCAGAGACGCCATGGAAGTGCTAATTAACTTGCGAGGCTCAGAGGATCGGGAACTCTCGCCTAATTCCTCTTCATGCCTGGCTGCCGTGCCACCTTCCTATCGCACGCCATCTACTATGGCGTAGCAGAAACTCCTGTTCCGGTATCCGGTGAAGGAGGCTGGGAGCAGGGAAAGAAACGCACCAGTTGCTCTAATTATCGACAATTGTCCTCCCTCATGTTGAGTAGTCTCAAGCTTCGGAGTACCTGGATGGAAAATCTGTGCGCTCGCCTAATAACTAATGCATGCCGGGCTGAATCAACGCACTTCGGATAACTTACTGAAGAAGTAACCTTAGACTGCTAAGACCATAAAAAACAAGCCCAATCTTTCGAGTCCAGGGCGAGACCAATGAAAAGACCCCTTATAATCAATGGCCCATGGCTCCAGACTCCAGTTCATACCTAACCCATGGCGTCCACTGACCCCATAACTAGCGGCTACACTACGCACTATGTCTGTTCACCGCACCAAAATTTGCCAAGTTGCAACCCGCCAGCCATCTTGCCATTCAACCATCCCTTCTGCGGCCGGATTGACAGATAACCTGACCCAGCCTTGATATTTCCCTCACACCTCCTTAGCCAGCCTCCTGCTCCATCCAACCAGACGAGGCTTGCCGTCTTACCGTCTTGCGTCCATTCGATAGCGTCCTGCGACTCCAGCCGAATGCACAAACCCTGCGGATAGATAAGCTTGCCGATCCGCAAACGGGCCTCTCCTGCTCTAGTTCAAGTTGCTTTTTTCGGTGGCAGTAAAGCCGGGCCTGCCAGCCTCGCCGTCCATGTTGGCGCCTCATTGACTGGGATTCCGGTCCAAAGTCGCAAGCCAAGGACCAACTAAGGACAGACAGTGTCACCCATCGTGGCTGTGTGCAACTCCCTGTGTCTCTGTACGTCGTTGGGCCCCTCTTCCACAGGCGGCAGAGGCTGAATTGATGTTGCGCCAGTATGACCATCAAGGAACGTCAAGGCGGAAGGGATGACTGACAGGTCACACAAGTCTGTTTCATACAATGTGAGCTTTCTTTGGCAAGTCGACATTGTATGGCAAATTGGACTCGATACTTTGAAAAACAGTCTCTACTACGGCAAGTATGGGAAAAAGGAAGGAAAACTCAAAAACAGCCCTCGCATGACGCCACGCCGAAACACAATACATCTAATCCTCGCCTGCGAGGACCGTGACCAGCTGGCTCTTGGCCGCAATCTTGCCCGCGACTTCGGCTCCTGGCATGGCGCTCAGAATATCGAAAACCGAAATGTCACTCTTCATGTTTTGAGAGCCCGATTGCGGGTCTTTACAGCTTGTAGAGAGTCAACTCAATCGCGAATTCGTTAGCAGTCTTGCTCATCTTATTAGAGTCAGGCTATACCAAGAGGATAACTTACCACCATAGTCATAAAGAGGCTTCTGGCCATCGATCCCGTCCAAAGATATGCTCATGGCCGCGGCAACCAGCTCTTTGATGCCCTCTTCGACAATGGAAACCGCCTCCGACGTGCTCGTAGCGCTCGATAGGAGGATGCCCGCATCTTGCTTCCCCCCATCGCCTTCCTCGACGATGTTTCTCACAACACGGAGCGCAAACTTTTTGTCTGCAGTGTAGCCTCCAGAATTCTCCCTATGCTCAATGCGGTTCCCAAGACCCAAGACAACTGGGCTGGGAGATCTTGGCCGGTTGCCACGTGGCCTCTCATCACTGCGCGCATTGCCCCCAAGCTCCTCGAGATTTGTCTGCAGCCAATGCCAGCCGTGCTGGTATCTGCCCAGATAATTGTCGAGGTCGTCAAACTCGCCAGCCGCGGTGAAGTGAGACGAGTCGGACACCAACCGACGTCGATGCTGGTAGCGTTGATGCCGAGATGATGGTGTGCGTGATGAGCAAGGGCATCTTCGAATGTATTCCTAGATGCATACTTTGCTTGAGACTGTTTTTCCCGATAACACCGGTAATGGAAGACAAAGGAATGAAAAAAGTCCTATTGCCCGGCCAGATGTTGGACAGTAGATTCCGAGAGCCCTTGGTCTTGGGTTCAATGGCCCGAGACCATTACATGTTATCGAAGATGCCATCTTCAAGAACCATGGCCAGCTGAGTGACACCCGCGATGCGCTTTACTTCTGATTTTATGGCGCCGAAAACTTTGGAAACGTTTAGCAAATCGGTCACGTCGCATTTGAATGCTTCCGCTTACACCAAACGGTCAGCAAACCGCTTCAGGTCGTCCTCATTCTTTGCGACGCCTGCTCGAGAGAGGAAAACGAGGTGCTTGGCGCCACAATCCACCAGCGCTGTCTCGCGGCAGTCACCCTGCTTGGCGAGGAGCCATGACGCGAAGAGCTCGGCGGCGGGGTGCCAGGCTAGCAGATTGTTGGTCATCGCCGTCGCCCCGGCCCCGGCCACCGACTCCGGGGCCGGCTTCTCCTCTTCGGAGGCGGTTGTCGCCGCACCGATCTGCTGCTATACTTCCTGCATCTCCCGCTCCACAGTGTGGGACATCCGCTCGCGGGGCTCGGGGTGGCGCGACAGGATCGAGTCCGGCAGGGCGCCGTCGGGAGGCGGGAAAGTATGGGTAGCCGGCAAAGTGCTCGTCGGCGTCCTCGCCAGTTCGCCAATCAGCACCATCTTGACGCCATGCTCCTGCGGCAGCGTGGAGAGCGCATACTTGGCGACGAAGTTGAGGTCAAAGTGGTGGTGCTCGCGGTGGAATACGGCGTCAGCAAAATCGGCGGTCAGGTTTTCCTCGGTGATGCTCTTTTTGATGGTCTTGACGCCCAGCCAGTCCGCGATGGGCTCGGCGATGCCTAGTCCTGTTAGCAACATACTGATTTGCGTGTCTGGACGTGATGTATGTGTCTGGACAGGGCTGATGCGTGGGAACCTTTACTCGACTCATCATAGCCAGACTTTTCTGGAAAGGCGACGCTGAAGTAGGTCACCTGGGTGGCCTGATCGTTGCCAATTTTGACATGCTCCTTGCGTGCGAGATCCGTCACGATGCCTGCAATGGTAGTAGTCGATGCCTCTAGAGAGATAGATGCCGACGGGGACATCGGCGCGCAAACGGAGACGGACAGACTCAACTAATCTCTCGCGGACTCCGGTGACCGTCTCATCGATTGTACGCGTCTCCGGTTTGCGCTTTGGTGAAAGTCAGTGGTGTTCTCTGGTGGTATACTAGACACAACCGCACGACTGACTGACCTTGTCTTCGTATTCTGCATCCCAGTATTTGACTTTCTCAACTCCACCCTCCCTTGTGATCTCAAGATAATGGCCTGGCAGCACTTTCTTGACCCCTCGGAACAGCGTGCGATCATCAAACATCCATCCTACACCCGAAATAGCGTTCACGTCCCAGCGCGGCTTCCACCCCAGCGGCAGAAAGGCCTTTGCTTCCGAGGCATCAAGGATTTTTTCTCCAACATGAGCATACACCAAGGGCTTGATTCCGTGACGATCGCGGGCAGCAACCACACACTCACACCCTAGACGATGTTTATCGAGCACAAATGCAAATTCTCCCCGCAAGTGCGTAAGGAAGTGAGGCGCTCCATGGATCTAGTACAGCGCAAGGACAAGCTCGCTGTCACTATCGCTCTGGAAGCTATAGTAATGGATTGTCTCACAATCCGAGCGTAGCCTGTCGTCGTCGTAGGCCGTCGGTGCTGTGCAGTGGCTGTCGCCCGGCCGAGGACAGGTCTTTAATGGAGAGCCTGCAACGGGCCAGCCCAATCTGTCGGTTCTCGCTTACCCAGACTCCTGTATCATCTAGGCCACGGTGGTTGATCATGTCGGCCGAGGCCTGGAGGTCGGACACCAGTTTCGTGGGAGCATCATCACTCAGCCAGCGCATTCACCTGCAGCCCAGGACTTGGTACGTGCCCTCTCATGTACATAGTTTTCTTTTCTTTCTTTTCAAATTGTTTACTCTTTTGTACTTGAAAATAAATGTGTTGCTTTTCTGCTTGCATCTCTCTTCACTCTCCGACTCTCCATGGCACCTCCCGAGGCAGTGCTTATAGTTGTCGCGCACGGAATGGACACTTGCTCCAGGTAAGTCCAGGCTTCATTCGTGAGCGGCGCTTCGAAGAGAGATCGGTGTTGAGATTGAAATGAATCCGAGTCAGTCTGCTACAAAAGGGCGCGTCCTCGCGCAGCACGTGCCGCGCGATGGCCGTGTCGTTGGTGTGGTAGATGGTGGTGCCGAAGTTGATGGTCTTGATGACGGGGCCGTAGCGCGAGAGGAGCTGGTCGTAGCTGCCGAGGACGTCCGGGTACAGCTCGTAGCGGTTGCCGACGATGGGTAGTGGTCGCGGGCCGGGCGGCTTGCGTATCGAATCTTAAGGCGTCGCTCGCAGCTCGATGTCGGCTTTGGTCTCTTTGACGGCTTGGAGTGTTGAGAGCGGCTTGCGCTCCTCATCAATGAGCCATAACGCTGTACAAGTTAGCTTTTGCCTTGTTGTGTTTGTTTTATCTACCCATTTACTTATACTGAATTTTGAGTCGGTAAAAGAAAACAGCTCTGCCAAAGTCTTTGTGAGTTGTTCCAGGGTTCCGACTGAGGACAGATCCAGGCTGTGAGAGCGCTGGCCGTCGTTCGGACCAATATAAAAGTCCTTCAACATTTTCTGAACTGATGAGGTCAATATGTTCTCCTTGGGGCAACAGCTCTAAAGATTGAGTTAGGCAAAATTATTCAATTCATTCAACATACTTTTGTGTCTTCTTGGACAACAATCCTATCTCAGCTAATAGTCCCCTGGTCGGACACTTTTTGACTTCCTATTTTGGAACTCCGCCGGCTCCGGCTCCGGGGTGGAGCCTTGCAAGCCCGACGGGACGGAAGTTTACATTCCAGCACGTACTCTCCTTGAAGACGCAGGAATGGTGAATGCGGTTTTCCCAGTTCAGTGGCATATCCAAGGCTCTGTATGTAAGCTTGACTCTCCTTGCAGCCAAGAAACCATCACATCACCGAGGCGTATGACTATCCCGGGCATGGCGAGTCCAACATGGTCAAAATGAAGCAGTATCGGATCGGACATCTTAGTTAGAAGCTTATCGCCGTATTACTTGTTCCGAATACCGCGTCAGCGGCGGAAGAGCGGACCTCGACTTCCACGGCGCCTGCTTAACCGGGGCCGGGCCGGAATTGCTTCGTATCGCCAACTTCAACGCGCGGCAATCATATAGCGTTTTTCTTTTGGGGTTTCCAATAATACAATTTTTCCGAAGTAGATCCGACTGACCCTTTCTGAACGTTTCAATTTTGTATAATTGTGTTCGGCTGGGACAAAGTGCACCTACCTGGCCGTGACCTCTACACTGTTCGTGGCATTCATTCCTCACAGCTTCCTAAAATGACACTGTCATGGCAGCTGATAACTTGAGCTCTGGTGTACTCTGCCACGTTGGTTATTTCAACCGCGGTGAGCACCATCTTCATGGCGTGACCTACCTCAAAGCCCACACGGTAGCCCTCATGGGCTTGACCGCTCTGCTCTACCGCTTCGGCCACAGTCCGCTGGTCGCCTTTTCGCAAACTCTTCTCTACGACATCTCGCTCCTCTGCGGCCTGCACGCAAGCCTAATCTTCTACCGTGCCTTCCTCAACCCTCCCAACGCCTTTCCCCGGGCCGTGGACCGCGTGCATCGCTAGCCTCGACCTTCCGCTGCGCATCCGCGACCGCAAGCTGTACCTCACGCTCGAGGCGCTGCACCGCCAGCACGGCCCCATTCTGCGCGTCGGCGCCGGCGAGCTCTCCGGCGCGCACCGGCACGCCGTCCGGGACGTCTTCGGCGGCGAGTCGCGGTGCCTGAAGAGCGCGTGGTACGACATCAGCCGCCTGCAGGACTCGCTGCTGCTGCGCCGCGTCTGGAGCCCGGCCTTCTCGAGGGCGGTGCGTGGGTACGAGGCGCGCATCCGGCCGCACCGGGACAAGCTGGTTGCCGGGCTGGATGCGGCGTGCGAAGAAGGCGGGTCGGTGGATGTGGATGGCTGGCTGGCGCTGTACGCGTGGGACGTCATGGGCGACCTGACGTTCGGCCACTCGTTTGGAATGCTGGACATTACCAAGGAGAAGCACTGAGCCATCAAGACCTTGAACAAAGGGATTAGCGTCACCGGGACGCATCTGCCCATGTGGTGTTCCGTGTCATGGTCGCCATTCCGGGTGGGCAACAGGACGTTAAAGTCATGCTGAAGTATACCCAGGAGGAGATGCTGTCAAGGTGGAAGGTAAGTTTTTGGAAGCTACATGTCTTCTGAGATTTTTTCCAACTTTTATATGCAACAGAGTGAGCCGAAGCTACCGGACGTCATGAGCCACCTCTTTGCTCCATACCAGACGGGTAAAAAGCCGTGGGATGAGAGCGCCATCAACTTGATGGCGGGCGAATCTCACCTGCTGATCAATGCAGGAAGGTAGGTCGTACTCGCGAATAATCTTCGAAACAACAATGAATCATGCCCTAGCCCCGATTTTAGTGACACGACTCGGACTACTCTTGCATGCGCCTTGTTTGAACTCACCAAGCAGCCCGAGTACATCCGGAAGCTTCGCCAAGAGCTAGACCCCTTCTACCCGGGGCCAGTGATGAACTCACAGACAGCCAAATCACCAACGTTGATCTTCTCCATGGCATCATCTGGGAAGCTCTTCGCTTGTCCTGCCCAACCCCAGTCACCCCACGAGAGTCACTCCCCCCGGAGGCGCCACAATCGCCGGTCGATTCGTCCTAGGTGGGACGCAAGTTCATGACTCCGTAGTATGTCATCGAACGTGGTACGATCTTCTTCTCTTTTTCTCCTTCCTTGTCCTCTGCTCTGCCATAACTTCAGTCACTTACAACAAAATTGTGCAGACGAAAGCATCTATCCCAGAGCCAGCGAGTTCATCCCCGAACGCTGGTACAGCTCTCCAGAGCTGGTCAGGGACAACAAGGCCACGGTGCCCTTCTCCATCGGCCCGTACGACTGCATCGGCAAGCCTCTGTCTATGATGAACATCCGCGTCACCCTGGCGCGCATCCTCAAGCGCTACGACCTGAGCTACGCCCCGGACCGCGCCGACCCGCAGGCCGAGTTCGTGGACATGAGTGACCATTTCACGCTGCAGGCCGGTCCGCTGTATCTGCGCCTGGAAGGGCGACAGTAGCTACGGGCCGGAAGTTCCGGCGTTGTACTGCCATATATAACTTCTGAGATTGGCATGGCCGTTTGGTGGTCTCGTCCAGTCCTGGGCCAGCGCTTTCAAGACTTGTCGCGGTCTGCGAAAGAGGGAGGGCAATAGCAGAACTAGAGATCTATTAAAAATTCATTATGCTCTCATATAGGATCCTCAGATAAATCAACAGCTACCCTTGCCCTTGCCGGGGCTATCATTGCCCTTGCTGGAGCTATTGATGTCCTTGCTAGAGCCATCATTGGCCTTTCCAGAGCCATCGTTGTCTTTGCCAAGGCTATTATTGTCGTTGCCGCTGCCCTGGCCGAATGCCTGGCCGGACGCATTGTTGTACGTGGCCGTGGTGTTGCTATGGCTGAATGAATTATAGTGCAGGCCGAATACACCCTTGCGCTGGCTGGATGCGTTGCTGTGTTGACTGTACGCACTGTCGCTCTGGCTGGACGCACCACCACCCTGGACGGATCTCCGGCCGAAGTCATGATTCGCCTGGCTAAATTTCTGTTTGAAGCCGTCATTCACTTGCTTGAATTTCTGGTCGAACCGATCATTCGCTTGTTTGAGCTTCTGGTCGAAGCCATCATTGGCTTGCTTGATTCTCTCGTCGACGCTGCCCTGAGCCTGCCTGATTCTCTCGCTGACACTGTCATTAGCCTGGTTGAAATCCCGGTCCGCGTCGCCCCGGCGAGCCTTCTCCTGCTCCGCCGCGACCGCCGCGGGGTCGACCTCGACCAGCACCAGCCACAGCGTCTTCTCCGACAGCCCCAACGTCGCGCCCGCCTCCACCTTGAGCGGCTCGACGTGCGCGTCCAGCGCGCGCAGCATGCCCTCCGCGCTGCCCTCCTTGCCGCCGCGCGCCACCGCCAGCAGCTGCCCCGGCGGCACGTCCAGCACGTGCGCCAGCCCCGCCGTGTCGACCAGCTGCGCGTGCAGCCCGCGCCGGTTCAGCCACTCCCCGTTGGCCACCACCGTGTACGCGTTGACGCGCTCCGCCGGCGTCCGCGGCCTCTTGGCCACCGCGCCGACCATCGCCCCCGGCAGCCGCGTCACCGTGCCCACGGTCCCGAACGCCGCGGTCATCGGCAGGCTGATGGCGCCGCCGACGAGCGTCGCGGCGACGCCGAGGATGTTGCCGCGGCGCGCGTGCCGCGCGAGGTCCTTGCCGAGCCGCTTGGACTGGCCGGCCAGGTTCTTGCCGAGGTCGGTGGTGTCGGCAGTGAGGTGGCGTGCCATGTCGCCGGCGTGGCTGACGGCGCGGTCGCCGACGGTGGCGGTCAGGAAGGCGGACACGGTGTCGAGGAAGGACCGCCAGGTGGCCTCGGTGATGCCTCGCGCGAGCAGGCACGGCGGGTACGCGCCGACAAAGGGCGAGGACGCGTCTGGGACGACCTGCGGGATGGCGACGGGCTTCATCGTGGACGCGGCGAGGCCCGTCTTGGGCGGGGGTCCGAGCTTGGAATTGCGGCTCGGCTTGGCCCGGCCGCCCATCGAGAACGAGAACGAGGTGTTCGTCGTGGACGAGGTGCTTATCATCACGTCCGGGCGGGCGTTGCCCGAAGGATGATAGCTGGGAGGCGCGCCGGCGGCCGCGCTGCTGCTGCCGCTGCTGCTCGGACCCGCGCCGTCTGCAAAGGTGGGCGGCGGAGCGGCAGCTACAGCGTCGCTCGCGTAAGCCGAGTAGGCCGGTAGGGCCTCGTCAGTCGGGAAGTTGAACGGGTCGTCCACGGTGGGCATACCGCCGCCGCCGCCGCCAGCAGGTGGTGGTGGTGGTGGTGGTACTAACGGCGCCGGATCACGATTATCAGAGACCGGGTACGCCTCTGTTGGAAGCTCTTGAGAAGCAGGCCCGGATTCGGACTGCTGCACGGGTTGTGTCGTTTCAGATGCCATTTTGTCTGGAGTTGGGCTCTCATTCGGGTTGTTGTTCGACATGGCGCCGTTTGTCGTCTGAGATGGCCTGCTAGCAGTCGATGATGATGAAGGGAGATGCAATGATGAAGGGGTGAGAGGTTTGAGGTTTAAATATCCGATTTTCCTCTTGGAAAAGACTGTATTTAGAAGTGACAGTGATGCTGGGAAACGTTGTTTGATGAAAGAAAGGTGGCAGTGACTCTTCATCTGCCAAAGGACGCCACTGCGGCTGTCGTAGTGCAAAAAGCAGAGAGAGGCAGTGCTTGGTCCTTAGGTCGGCTGGCTGGCTCCCTCTTTATTAGCGGGCGTACACACTTGACGTTAGTTAATAGGTAGGATACGCCCAGGTCTAATATAAGGCAAGTTTTACAGACGTATGTATGGTTAATTCGGCTATGCAATACGCAACAGAAAGTGACGTAGATGATGCCGTTGGTGAAACTGTATTTCCTCGCATTTCAATCACCACCAGCCCTTGCCTCGCTGCTGTGCCCTGTGACAAGTACACAACCAGCCGAAAATTCAGGACATCACTGCAGCGCATGACGAAATCTGTTACCAGTTTTGATACAAAAATACAACAGCTTGACGAATACGGATGACGAGCAGCCTCTTTCATCTCTGCAGGATTCAAGCTGTAATTCCGACTATTCTCCTCAACAAAAACAGAACAGCCCTCAACGCCGGTCTCCTCTACTCCAGCCAGTATAACTCCCAATGCACGCCGCAAATGCTTATTTCATTATGAAACAATTCATCAAAAAGGTATCTTTCCTTCTCCCTGCCTCCGTATCCCCCAGTCATTTTGAGTCTGTGCCCTCACATCAAAATGTAGAGCGCACGTAGAGCCTTTTCTGCGGCAGCAACGTGCCAAGGCCGAACATCCGCCTGCCGATCGACTACTCCTCGGGCCCTTGCTAGAGTGCCAAGGCCCCTAAAATAGCTGAGCATCTCGCGCAGCAGCGGTTCGTATGTGCGGGCCGTCGCTTCCGTGTACACTAGATTGACCTCCATCATCGACGGCACGTCTTCTGCCTTCGGGCCGCTTCGTTTGATCAGGTAGCCGCTGATGAGTGCTGGCTGGATGCTTGCCGTGCCCACCGCGTTGTTCAACCGGTGATGAACAATAGCGCCCCAGGTCTGGTCCATCACGTCTGCCAGCACAGAGTCAACGTCCGCATCTCCCGTGCTCTCACCCCCAGGCGTTGCAGCGGCCGCCGCAGCATCTTTAGCGGGTGTTGCGGGCGTTGCGCTGGCCTCGGGCGACACAATGCTGGCCTGCGGCGTAGACACCGGTGTCGTGTACATCGAGAGTGGCTGCAGTGGCATCTTGACGGGGGCAGGCACAAGCTGCAACGATGGATTCGTGTCGACAGTCATAACAATCATGGTAACGCTGGCGTTGATTTCGGTCCGTGCAAGGTCAATCCAAAAGTCAATCTCGCCCTCGTCTGTCGGCCCGCACTTGGTCATGATGATGCGATAGTGGACTTTCCACGTCGATATAAGCTCAATAGTTGTTTCCCAGATTGCATTTGCAACGTCGTTCATAGTCCGAGACTCGGCTTCGCCTTTGCGGCCAAGGCAGTAGGCCGCTGTAGTTTGCTCGTTCCCTCTATCATCGGTCCACGCTGCCGTAACCCAGCGACCGTCTATGCTCCGTGCGTATGCGATATGAATGCATGAATTCTCTCGCGCTAGAGACGATGATGGCGCCGGAGACAATTTGAAGTCAATGATGCGCGGGAGTGGCTGCTCAAGTCGAATCGCCGGAGCGGGCATACTGCCACCAAAAAGTGTACAACGGTCGTAAGTCTCCATGCAAAGCTTCATCAGCTCCGATGAAGCTGTGACAACCATGCGTGTGGAGCTGGATACTGAGTCTGCCGAGACAAGCTGGAGAACAACCTCATTCTTGGCCGATTCCCGCTTCGCTGAGAGGCGTCTTCTGTATGACTCAAAAAACCTCTGAAAAGCCACGCACGCCTCGACAATTGTTCCAGGATCACTGGCCGAGTACATGAAGTAAACCACCACGTTCGTGTCAACAACTTCCAAATCTGACATCGCACTGGAAAGCGTCTCCATGCTCTCCAGCAACGCAGAGCCGTGACCCATCATCGTAGCATCTCGAGCAGTTGAAATTTGGTCAACTCCATAGAGAAGCACGCCGTCGTCCATATCTGTAGGGAGCGGCATGTTCTCAAAAGTGCCCAGCTTCAATGTCTCATACGCACTCTTGAGTCGTCCCAGGAATGTCTGCGCGTTATCAACCATGCCGGTCCATTTTGGGCACACACACACCGCATGTATGTCTTTGCTTCCGGAGGAGGGCGCAAGTCCTAAATTCTCCCAAAATGTCACGGCAGTAGGCAGTAGTGACATTTTCACATCGGCTCGACGCACCTCCAGGTGAGGGCAAGGTATTTGATAGAGGTTACTCGGCTTGATTGGCTCTGAGTTTGGGTCTCTTGAAGGAACTTGGCGTGGCTGAATTCGATTTCCTTGCCCTGGGAGCGAGCCGTCTTGAACCTCAAGTAGCTTTTTGAGGCCAATTGGGGAAATGGTCCCAAAGACAGACGACGCCGCTTCGCGGAGCGCTTGTAACGCGCTGCGTGAACCCATAAGCTGCTCGATTCTCGAATCTTCCTCTATGGCAGAAACAAGACCAGGATCAGAGTGGCCGTTGAATAGCAACAGTGATCCTGTGGCTGCCTGTTCTGCCACAAGTTGCGCCACCTGTATCATATCCTCATCACCGAGGGAGATATCCAACGATAGAGGCTCAGGATCGGTGAAATATTTGAAAAGCGACGTGTCCGAACCCTCCAACAGGGATAGCCGAGGCAGTTCCAATGCCAGTTGCTCATCTGGTTCCTCGGCTAGCTCTGCATCTCTACTCGTAGTGACATAGGAGGCCGCATCATCGTCGCCTAGCAAAGACTGTTTCACAATCGACTTAACAGGCGACAGCGGCTCTTTGACAGACACGTTCGATGCATTGTCCGAAGAAGTGCTCGAGTCATCTCCGTCAGAAATATCGCCATCGAAGTTTAGGAGCTTATGGTCCGAACCAAGATCGTTGCCTGATTTGGCCAACGATGATCGTCGCGACCCCGCAAACGCTTTGGCTTTGGCCTTGCTGTGACGACGAAAATAATCAGTTTTTGGAATTGTGCCAGGCTCAAGCTTGTCGGTCACTTTTTCGTGTGGCACAAAGTCAAAGAATCCACCATGCTCGTACTTTTTGTTGAGCATCGGCATCTTAGAGTCAAAGTCGACTCTACCAAACGCCTTATACCCTTTGCTTAGGCCTCCGCCATTTACTGCTCGCTGGCTCTGTTGTGATATGGCAGCTCGAAGCCTTTTGAAAACACTGTCAGGGTCAAATGGGCTTGAGCCTCGCTTGACCGATTTCGCCTGGAGATCTCGTCCCCTCTGTGGCCCGTCTTCTGTTTGCGAGCTCCTCGCATGCTTGAGCTCGGGCTTAGCAAAAACAACCGGTTCCGATATTATTGGTACGGTGGCAGATGCCGATAGAGCTGGCTCTTCGGCCTTGATGGGGATAGCAGTTGGCGCGTCAGCCCGCTTGATATTATCCAAGGACATATCCATGCCCAACTCATCGGGTTGCTCATCAAAGAAATTGAAGTCTGCTTCAGTGATGTCATTGTCGCCGAACATATCCCCACCCATATCTTCAAACATGTTTTCTGCTTCACTCAACAAACTGTTGTCCGACCGTAGGGGCTTATTCTCCGCTGCGTCGGCCATGTCTTCATCGTGTTGCATCTCGCCCGTGCCGCCAGGTGGTTCACAGCCAATATCAACGTCCGCAACCACTGAGAGTGGATGTCCAGGACTTGAAAGATTACCATCCATTGACGGGGTAACCCCGTTCAAATTTTGGATAGCATCCGGCGGCGTTGGGTACACCCCATTTCCACCTGTCGTGCTCGGCCGTCGCATCGTCACCGGAGATGGTGCGTTCATTTTCGATAGGCGTGTGTCAACAGCCAGAGCATCCCTTGGTCCTGCGGCAGATCTCTCTGCGCGCCGCTTTGAGATTCGGTCCTCTCTTTCGTTTGCCGAGCTAAGCCAGACACGCGCATCTCCGAGCGGGTCATGCGTTTCGTCATGACCGAGTACAATCGTGTCACTGATGCGGTTCGTAGCCGGCAGCTCAACAGCCTTTTTTCGAAAGCACAAGGACCCAGGCCACGGGATACTGATGGTGGAAGGCGCGCCACGTCCATTTTCTGATTTTGGATCTTGGAGTTTGGGCTTCGAAACCAGCAGGTTTACCCAGGAGCATTCACGCAGCGCAGCTCCTGGAACTCCGCGGAGGTGAAGAACAGCCATGCATGCTTGCTTCCAGAGTGAAGTATTAACGTCCGAGGGTGATATTTGTGCCAGCGCCTGAGTGTTGGGAGTATGAGCAGGGTTCGTCCCGGTTGAGTGGGATGACGACGACTGTTCCTCGTTTGTCATGACGCCAAAAGGCGCAGCGAGTATGTTAATCCCAACGGGGCTGGGGGCAGTGCTCAACATATCTTCCAAGCTCGCCAGCCCAGGACAGACAGTCACTGTGAAGGTCAGGACCAACGATCCTGTGCTTATCATATAGCATTTCAGAGTTCCCAAAGATTGGGCTTGCTCTCCTACCCATCGGTCTGGGGCATTCTGGGAAGTTTTCAAGGCAGGGAGAAGGACAGTCCGAAAGTTTAGAGGCACAGCATCTGACCGTGCGCAAAACTTGGAGCATATCGTCAGCAGGAGAGCCCCGACGAACGACTCGTAGAGTATTTTTGGAGAATCCCCATATTCCTGTTGCAAATCAGGCTTCCCTGTCGTTTCTGTGGCGTCATTATCTTGCTTCAGCCCGACAGTCTGCGATTGCGTGGCTTGTCCAGATGAAGCAGGGTTGGGCTTTTGATGGCTCGGCTCTGGAGAAAGGACCTTATGCCACGCTGATGGTTCCATAGATCCATTCTTAACTGACACCAGAGATTGGCCATTAATACTGATTGTCGCACTCAGCTCTGTTGGACCCTGTGGTTCTGCGCCGACAGAGCGTTGAATGCGAAAATACCATAGACCCCGCCGCGTCGCATCGAAAGACACAATATGGCCTTGTTCTCTTAAAGTTGTTTCGATTTCGAGGGCGTTCGTATGAAAGGTCTGCTTTGATTCTGTGGAAGGCTCGTAGAATCGATACTCGACGCTCGCAATATTGTTCTAGTAACTGTTAGCATCCGATGCATCGCGATTAAGCTCGTTAAATCATATGCGCAGACTTACAATGAGGAGGGCATTTGTATCGACGTCCACGGTATCCATATTAACGAGCGCCTACCGCGACCACCGGGATACAACGATGAAGGGGGGTCGTTGATGTGCGGCACCCGAGGCACGCACGGAGGGCTGGAAAAGGCAGTGTCAAAGCCAACGACACTCAGGCATGCGCAAAGCTCAAGGCATGGAATTGATAGCACGCTTTTTCACCCGGAAAATCTTGACTCCATTTCAGCAGCTCGGAGGCCAGCTTGCGCGAGACGGGAAAGCCGATAGTGTCCGGCGATGCGCGCTGGCAGTCAGGATATCTCGATCGAGTCTTGAGCCAATTCTGTCAAGTTATGTTCTTGTAAGGATATGGGATACACTGCGCATCCTTCAAGTCGATTTCAGGCAGGTGTGGACAAGGGGAGCGGCACGAAAGCTCGTAGGAGATGGCGGGATAGAGGTACCTAGGAGGCACGCGGAAGACGGAAGGAAGCTGGCCGGGATCTTGCTTTAGCGGAGGTCCGAACAATCTGGGTGCGCTAAAACCACCAACTGTGTGGGGACCATCTAGAGAAGAAAAAGGTGGGGCTGGTTTTTTTTCCTGGGCTTGTCGATAAGGCCAAACAACTTTTTTTTCCCATGTTGCTCTCTGAATATTTCTTGCATTTGTCTTTTGTTGTCGCACTCCAGTATCGTGATGAAGCTCTCCAACCCCGGCACGGTACCCGTGTATACGATATCGGGCTCTAACACGGCCAGGCAACTCCCAGAATGGCTTGCCCGCCGCAGAAAGCGCAGCTTGAAAAACGACGCTGACTACCAGAGCCGAGTCGAACTACTACAGGACTTTGAGTTCGAGGAGGCCAGTTCCTGTATTCGAATCAGTGAAGATGGAGATTGGGTTATGAGCACTGGCACATATAAGCCCCAAATTCATGTCCATAACCTGCCGCAACTCGGTCTTTCCTTCGCCCGCCATACCAACTCTCTCAACCACAGTTTCATACTGCTCTCGACCGACTACTCCAAGTCTCTGCACTTGCAGACCGATCGCAGAATCGAGTTTCACACACCCATGGGATGCCACTACGAAGTTCGTCTTCCCAGATACGGCCGGGATATCAAATATGACCGAACCTCCACCGAAGCGCTGATACCAGCCGTCGGCATTGACACTGATGGCAAGGGCGAAGTCTTCCGTATGAACCTCGAAGCCGGTCGATTCATGAAGTCATACCAAATAGACGTCGGTGGCGACGACGAGCTCACCGGTGGCGGTCTTCAGGGCGGCATTCACGTGGGTAGTGTCAATGTCGCAGCAATCGCAGAGAACTCGCACAACCTGCTAGCCTTTGGCACGTCCATAGGCACAGTTGAGTTCTGGGATCCCCGCTCTAAATCAAGAGTCGCCTTGCTGGCTGGACACGATGGAGAGGTCACGGCGCTCGACTTCAACGAGTCCGGATTGTCTTTGGCAACGGGGTCAAGCACTGGCATGGTGCAGCTCTTCGACCTACGTCGCCCCACCCCCATGTTGACGAAGGATCATGGATATGACTTCCCAGTGCAAAATCTCAAGCACATGACTACCTCCTCTCAAGAAAAGAAAGTCATGTCAGCAGATAAGCGCATCATCAAGATTTGGGATGAAAAGGACGGCGAGCCTTGGACTTCAGTCGAGCCCGCTGTCGATCTAAACGATGTCGCGTGGTGCAAGGATAGCGGTATGCTCCTCACCGCCAATGAAGGCCCTCAGCAGCATGCCTTTTTCGTGCCTCAGCTCGGCCCTGCGCCAAAGTGGTGCTCCTTCTTGGATAATATGGTCGAGGAGATGGCAGAGGAAGTGCGCACAGAAACATATGACAACTACAAGTTCCTGTCATTACCTGAACTTAAACAGCTCAGCTTGGACCATTTGGTTGGAAAGAGCAACTTGTTGCGACCTTACATGCACGGTTACTTTGTTGCATCCAAGCTCTATGACCAAGCCAAGCTCATTGCGAACCCCTATGCATTCGAGGAAGAGAGAACGAAGCGCGTCAAGGAGAAGATTGAAAAGGAGCGTGCAAGCAGAATCAGAGGCAGCAAGAAGGTCAAGGTCAACCAGCGACTTGTCGACAGACTCCTCAAGAAGCAGGAGAACAGAGGCGAGGTTGATGTCAAAGCCGGCTTACTCGGTGACTCTCGTTTCAGCAAGCTCTTTGAGGACGAGGAGTTCAAGGTCGACGAGACTAGCCGAGAATTTCAAGTTCTAAACCCCAGCACTGTCATCGACCCTGACCAGCAGCTCGATCCCAAGGCTCCGAAGAGATACCAGGCCAAGGATTCCGACGACGAGTCTAGCGACGACGAGATTCGGGCAGTGCCCAAGAGATCAGCCGAAGTTACCATGCGCGTCTCTTCAACACAGAATCACGGACGGCCGCTCAAGGATACTAGCTTGGGGTCAAGACAGGCCGGGCCTGGCCGCCATTTCAAATCTCGCGGTGATGTTGTTGGAGATCGCGAAATCACATTTGTGCCCAAGTCGAAGAAGAAAGACCAGGAAGCGGAGCCTGAGAAGCCACAAAGACGTTTCAATGCCGGAAGGCGGAGCGCCAGCTCAAACACATTCCGCAAAATGTGATTTACTATCAGCAATTGCGACCAACCTATATGTACATTTGTCATTCTAGAAGACTATTCTGTCATGATTCCCCAGCATCAATGAAGCACTTCATTTAAAACAGACGAGTTGCAAAAATTCCAGTCTCATCGCCACAAGCTTTCCCACCAGCTACTCTTGCGACTTCTTTCCCTTATCTCTCTTGGGGTATCCTTTCTCTAAATCTTCGTTAGATAATCTCAGCATACCATCTCTGCTATCGGAGGTTTGCAGGCGGCTGGATTTTGGTGCTTCGACGGAGCGCTTGACTGAGTCTGGAAACTGTGACCGGCGGGGTGTAAGTGCTGCAGCAACTTTCCGCGCCGATCTTCGAAGCTTCTCCCGGACTTTCCACTCTCTCTTCTTGGCGATGAAGAACAGAGTAGCGGTAGACACTGCATTGCAGTCATTAGCGATTTGCCGATAGGATACAAGCCACGGCGCCTCAACTTACCACCAACAATGACAACGACGACCACGACGATGATGATGGCAATCATGCCTCCGGTAGAGAGGTTGATTGAGTTCTTTGAGCTGTCTCCAGCGGCACCGGCCTCGGTTCCCGAGTCGACAGGACCCTCGCCAGCATCGGTAAACTCGTTTGTCGGAAGCGGAAAATGGGCCGAGGTGGTGGACATGATTGCCTGGCGGTGGGAGTATGAAGGCGACTCTCTAGTGAGGTGCGTCACACGATCTCGGTCAGCGAAAAGAAAAGCGCAGGGCGTATGGTCAAGGCGTTTGAAAGTGATTTTTTGGAAGCTAGAAATTGCAAAGGAAGAATCAAAATAAATCTGAAAGAAAGAAAGAAAGAAGACGGCGCAATACATAATGCATGATGCACCCGACTATACACGGGAGATTTGCTTGGCGCTCTATGTTTAGCTTGGTGCATGTATGTACATACATAAAAGTGTGGCACAAGTCCACACAACGTTGTTCCTGCATGCTGCAATGCCGGTACTGAGTCGAGGACACAGACACTCGACCACCAATAGCCATTCGAGAGGGACACAAAAAAGAAAAGCACTCCTAGACCCCATACCCCGTCCCACGCCGGTACTTTGCTGATTGGTGTGACTGCGATCCACACCATCGCGAAGCGCTGAGGTCGGCGCTTAGCAGAAAGCCGTCCAGCCAATGGCGGCCAAGACATGGCACAAAACAGCTCCCAGACCTGCATATGGCGCCACTAATTCTGTGATTCTCGGGGACGGCGTGCAGCGTGGCAGAACAAGTCTATCGTCTGGGTATTGTCTCGCAGATCGATGACAGGGTGTCGTCGGACCAACTCGAAGCCGCCCTTGGCCATGACCCCACGACTCGCCTTGTTGGCCTCGATGGTGATTGCGACCATGCACTCAGGGACTACGCCCCCGGCATTCCCGTCTGGGATGGTGGTCTTATCAACATTTAAGTGAACCTCTGCGCGGGGCAGCGTCCACCACAACTGGAGAAAGCCTTGGAGGAACTCGGTGCCGTAGCCTTGGCCCCAGAACTCCTTCCTGAGTGAGTATCCTATCTCGGGCCAGCCAAGCGTGCCACAGCGTCTGTGACAGCCACCCTGTCCAATGACTTGACCAGTCGATGCTTGGCAGATGACATAGTCTTGTCTTTCCGCGGCGTTTTGGAGCATGGGCTCGAGGGATTTCTTCGTCTCTTGAATGTCGGTGTGAGCGATGCCTGTTGACGTCCACTGTGCAACCTCTGGGTCAGATTGCATCTCATATAGCGCCTGTAAGTCCGCTTCTTGATAAGGTCGTAAAAGAAGGCGCTCCGTCAAGATTGCGGCCCGTTGTTCTGGTGGTGGAAATGGCACCACAGGCAACGTCGATGTGACAGCCACAAGTTCAACCTCTCCTCGAGTAATTTCCTTGCCTGCGGCCATTGAATCGAAGTAACAGGATTTATATTGTCATTATTGAATAAAACCCCCCTGATCTGTTTCCTTCCATTATGAAATCCCTCGCGCTTCATCTGGCGTGACTCACAGCTTACTCTTCCCTCCCCGCTGTCAGACTAACTTGAGTTAGGACTGCGCAGCTGAAAACAAACAGGCCGTCATGGAGACTTTTGAACTCGGCTAAGTGTAGGGTGTACTCCGTATACAATACGGGATGACAAAGTGCGGAGAAACGAGATTTTCATGTTGAAAAATAGAGAAATTAGGACAAAGGTTGGTTCAGCAAAGCGAGGTGAAATGCCAGTTCTGGTTCGTGAGGGGCCGCCAAGTGGCAGCTGCCAGCTGTGTTGAACGGTGCTCCTGCCAGCTGCCCGCAAGTACAGAAAACTGGCGTTTGACTCTTTCTGCGTCTATAACTTTCGAGTCTGATCAAGATATATGCCTCTTTTTTGCATTGACAATAATCTAGTCCCTAGCTAGTGCCGCAATCAAGAGTCCGCTCCGCAACTTCCCACTTGTCAGCTACAAGCGTCTCGCCTACCAATCCGTGCCGCGCCGGAGGCTCGCTTGTGACAATGGCATCACATTTCCGAATGCCAACGGAAGGATTATCAGATGATGATCTCTCCAGAGGATTCTCATTCGATGCTCGGCAAGCAAACAAACAAGGGCAGTTCTCCGGTCCAATACCCAAGAGCACCGTGCCAGGCGTACAGTCCGCCAGTCCACCAACTCCCGTTTTACCACTAAAGTCTGTTTCGCAACGTCTAACAATTCCTTTCCCCGGATTAGACTTTACTTCCAATACTCTGAAGCAAATAGAAAGTCCTCTTGTCTCTGCCGCTCGCGACAACGACCAAGTTCAGGACATCGCAAACAGGAATCCAAGTGTTTCTTCTCATTTCTCCCATGGAAGCGATCACGCTGAGCCAGCTCCAGGCGATGCAATGCAACCCAAAGATAACGCCCGTGGTGTCCTCGACCAACCTATTTTGACCGCTATTGGAAGCCACAGCCCGCCAGCTCCAAGGTGTGACAAGCAAATCGCGGCACCATCTCCAACGGAGGTGCAGGACAGGCCGTCCTGCGATGTGGGCAATGTTTCCTCCAACACCATCGATAGCATCATGAGTAATAACGACAGTCGCAACGGGAGAAGATATTTTCCAAGAGACTACAGCCGAACCCCAACGTCACCACCGCTCTGTGGCGATCTCGAAGGATTCGGTATCTATGAGTCCTCGCACCCAATCCGAACACCTCCAAGTCATATCAGAATGATTCGACGAAGTCAATCTCGAACTCGCTCCTTCGACGTCGACAACTCGGCTTCCCGACGCACCCACTCACGTGCTAGCAATATCTCGCGCAAGAGACAGGCTGATCATCATATCTCCGAACCAGACCGGAAACGCGTTGCCATGAGCCAGGCAGTAAAGCATTGGAATGAGTGCATGCAAATTACAAGTGAGGAGTCCGATCGAGCAAGATCTACCATACAAAGCTTGAAGAAGAAGCTGCAGCGACAAGCAAAGGACCTTCAGGCAGCCCAAGATGCCATGAAAAAACGTGACACTAGCTTTCGAACTTTACAAAAAGAGTACGAGCACCTGCAAACAAAGGATAGTCAAGTTTTTGAGGACAAGAAGGATCTTGAAGCAAAACTCAACAACCTGATTGTCGATTACAAAAAGCTCCAAAACCATGTCAAGGAAACGACCACCAAATTCAGCAGCTGTGAAGGAAAGCTTGGCAGTGCAATTAATGAGCAGCGCGAGCTTTTTAACAAGTCAAAAAACTTTTATATCAGTCTCAGCAATCAGATGAATCAGGATGAGGCACGAGGAAAGGCCAACGCCGAAGCAGTAGATAGAGCGCTGCAGAGCAGCAAGCAAAAACGCGACGAGCTTAGAACAATGGTGGAACATATCCAACGCGACCTTCATTACCAGAAATCAGAATGTGGGTGACATTCCTATTTTATCTTTTTGGCGCTTCGCTGACCAAAAGCACAGATGAACACAAGATCAGATCTCTGGAGAAAGAAAACGAATCTCAGTGCGACCAAATCGATGTAATCGAAGAAGACAAGGAGAGATTTTACAACGAAATGGTCGCAAATCGCTCTACAAAAGCGTGTATTGACAAAGTCGACTACCAATTAGGTAGTCTTGTCAGTCAGCTTCGAGCTCTCGATGCATCCCAAGACACTACCGCGATTGAGCTAAGAAACATGAAGATCAAGTTCGTGCTTTCTTCTTTTTGTTTCATTTCAGCGCGGGTGCTTGGATAGGCTAATAACTCTCAGGGTTGATGATTTGCCAGGTAGCCATGACTTTGCTGAGGTAAAGGCGCAGGTCTCGAGATCACACGACAAGCTCCATGGCTTGGAGAAGCTTATACAAGAAAGGCAAGTAGTATACTGCGTGAACTTTTAGGCTGGATCCTAATTATCGAGAAGCCTTCTACCTGCGATTGAAAGCATCGCCTCGAAACAGTCTGAGTCTCAAGCATCTGTGAATTCGCTTGCGGCAGCAGTCCAAGACAGATTGACCAAGCTTCAGGAGCAGATCCAGACACATGCAATTAACCTAGGGCAGACGATCAAAGGCAGTCACGAAAATCATGCAGAAGTCATAGACATGCTCGCATTAATATCAGCGGCCAATGAGGACGTATCAAGCCGAGTAGAGGTTGGAAATGGTCGCTTGGAGAGCCTCGTCGATGGGATGTCATCCCACGGCACTATAGGTTCAAGCATTGCCGCCATCTTGAAGTCGAATCAAGAGTATTCTGAAAACAATAACAAGATTGTGTCTGCCCAGGAGGGGGCCCGAGATGAGGCACAGCGATTACACGACGTGCTTGTTGAGCAGATTGATGCAAAGTTTCTCAACCACGACGCCGTCTCCAGGAAACTGATTACCAGTTTAAGAGAAAACTTTGATGCTGGTTTAGCGACACTCAGGAAACGTCTCTCTACAAGCAACTTACGACAAGTGAATGGCAACAAACCCGCCTTCGCGGATAGTAAAATGATACAAAATGTGGAAGCAATGCGATCAAACCTACAGCAGGTCGAGTCAAAGCTTTCGAAAATCGACGATGTATCCTCGTCTCTTCAAAATATGCGCGACTTGAGCCTCTTGATCCAAGAGACGTCCAGATATATGGACAAGGAGGAGCAATGGCTTCAGCAAACATTGACCGACAGGGCACTGCATTCAGATGGCTCTGGAACTACGGAAAAATCAGCGAACCATACATCGAGTAGCCAGTCATCTGCAGCCTCGAGTACCAGCCCAGGATATAGCAGTCAAGACGGCATTAGCGAGACTATTTGTGATAATCAAATTCGAAAGGTTGTTGTGCATAGCCCGAGGCCACAAGATGACTCACCGCTCCCAGTTACCACTTCTCAGGAGCAGCGCCGCAGAAGAGAGTCTGCACGGCCAAGATCAATCTTGAAGCAGCCCCATAGCAAAGTCGTCGCGCCCAAGATTCTGGTTACTTCTTCTCGCAACAGCTTTCACTCATCCGAAGAGGTGATTGCGGATATTCGCTCAACTCTAGTCCAGTCTCCTACGTCAGCATATCCGTCATGGCGTCGAATGATTGGGCTTACACCAATGACAGAGTACCTGAGGTTAAACAAGGCTGCCAATAGCAGTAGATCGGGTGTTGTGCTTGGAGACTTGGCAGATGTGGAAACAGCAACGGACCAACCCGGTGCAGCTGTGAAGATCACAGCAACAGTTTGAGGAGGGTCGAGTATTTATCCGAGGACAGGGGTGAGGGAGTTCATATGTGAGAATTTGCTTGAGTTGCTTCTTCGCTTAGCTTCACTGGACCAGTAAACAAATGGACAGATTGGTTGGCCGAATTGTGTGTTCATTTCCAGGTTCCAGTATATGGTATGTGAAGCGTGGTTCAACATCTAAGTACAAAGCGCATATGGCGCGTGAATTGCCCGTCCGTTAACTCCAGGTATGCGTGTGTTATAATACAATGCGACAGACTCGTCTCGATCGGGGTAACATGTCGTTACATAATCATGCGATGTCGTCTTGGCCGTGATCCGCGTGGTGGTAGGCAAAGCAAGGGGTGTATGATGATAGTAATACACTCGAATGTCAAATCGAACTGTCAAATCGAGGATGACGTCGTCACTTATTTGCCTTTTCGCTTCGATTCGAGGAAGAGAACCTTCTTTCGCACTGCAGATAACCCCAGGTTAGCCGCAGCGGAGCGGATCAAGGCATATTGCCTTGCGGAGCGGAAGGCGAGGACCATTCGCCACATACCAATCGGGTCATACTTGAGCAATCCCATGGGCAGAGCTGTGCGCGGGCGCTTAAAGGTGTAGAAGAAGCCGGTCATGGCCATGGAGATGAGGCGCACGTGGATCAGACGAGTTTTGGCTGCAAGCACGGGAAGGAAGGAATTGTTAGCAACGAGGCCATAGAATAGGATTGTAAGCGATTTATTGGAGGAAGGGGGGAGAGGAGCAATTGCGCACCTTTCTTGGCCATGTTTGCGGTGAACTTGGCGTCGCGTGCTTTGAGATAAGTTACTGGCGTCACACGGCGATCGCATCAAAAGTTGAAGCTTCATCAGCCAAGGGGAAATTTCCGGGCCGGAAAAACGGTAGGGCCGCAACAGGGGCCAGGACAGTTTTGGCGCGTTGTAGCGGATTGTTACAGTGGACGAACCCGCTGTAAGCCTTTGTATTGTCAAGACAGTAACACAAGCATGGAAGGGCGAATTATAGGGAAATTACCCCCAATAAAGATATTGATACAAATAAACCCTTCTTTACTCAAATTCCAAGAAAGCTGCCTCAACTTGCCCTGTCTATAGCGCCAGCCACAGGAGCAATCTGAAGTGCCTCACCCTATTAATAGGTAGGGAAGGAGATGGGAGAGCTTGTTGAAGCGACGCGCCATTTGTGATGTGAAATGAAACGTCCCAAGTCCGCCCACGCTGCATAGTCCGTCTTGTCTGACATGGGACTTTGACGGTCTGGATCATAACGAGGGCCATCCCGGATATAGCGCGGCTTATCAGCGACGACCAAAATGAGCAGCTCAACAAAACATAGTGCGGCAGCCTGTGCATTGGGAGTAAAATTCGCTCAAGCAACTACCAGGTTTCTCCTTGATATTTTGATCAATTGCCGGACCTCCTGCAGAAACAGTTCACAAACTTATCGTGTTGCGCCGAGAAGTCATTGTATCTCAATGGGTCTAGCTGCTGCGCAGAGGCTGGTTACGCGGCCGTTCCCGCGAGTATCAGGTAAGAAGCTACTTTTTTCTTCTCTGCTATTATTATTCCCATTCTCTTGGCAATACGCTTGCTCTCTGTCTCATTGCCTTCCCACGATGTACAAAACGTTTCATATTCTGGTTGTTGCAAAACACGTGTTTGCCCTGCCACCGACACCGCTGCCGTTACCGGACCCGGCCTCCGCGCCGAAAAGGAAACGGCGAAGGAAAGGGCTTCGTCTTGAGAGAAGGCCGATCGATGTCAAGTGGACAATGCCACCCAAGAAGTCCTCTTGCACCGGCGTCGCCCGGCGTCGGACGAGTCCGATGAGCTACCCCAACCAAGAGAAAAACAAAGCCATCTCACTTCTGGGCTAGTTGCTTGCCTGTTGGTGTGCCACACCCCGATGCCCTGATGGACTGGGGGGTTGCTCTTTGGCTGGGCTGATCATGACGCGGGATGAGTCGAAACAGGATGACAGCTTATTAGCACGCTACTTACTATGGCCAGCGACCGGGTTTTGTCTTTTGGATGTCATTTGGGGAATTTCCATAATTGTTATAAATCGGTAACCACCCATCTGACAAAAAAGTCAATCCGTCTCACGGCATATTTACATGCACTTTCTTTTCCCGCTGCTTTCCTCCCAAAGCCGCTTTCGCTGCTAGTTATTTTTCTCTGCCCCTCCATTACATACAAGAATCAAGTCACCCACCCCGCGCTTCGCAGGTATCAAGGTGGTTTGGACACAGCACACGTCTTACTTTTATTTGCGTATGTGATGTAACAAATTATCGGTTGATATTTCATTAGGGACAATAACATTTGATGAAAGAAAAAAATTATACTGACTATATCTCTCGTCTTCGCCGCAGCTCTCTCGGCTACCCCGCCAAGCGGTCTTTTACAACCCCACGTCCACCTCGTCCGGCCTCACCTCGTCCAGGCCCAACTCCCCTCCTCCTCCTCAACCACCGTCTCCCACATCTCTCGACGCCTTCAGTCGTCGTCTACCGCCACCACTACCATGGGCCTCACCGTCGACACCATCAACCAGCGCGTCCGCAACGCTGAGTACGCCGTCCGAGGCGAGCTCGCCGTCAAGTCGGAGGAGTTCCGCGCGCGCCTGGCCAAGGGCGACGCCTCGCTGCCCTTTGATCGTGTCATCTCCGCCAACATTGGCAACCCGCAGCAGCTCGACCAGAAGCCCCTCACCTTCTTCCGCCAGGTCCTCTCCATCCTCGAGAACCCGCTGCTGCTCGAGCGCGAGGATGTCCTGCGCGACGGCCTCGGCTACCAGCCCGATGTCATCGCCCGCGCCCGAACCCTACTCAAGAGCGTCGGCTCCGTCGGCGCCTACAGCGCGAGCAACGGCGTGCCCGCCATCAAGGATAGCATTGCTAAGTTTATTCAAGGTGAGGGAAGGGCACTGTCGCCGATGTCATGGCAAACAACAGCAACAACACGGCTCTCGGCTTTGAACTTCATTTGCTAACGATCACACTCTCCCGCAGAACGCGATGGCTTCCCCGCCGACCCTGCCCACATCTACCTCTCGACCGGTGCCTCGTCGGGCGTCAACACGCTCCTCAACGTCATCTGCGCCTCCAAGCAGAGCGGCATCATGATTCCCATCCCGCAGTACCCGCTCTACACCGCCTCCCTCGCGCTCCTCGACGCCACGCCCGTCCCCTACTACCTCGACGAGTCCAAGAACTGGGGCACCGACCTCGACGCCATCCGCCGCAGCTACGAGCAGGGCAAGGCCGACGGCCTCGACGTCCGCTGCATCGTCATCATCAACCCGGGCAACCCCACCGGCGCCTCGCTTCCCGAGGCCGACATCCGCGCCGTCATCGACTTCGCCAACGAGCGCGACCTGCTCGTCATGGCCGACGAGGTCTACCAGACCAACGTCTTCGTCGGCAAGTTCCACAGCTTCAAGTCGGTCCTGCGCGCCATGCAGGCCGAGGCGCCCGGCAAGTACGACAAGGTGCAGCTCGCCTCGCTGCACTCCGTCTCCAAGGGCATGGTCGGCGAGTGCGGCCACCGCGGCGGCTACTTTGAGCTCGTCGGCATCGACCCCGAGGTCGAGGCCAACATCTACAAGTTCGTCTCCATCATGCTCTGCGCGCCCGTCATCGGCCAGTGCATGGTCGAGCTCATGGTCAACCCGCCCCGCCCCGGCGACCCCTCCTTCGCCCTCTACGACCAGGAGTACAAGGGCATCTTCGAGGGCCTGCGCGGCCGCGCGGCCGCCCTCCACAAAGCCTTCTCTGAGATGGAGGGCGTCAGCTGCGCCGAGCCCCAGGGCTCCATGTACCTCTTCCCGACCATCACCCTCTCCGCCAAGGCCGTCGAGGCCGCCAAGGTGGACGGCCGCAAGCCGGACGAGTTCTACGCCATGGAGCTGCTCAAGGCTACCGGTATCTGCGTCATCCCCGGCAGCGGCTTCGGCCAGGCCGAGGGCACCCTGCACTTCCGCACCACCTTCCTGGCGCCCGGCACCGAGTGGGTGGGCAGCATCGTCAAGTTCCACAAGGAGTTCATGGACAAGTACAGGTGAAGCGTGTCAGCGCGTGCATGCACCGTTGACTAGATAACGAAAAGAAATATAGAAGCATAAATTCAAAGAAAAAAGCAACATCTCCACCCGGTTTTTGCCGTTTATTGGATATGGCACAGCTGTGTTTAGAGCAGCGCGTTAGGATAAATACATGATGACTGAAAAAGCCGTGTTCACCAACATCGCACGTTACCTCGGAAACAGTTGCAAACATTTACGAATGTGATAAGGCTCAGTTCGGCGATTCCCGACGGCATTGTACTTGGTATCAGAAGTCATCTAATGTTGATTTCGTATCATCCATAAGTAGTAATGACACACTGCACGTTAAAATAATACTATAAACGTCTTCTTTGCTCCTCTATACTCTATGTCCTCTCGCTGCCACGGAGTCGCACTGCCTGTCCGTACTTTTGCAGTTTTGTAATAAGCTGGTCGCCCTGTCGGACAACGTCCTGGTACTGCTTGTTCTTATCGTCCGGTCGGTTCGTCTCGATGACACCCTTGCCGGACACGCGATCAATCGTGCAGGGAATGCGGCCGGCGGCAATAAAGCGGGCGAGATCACTACACGATGGGGTGTCAGAACAACATGAAGCGCACTACAGAAAAAAGGAAGGCTTACCGGTCCAAGAAGTCAACTGTGACGCCAAAGTCATTAGCCATGCTGTCGAGGCCGACGACGCGGTAACTCTGGAGGAGCTGCTGGTACGCGCGGAGGCGCATCTCGCGGATGAACCACGTCTTGTGCTTGTGCAGGTAGCGGTCCTGGTTGAGGAACTGCTCCTCTACGGAGGCCAGCGACTGGAAAAACGTCTTGTAGTTGCCGTTGTACAAGCTGCTGACGAGGAGCGCAAGTGGCGAGAAGTCAATGGCTGCCTCCGCCTCGGGCTGCTCGGTGCTCGATCCCAGCGTCGCCAGGTTGACTGCCGTCGTCGTAGCCGTGGCGGCCTTGGGGGTGTTGGTGCCGGGGGTGTCGTCGGCGCCAGGGCCGGCGCTCAGCGCGCCGCTGAGCGCGAGCAGCTTGTCCTCGCCGTCGCCGAGGATGGCCTTGATCTCGGGCGCGTCGACCACCTTGGACTTGAAGTCTACGCGCTTCAGCGAGACGGAGCCGGCTAGGACGGAGTAGACGACCAGATTCGAGTACGTGCAGAGCTCGTAGCTGGTAAAGGTTGACAGCGAGTCGAGGAGGAGGGGTGCGGCGGCGCTGTGGGATCGGACGGTGAGGAGGTAGAGGCCCTCGTAGGCCTTGAGGCGGTTTCGGCGGTCCCAGTCGCCACCAGTCTCGACGAGGCCCTTTGCGCGCTCAATGTACTTCTTGACAAGCTGTTTGTCGCCATAGAACAAGCCCATGCGTATTATCGCGAGAACGAGGTCGATTTTGCTACCGAGGATGCCAGTCTTTTCGAAAACGTCGTCGTACGCTGTGATTGCTTTCTCCTGTTTTAGACGTTAGCACGCCTGTATCAAATTTCAGTAACGCAATGCGTCATTCGCTTACCTTGTCGCCCACGCGAGCCCAAAAGTCGGCCCGCTTACCCTTGGCGGCCAACACTTCCGTCTCGCCAGCCTGCTCCTCCGCCTCGTCCTCCTCCTTCTGAAGTTGTGCTAGCTCCTTATCGTTTTCCTCCTTTAAGCGCGCGTACAGAGCCTCGTCCCAGGGCAGGTGGACGCTGTGCGCAGCTTTGGTAGCAATCATGCCAACGAGGGAGGACTTGCGGCTGAGCGGCTTGCCGGGGCCTGAGGCGCCGCCCTCGCCGACCTGGTTGAGGATACCGTCGATAGGGTGCGCCAGGTAGCGGTAAAATGGAGCCATCTTGTCCTCGGCGATGGCATCCTGCAGAGCCTTGAGGGCGACCTGCTGCGACTGCTTCGAGGCATAGGCGTTTGTGAGGGTGAAGACGTGCTGCGAGAGCGGCAGCAGCGGCCACTTCGCGTACTGAGGATCGGAACCCATGGCTACGGCGGCGTGCTTGCGAGGGAGTCCGACGACCGGCTTGGGAAGGCTTGTTGATGCGAATTGGGAGATAAGCGAATGGCGGAAGATGATGGAACTGAGCCCGTCGTGAGAGTGTAGCTTGGTCAACGTCGTGGAGCCGGCCCAATTTAGTAGTTGCAGGAGCGCCGCTTTAACAGCATGCTCTTGTTAGTCACGTGTGCTCACGCTGCAAGCGCCTGTTTACGGATACCATCCCACATGTTACACTAAAGCAGCGCTACAAGCACCACGCCTTTGAAAGCTCCAAGCTCAAGGCTTCAGCGTGACGCGGACTTGTGGACGACTTGTGCTGCTTGAGAGGCGAGACGATAACCGTCAGCAAATTTGGCTCTATGTACAGATTACGGCGATCCGGAGTCCCAAGTTTGTCAGGAACCACACTCTAATGATTTGAAATTCCTTTTTCATGTACCCTATAAATATGAATTCCACGCGTGCACATCTCGCACGAATGTGCTCGGGTCCGCCTCCAGCGAACTGGCTTGCTCGACAGTTGTCACTCCAGCACTTGACCAAGTGACAGAGGAGCCATTCTTTCATGTGCGCCTCGTGAAACCAATTTTCCGGCTTGGCCATTTGTCCTACTCTTGATTTTATTTTTCCTTGCGGTCTCAATCCACCGCCCTCGGACTACCCCAGCACGAGTCGTGTTGTTTGCAACCTTTATGCGTGCCTGGTGGCCTTACCGAAGGGCGCTCGACAGCCACGATCCTGTAACATCTCCAGCAAGCACGCCAACGAAAAAGCAACTCCCCCCAGCACAACTCAACCAACTCAACCACTCCACATCCGCCTCGCAACCCAATTGATACCAAAGATACCGCAAAACCACCAGCGTCCCCAACAACTATTCCTAATCACACTACGAGATAATTTTGGCCGCCATGGCTCGAGACGACGACGACCGCGGCGGCGCCAGGTCTCGATCCCGAAGCCGCAGCCCTACCAGAAAACGCAAGGCCGAAGAGACCACCGACGATCTCCCGCAACCATACAATGCCAACAGTCTACATGCAACCAAGCGACGAGCCGTATCGCCATCCGAGCAGCCGCGAAAGCAGAAACGTCCCGGCGCCCGGGCTCGCATCTCCGAGGCGGAGCGTGAAGCCATCCGTCAGCGACAGATTCAGCGTGATCGAGAGGCCGCAGACGCCGCCGCCGCCCTCGCCGCCGAGCAAAATTACCGCGGGCGCGGCAACCACGACGTCGTAAGGCAGCACTACAACAGCGTGCCCGAGCGCGGCCGCCAGTGGCGCACGACCGACAGCAAGATCAAGGGCCTCCGCGTCTTCAACAACTGGGTCAAGAGCTGCCTCATCCAGCGGTACTCGCCCGACGAGGACCACGCGCCCGGCTCGCGCGAGCTGGGCCGCTCCAGCGGCAAGGAGCTTCTCATCCTCGACATTGGCTGCGGAAAGGGCGGCGACCTCAACAAGTGGCAGGCGGCCCCGCAGTCCGTGCAGCTCTACGTCGGCCTCGACCCGGCCGACGTCAGCATCGAGCAGGCGCGCGGCCGCTACCGGAACATGGGCAACCCACGGGGCGGCCGTGGCGGTGGACGCGGAGGCCACCACCGTGGCCCCCCGCCCCGCATGTTTGACGCGCGCTTCCACGTCAAGGACTGCTACGGCGAGAGCATCGAGGACCTCGAAATCATCCAGCAGGTCGGCTTCGACCCGTCGCCCATGAACCGCCGCGGCTTCGACGTGGTCAGCATGATGTTCTCGATGCACTACGCGTTCGAGTCGGAGAAGAACGCGCGCAACATGCTGCGCAACGTCGCCGGCGCGCTCAAGAAGGGCGGCCGCTTCATCGGCTGCATCCCCAACTCGGACGTCCTAGGCGAGCACGTGCGCAAGTTCAACGCCAAGGCGGCCGAGCGCCGCGCGGCCAAGAAGAAGCAAGAGGAGAAGGATGGGGCGCCTGAAGAAGGGGCGGCGAGTGCCGAGGCCGGCGCTGACTTGGAGGCGGCGGCAGCAACCAAGGCCGCCGAAGACGCGCCCGCGGCGGAGCAGCCTGAGGACGGCGAGCTGGAAGAAGGTGAGGCCGAACCCTCGGCGGAATGGGGCAACTCCATCTACCGTGTGCGCTTCCCCGGCGCCACGCCGGAGGACGGTGTCTTCCGCCCGGCGTTCGGCTGGAAGTACAACTTCTTCCTGGACGAGGCCGTCGAGGAAGTGCCCGAATACGTCGTCCCCTGGGAGGCTTTCCGCGCCCTCGCCGAGGACTACAACCTCGAGCTGCAGTTCCACCGCTCCTTTCCCGAGATATGGGCCGCCGAGAAGGACGACCCGGAGCTAGGCCCCCTGAGCGAGCGCATGCGCGTCCGCGAGCCCAACGGCGGACCCTTGCTGGTCAGCGACGACGAGATGGAGGCGGCGAGCTTCTACGTCGGGTTTTGCTTCTACAAGGTGTGAATGAACACTGGGGTGAGGTGTCGTTGATTAAAAGGCTGGTTTTATTATTATTTACAAAGATAGGTTCAGGTCTCAATACTACATGGCGAATATATTGATTGTTGTTCACGTGTGTTCCCCATGCAACACAGCATACAAAGTGGACTTGGAATGGAATGAAAAGAGCGGTTTTTTGCTTCTTTATGTAAGTTGGGTATCATAGTATCATTAGCTGGGGTGTTTTCGTGACACCTTTCCTTGCTTACAAGTGTTGACCAGAGACATTAAAGTAGGCGTTTCTATTACAATATCGAACCTCATTTCTCAAGATATCACCACCAGCACATCGCCAGGCTCCACCATGTTACCCTCGGTCTTTTCAACCAAGGCCACCGTTCCTGTGGCCGGGCTTGCAATTGCAATCTCCATCTTGTTGCTCTCTATCCATATCACCGCATCGCCCGCCTTCACCTCGTCTCCCTCCTTGACACCTACCCTGAAGCAGCGACCATGCATCTCCGCAACAACCAGAACGCCATCCACCACCGCCGTTCGGCTCGCCGAGTCGTCCGCAGGCGTCGCCCCCGCCTTGGGGGGTGGCTGCAACAGCTGCTCCAGAAAGCGCGTGTTCTGGAACGCTGCCTTGCGGCTCGCGCTCGTCTTGTCGATCGAGCTTTCGTTCTCCAGCAGCCAGGCCTGGTACTCGTCCAGAGATAGCACGTCTTCTTCCATGAACACCATCGTCTCCGCGTCCAGCTGGTCGAGCTGAGACTCGGGCACCGGATAAAAGGAGATCCGGTCAAACATACGAAACTTGCACAGCTCGTCCAGCGACTCGTTGGGTCTTGGGAGCTTCTCAGCGGTGTGCTGCAGTGCCGTGTTGTCCCACACGTCGATGGTGCGTCCGACCAGCTGATAGCCGCCAGGGCTCGTGCCGCCGTAGATGCACATGTACTGGCCGCCGATTCCCACCGCCCCGCGCGGTGTCGTGCTCCGGGACGGGTTGTACTTGGTCCCGTAGAGGCGATGCCTCGGGTCCATCGGCACCGCGCACGGGCTGCCGAGGAAGACGTCGCCCAGGCCGAGCACCAGGAACTCAGCTTCATACATCAGTCTCTCGACAGATCCTTCCTCCAGCTCGTTGAGCTGCTCCAGGAACTTGATGTTGCTCGGCAACAACGGAGCGTCGGATCTGATCGTGGCCGCGTAGCGCTGCACGGCCTCTTGGCACAGCAAGTCGTCGACCGCGAGAGGGAGGCGGAACTTGCGCGACAGCAGCTGACGAGGTACCTCGAAAAGATGCGACTCGAGTCGGTCGAAGATAGTTTTCGGTGAGACGCCCTTCTCATAGTCGACGTGCAGGGTTCGGACTCCAGGGGAAAGCTGCTCTACTCCAAGGATGGGCACCTTGTTGTGCTGCTCAACGAAGCCCCATATGGTGAAGCTTTGAGCGAGGTCGAAGCCGTCCACCTCGCCAAACTCGAGCAGCATGCAGTGGTCGCCAGCTTGCCGGACGGACACGGTTGTCTCTCCACGACGAAATGACCCGAAAACTGGTGAAGCAGTCAGGTCTATGCCATTCGTGACGACGTCCGTACCATGTGCGCTGCTCATGCTGTTGATAGCATTTTCGCCATTCGTCTTGCGGATTTCGATCCCGTTTGTCGATTCCACGAGTTTCTGCTCTGTTTGTGTCGCCAAACTGGCAGCTTGTGCAGCACTCATGGGTTCAAACTTGACCCGGTCGCCCGGCTTTAGCTGGCCCAGCTTCCACAGTTCAGAGCTGGCCACGACGCAAAACACGACGAATCCGCCGAGACTCGGGCCGTCACAGGCAAGTATTATCGCCTCGTCGCCAGTGAAGCTCACGCTGCCGATGGAGTACGGCGCATCATGGATGTTGGACGGATGCAGCCCGGCCTCACCGCCATTCTCGCGTGCCCACTTTGGCAAGGGACCGGAGAGTCGAATGCCCAGCCTGTTTATGTTGTGATGGACAGACCAGGTGTCGTTGAACAGTGTCGAAACCCCGTCTGGAGTGAAGTAATCAGGCGAACCGTGGGGGCCTGGCACGACGCCAATGTTCCAGAGGGGCGAAGTTCCGCTCGGGATCAGAGCCGGGGAGATACTTTTTGCTGTGGCCTGGCTATCGATGAATTGCCCAAGTCTGATGATGTCGCCTTTTTGCAGTTTGCGTCCATTATGGCCACCGAACTTGCCCAGCTCAAAGGTAGAGCGACTGCCAAGAACCGATGGTACATGGAAGCCACCGAGCACAGCAATGTAGAATCGATAGCCGGTGACTGCTCTACCAACTTTCAGAACATCATTCTTGCTCACACGGAGTGGTTCATTCATGGCTGCCATCTTGTCATTGATTTGGATCTGGCCTGTTGCGCCGGTGACCGCCACGACCGTGTCTGCGTGGAAGAGCATCGTTGGTCCATCAAATGTAGCCTCGAGTACTGGTGCTTCTTCAGTGTTTCCAACGGCATAATTTGCCAGCCTTGCGGAATAATCGTCGATTGGTCCCGAGGGGGGTATACCGGCATGCCAGAGACCCAGACGCCCGGGATAGTCCTGAATGGTAGAGCTCGGGCCGGCTTCGACAACTTCCACCGCGGAACAAGTATAGTCAACCGTTTCGAGTGTGTTGGTGGCGTATTGGCCTGAAATAAACCACTCCCTTGTCAGGAGATGATGAAGATAATCTATGTTTGTTTCAACACCGACGATTCGGGTCTCCGTCAGGGCATTGGCCAGCTTCTGCACTGCCTCCGCTCTATCCCGACCATTGACGATGACCTTGGCAATCATGGGGTCATAGAGAGAAGTAATTTCCGTTCCCTTTGATACCCAAGTATCGACCCTCGCGTTGGAGGGGAATTGCAGATCCAGAATGGTACCCGTGGAGGGACGGAAATGCTGCAACGGACTTTCAGCGTAGATGCGAGCTTCAACAGAGGCGCCAGAGATTGGGTGCGCAAAACTTTGGCTCTTGGAGAAAAGATGCTGGCTCTTGGAGAAGAGATCGGTCAAGCCTTCCCCGCTGGCCACCTGTATCATGCATTCGACAAGGTCAAGGCCAGAGACGGACTCGGTGACGGGATGCTCGACTTGCAAGCGCGTGTTGACCTCGAGAAAGTAAAAGTCGTGCGTGTCGCTGTCATAGATGAACTCGACCGTGCCAACATTGCGGTACTTGACAGCCGCTGCCAAATCATGGGCAGCTGCTAATAACCTCGCGCGCACATCATCGGGCAAGTTGAACGCTGGCGACTCCTCGAGAAGCTTCTGGTGACGTCTCTGCAGCGAGCAGTCGCGCTCGCCGATCGTCACGACGTTGCCGGCGCCATCCCCAATGACCTGCACTTCGATATGTCGGGCGCGGCATACAAAGCGCTCGAGAAAGATGCCGCTGTTTCCAAAGTTCTTCTCGGACAGTTGCCTGACGGATTCAAACCCTTCCTTGATCATGTCCACGTTGTCGCATCGCTTGATGCCGATGCCGCCGCCGCCGGCCGTGCTTTTGAGCATGATGGGATAGCCCAGCTCTTCCGCCGAAGCGACGGCGTCCTCGACGGAAGACAGGATCCTGCCGCTTCCGGGGACGACGGGTACTCCAGCACGCAGCGCAACGTCACGGGCTTCGTGCTTCAACCCGAGCGTGCGCATCTGCTCCGGGGTCGGGCCGATCCATACCAGGCCGGCGTGCTCCACGGCATGAGCAAATTCAGCGTTTTCAGATAGGAATCCATAGCCGGGGATGACGGCATCGGCTCCGACTGACAATGCGCACTCGACAATCTTTGAGCCGTTCAAGTAGGTATTGCTGACAGCGCCTCCTCCGAGCGCAAGGGCCTCGTCGGCTTCTTTCACATGAGGGGCCTTGATGTCTGCATCGGAATAGACGGAGACGGTGGCGATTTTCATTCGTCGGAGGGTCTTGATGATTCGTAGGGCGATTTCACCACGGTTGGCAATCAACACTTTGCCAATGGGCTTGTGCACTCTTGAGCTAATCGTGGTATCAGAGCCATCCGTGCTCTGACAGTCATCCGGGGTTCCGGAGCCACTCGTGGTATAAGTCTCATCTGTTGTGTAAAGGCTGTGGGTATGTTGGTCAAGCTCCACGACATCGTTCTTGGTGGTCAACCCGGACTGATCCGCCAAGAAACATCTCCAACCCCCGTAGGATGTAATATCCTGTGCGTCGGCGAGTCCTACCGGCTCGCAGATAAATCCAAGAGACCAGGAGCCGTCTTCCAACTCAACCGATCCGATCCCGAGCGGATGAGGAATCGTCGCTATAAAGCTTGCCAGATTCTCCGAGGGCAGTGCCCACACCTCCGCTTCGATCTTCTCCCCTTGCTCCTCTAGAGAGACGCGTTTGAGGCCAGGCTTCCTTATGCCGTTCTGAGGTGGCAGTGCAAAGAAGCGATAATTGGCAGAAGTCCTGGTCGTCACCTTCAGAATGCCTTGCCGGGTTGTCAGGTCCTTGTTCAACGGTAGTCCAGATAGGTGAGCCCCGACGACTGCAATAGACACGAGATTGGGCGGTTGCGCAGTCCCATCGGCCTGTGAGCCCGTTGCAAGCTGCCGAGGCTCCTGAAACTCGACTTTCGTCGCACCCAGCAGCCTCGGGGCGCGGCTCAGGAACTGCGTGGCCCATTGCAGGAGGGCAAACTCTTGCCAAGGTTTGGCAATGAGCGTGAGACCAAAAGGCAGGCCGTCCGTCCTGAACCCGGCAGGAATAGAGAGCGCACTCCAGCCCAGAAAGTTGACAAAGTTGGTGTACGTGCCAAGGTTGGAGTTGGCGCCGACCGGATCCCGAGCAATGTCTGCGTGGGTTGGGAACGTTGGCGTCGTCGGGACGAGGAGGAAGTCGTAGCTTTCAAAAGCAGTCTCTATTGCCCGAACCAGCTCCTGGCGCTTATATTCCGCAGCGAAAGTATCCGCGGCACTGAAGTTGCGAGCCTTCAAAATAATGCTCCGAACGGTAGGGTCCATCATCTCCGGCTCGGCCGACTCGATAAAGTCGCGGATTGCCTGGTATCGCTCAGCCACCCACGGCCCTTCGTAAAGCAATCGCGCAAGGGCAAAGAGCAAGCCAAAGTCCGTCGGTGTGAGTTGCCAGTCCTGTGCTCTCATGCCGTCCAGGGCCGTTGAGTATGCGTCTTGCTGCTTGTCGTCGCCGAACCACGGCGGGTTGGAGCAGATCGCCACCGTCGGGCGTTGTCGCGGGACCGTGGCTGCCTTTTCAGGTCTCTTCTTCGAGTATGCATCGTCGAGGTCCAGACCTTCGGCGACACTCAGCACGAGAGATGCATCGGCAACCGTCAGCGCAAAGATGGACACGCAGTCTAGCGTGCGACAAGCCGGGACGACACCAGTCGTGCTGAGGGCGCCGGGCGTTGGCTTCAAGCCGAGAACGTTGTTGAAGCCGGCTGGAACCCTCCCCGACCCAGCCGTGTCGGTGCCGAGGGCAAACGGCACGACTCCCCGTCCAACAACGGTGCCGCTACCTGAGCTTGATCCTCCGCTGACTCGGGACGGGTCGAACGTGTTTGGCACGGCACCATATGGTGATCGCGTGCCGACAAGACCGGTTGCGAACTGGTCAAGATTTGTCTTGCCAATCACGATGGCACCGGCGGCTTTGAGATGGGCCACCACCTGGGCATCGCGCTCCGCAGGGGACCTGCTGAAGGCCGGACAAGCCGCTGTCGTGGGGAAGCCGGCGACGTCAATGTTGTCCTTGACGGCAAAGGGAACGCCCCAGAGAGGCAAGTCGGTACGATTCAGAGCTTGAAGCTCATTCCACTGCGTAAAAATCTGGTCCTCAGTGGCGACGGCAATCCATGCGCAGCTGTTCAATCGACGCTCATCTTCGGCCAGGCTTTGTAAACGTGCAAGGCCTCCGGTGCCGGCCTGTGCAGTTCTCCAATCCTCTATCGTGACAACTTGATTGATCATGTTGCTAATAAGCTTGTCACTCTTCCGAATCGGGTGTGACTTTGCAAATATCTACTGGTAGGAAGACGGCTGGGAGGTTTGAACCTGTCACTATATATATACCTGGTCCTGTACTTGCTCTCGGCAGGCCGCGACGGAGGGCCCCGACGAAAGACAGCAAAGCAGACGCCATAGCGATGCATAGTTCTCCACGGATGCATAAAATTTGGGTCGTATAGGTGCGTTATTTGATAAGAAGCTCGTCGAGTTGATAGGGCGCAGTGGGAAGGCCAAGAAATGGTTGCTGCGTTGCCTTGTCTACACGGGGAACCCGTTGGCCGAGTCTCATCGCTGCACCGAAGGAAAGTTCCGATGAATTAAGGTTTCTCGGGTCACCCGAAAGGAACTTCGCGCCCATTACATCTATTGGAAATTTACCAGAATCTTCCTTGACTACATTGCTCCTGTGGTCTTTGTACAAGGCTGCGCAGCGATGTAGCGATATCGGGTTGTCCCTCCATCTCCTCGTTGGTGGCTTCCTTATCTGAACCCCGATCTAACCAACCACAGAAGATCTACCCGCGACTTTATCCTATCAATCTCTTATCTACCCCAAACACGAACGAATACTGCGGAGTTGATTAGATACGAAGACAGGTACGATAGCCCTCTTATCATGGATTTCCCCCAGACATGATGCAGCTGCTGCTTATCGCTGATGCGCACGATAATGTCGCGGAAGCCCGACTCTTCGGCCGCTGCCGATGACGACCTCGGCTTCGCTACTAATATAATTCATGGCACTCTTTGAAGCATGACAGCTAGTGACATATAGGTATATTATATAGTAGTCACAGTTGCTTTCATTAACTTTTTCTCTTATTTTCCTGTACCTGGTCTTATCATAAAGCGCCTCACCATCCCAGCGATATAAAAATAATCAAAGGAGGGTAAAAAAGGGTTGTGTTGGTTCCAAGATTAGAATCGGAACTCTCCTTCATCAAAACGAAATCAAATATGCAATGGAGCGAATGAATCCAAAGAAAAAAAAGGGACGGGAAAACACCAATGACTCCTCCAGTGTTGAATTAGACTATACAAATCATGGCAAACGTGATGATTAAAAGAGAATGGTAACGTCTGCGATGCAGGGGTATAAAAGGCCACAGGGCTGGTGAGGGATCAGGCCGCGTGTCTTAGAAAGGGAGAAGAGCGTGTTCAAAGAGTTGAGTGTTGGGTCCTATGTGCAGGGGACGGCGCGAACGGGGGATCAAGATTCTAGACAGAGTTGGTGGAACGCCGCCAGATCATAGTTGCTGCAACAACGGCGCAGGCTGTAGCTCCGAGAGCAATGTACAAGCCGCTGCGGTCGGGGGCCTCCTCTTCGCTCTTGGGGAAGCCCGTACTTGGGTTGGTGGCGGCCTCGGCGACAGCGACAAACAGTTCCGTAATGCTGTTCCATGTGACGCTGACGTGTAGCGGGGTGCTCATATTGAGGGCGGCAGTGTACTGGTCGGGCTGCAGCTCGCTGCGCTGCGTCGTCTTGTCCTTGTCGGCCTTGAGGGCTGTGTACACCGCGGGGAGGTCGTCAAGGTGGGGGTACTTCTTTCGCATCTCAACAATGTGCGAGAATGAATCAGGGTCGGAGGAATCGTAGGCATAGCAGAGGAGATCGCAAGCATCCAGCTTAGACTGATTTTCCAGGATGGCCGGTTCCAACTCGCCGAGTTCCTCGAATATCATGTAGACTTGCTTGCCTCCAGGTAGCTCGACACTATTTACGGCTCGTCGTGGCTTAATGGTCGGGCGGTACAAGCCATCAAATGGCCGGTTCAGAAATGCGTCCAGTAGTGACGACTTGCCAGCGCTAGGCGCTCCGATCAAGTAGCACAGGACAACATTTCTCTCAACACGGCCAGGGCGACGTCTTCGCTTGCGCGATTTCGTAATTTTCAGCGCTGATGTGATGGAGTCCTTGGTACTCGGAGGTTCGAAACCAAGGTAGGCCAGGTAGGAGATAGTCGTGTGCGGTTCCAAAAAAGTAGTCATGCTCCATTGTGCTAACCAACCTTGCAAAGTGATGTGGCCAGCTTCATTTCGGACAGTGGTTGACGGGAAAGATGATTCGATCCAGGATGGGGGAAGGCCCGGTGTGGGGGCAAACAGTGCTTCCAGTTCTTGGTCGTTCAAGCCTCCGTCATTATCCTTGTCAAATAGCAGAAACAGGTCAACGAAGAAGCGGTATCCAGCAGGGCTGAGCTCGGCCGAAGAGAACTCGGGGACCTCGAACTTGGGGTGCAGAAACTTGTCTTCCAAACTCAAACTGTCGGTGTAGTGATACTCGCGAAGAATAATCCAGATGGTCTCATGGCGGCCCTTTTCAGCATAGAGTTTGTTGAGCTGCAAGAATCCTTGCAAATCGATACCGGGTTCCAGATTTACTTCGGGTAGCGACTTTCCGATAGAGAGCTTGATATTTTCGAGATCGTCGTCGGTCAGCGGCTTGTCGAAGCACTTGAGTTGGAACTCACGCATTTCCTGCGTGTTGAGATAACCGTCTTGGTCCTTATCGCACAGGAAAAAGATTCGCTTGAGGGCAGCGACACAAGCGGGCTTCAGCTTGCCCTCCTTGTAGTCGAAGAGCGGCGCGATAGGATGTGTGACGGCTTTTTGGCACAGGAAGAAGACTTCGTTGACGTTACGGTGTTCGCGAGCGCTAGTTCGAATACAGGAGTCAATTTCACGAAACTCGGCCATGACGGGCAGAAGCTCCTCCTCGACAACTTGCGGCGTGTTGGCTTGGCCAGCAAGGTCAGACTTGTTGGCACAGAGCACAACGGGGACGTTGACACCCAAGGAGCGGAAATAAGGCATCCAAAAGAGAGCGACGCGCTCATAGCTATAGTGGTCCGAGTATATTAGGAGAATGACGTTGCATTTTCGAATCTCCTTTCGCAAAGTTGTGCGGTCTTGGGGGCGGGCCGATGTGTCGACGACTGTGGTTGTGACATTCTCTGGGGTTCCTATGCTTGGTGGGATGGTGATTTGCGGCAGGACGGACTGAATCTTATTATTGATAAACTGATCCTTGACAAGCGAGGCAATGAGGCTCGATTTGCCGGTGCCTTCATCACCGCAGACGCAAATACGGACTGCCAAACTCAGCGTCAGTTTGGGGACGTGTTGAGGAAGCTTGATCGTGTCGAAGCTGGGGGGCGCTCTTTGGAGGACAAGTATACCTGTAGTCATGATGGATAGGGCGGAGGACGAAAGACGAAGCAGTGTTTATCTACGTCATGTCCGTGACATTTCTGTAACGAAGCAAGAGACGTATGCGGCGTTCAAGCTTAAGCGTGCCGAGATGGCCGTGGAGGAGAGAAATGCGCGACCCGAGGACGAGGAGCTGGGTTGGGACGGCGCTGGGCAAAATTGCGGACTCGCAGGGGGGGCGATTGGTCGTGATTGGTTGGGGCGGTGGTTCGGCCAGTACCAGTGCTAGGCAATTTGGTGGTGATTTGCTTCAGGGTGCTCGGTACATGAGGCCCACTACAACAGCTCTAGATCACTGAGCGGTCACTGGGCAGATGGCAAGCCCCCAGCAGTTCGAGATGCTGCAATACCTCAGTTTGGTGGGCCATTAAGACGTACTTGGGAGCTACTTCCAGCATGTGCCAATAGAGGCAAAATGATTACTCAGTCCCAATGATTGCTACAAAACACTGCCACTGCCAACCTGGCCAGATAAATAAATAACTACCTATGAGCCGGACTTTTGCTTTGATAGTTTAGTTGCCTGTCTGGTGTTTCACATACTCAATCATCTTCGGAGAGGAAAGTGCAAAGTTGTTCCACACACTCGTCACATTTTCTTCTACCACTCTCAGTACGTTCGCTGCGACTTTTAATATTACCACCATCATTACATTTAGATCCATTCCCAAAGAGTCCAAGGCATCATCAACATTGCTCAAATCCCTGATGTACTCGCGCCTGGGTAGCTCCGAGGCACGGCCACATACCAGTTACCCTACACCAAGCAACACAATGACCAACCTGAGAGTCGATCCTACCAGCCGATATACAAACAGCTAGTCACTATTTCTGGCCAGTGGGCATCCTATTTATTCAGGTTTATTCAAGACGACTTTTCGAGTGCTGCGAGCCAAACTCACTCCATGATATCGGGTCCACTCCCCCAAAGTGGTGACGCTGCCAAAGTCGCAGCGAACGTGCAGACTTACCCCATATTGCAGCCGGCGATCGGCGAATCGAGTACAACGCAGCATCGCATGGTACAAACCATACTGACACTCCCATTCTCGGACCCCCAACGACGCACATGAGAAGTGGTCGCCCTGCAAACGCCCGCGACGGAACTGGTGCAGGTCTAGCCGCAGCCACGCCTCAGTCAGCCCGGCAAGTACCTCATCAGGCACACGACATCCGTCGCTGCTCCTTGAAGGCTCTGTGGCTTGACTCTACCCCACACAGCCTCCCCCAGCTGCAGATGGACGGAGAGCGTCGCCAGCCCCGGCCTCCCAACAGCCAACGAATGCTCCTCTACCATACTCGTTGTCACTGGACACCTTCCTGATACTCATCGCTGCATTCACCGCAGCGCTGCTACGCTGATTCGACGACTGCAGCCGCGTCACCGCTGGCATCGGTCGCGGTAACGTCACCACCACCTGCGCAGCAGCAGCGCGACTTTCCCCTTCGCTCGCAACCGTCTCGACAGGGACCCGACAAAGAAGCCGACTTCGCAGAAAGCCTACCGATATGCTGTAAGTCGTGTCGGCCGAGATCGCGCAGGGACAGTGACCCCCATCACGGCAACCGTACTAACAAACCGGTTGCGCAGCGGCTTCAGCGTTCTACCACCTCCTCCGCGATACCCAGGCGTCGGCGGCTATGGAGCCGCGGGCCTAGGTGGCATTGTGCCACTTGTCGAAACAAACAACACCATTGAGAAGCCGACCGGTCCCGAATGGCAGTTCCTCGTCGGAGAAGGTAAGCGCTCCAATCAGCGCATTGCTGACCTATGGATGGGGTTTCGACTGAGCTATCGATTGACAACGTATGCAGGCACCTACGTCCTCAGAGAAGATCTCTCTTTGGCCACACCTCCTCCACATCCCTCCGAAGCTCCTATCGTGAACCCGAACCCGCTCGCGACCAACCCACAGCCCGCCAGCGCAGGAACCAAATTATCCCTCGTCAGCCTCCACCCCAAGCCGCCGCCATTTGTCTACAGAGGGCCTGCGGCGTCATCCTTTGGCGGGCTGCCCGCACAGGATGGCTCCAACGACCTTCGATACTCTACCGAAGGCGGACTGAGCAGTGAAGATGGCCGAGGGACCTCCAACAGCGATAAGCAAGGCTCACAGGTTGCCTGGGGATCGGCTGCACCGGTGTTTGGCCAAGGCAATGCGGCACTGACGACGGTCGTTACCAAAGATGTGAACAAGAGAAAGAAGCCCAAGAATAACGTCACAAAGAGCAACTCGTCATTCATTTCTAGAGTCATTGTCAATGACAGCGTCAGCCGGCGGCTCACCGACCGTCCTGCCGACGGCATCTTCGCCTTTGCCAATATTAATCGGGCTTTCCAATGGTTGGATATGTCGTCGCCCAACAAGGCAAGTCTCGCGTACACCAGGCTGAGAGATTCGCTAACACCCAGCAGCAAGACTACCTCGTCAAAGTTCTCTTTACGAAAGCCCACTGCTTGTGCCACGACGTGAACATGGCTACCAAGGGTGCTTCTCACCTCGATGTCATCATGGGGTTTTCTACTGGCGAGATTATCTGGCTCGAACCGATCTCGCAGCGCTACGCGCGGCTAAATAAGAATGTAAGTTGGACTACTTCACCTTCATCCTACGCCACTAATCTATTATAGGGCGTCATCAACAATACACCGGTGGCACACGTCAAGTGGCTTCCCGGATCCGAAAATCTCTTTCTGGCGGCGCATATGGACGGCTCGCTGATTGTCTACGACAAAGAGAAGGAAGATGCGGCATTTACGCCCGAAGACGAGACTCCATCTAATGGAGGCTCGGATGCTGGCGATGCGACAAACGGAAACTCACATGGAGTCAGCATGCTCATCCACAAATCGGTACACTCCAAGAACCAGAAGACAAACCCAATAGCGGCCTGGAAGCTATCTAACCAGCGCATACACTCCTTTGCATTCTCGCCCGATCGGCGACACCTGGCGGTTGTATCTGAGGATGGCACTCTGCGAATTATCGACTATCTCCAGGAAGAGTAGGTCATAGGCACCGTGCTTTTGGTCAAAATCACTAATGTCATTACTGCAGGCTTCTCGATTTATTCTTCTCTTATTATGGCGGATTTTCCTGTGTGGTATGGACACCGGACGGTAAATACGTCTTAACCGGCGGACAGGATGACCTCATCTCCATTTGGTCAATGGCAGACGCCGCTTTGGTTGCGCGATGCCAAGGTCATGAATCCTGGGTCGCGGCGCTGGTGTTTGATCCGTGGCGTTGCGACGATCGCAACTACCGCTTTGGTAGTGTTGGTGAAGACGGGCGACTATGCCTGTGGGACTTCTCGGCGGTGATGCTACATCGTCCCCAAACTGTACGACTTGATGGCCTTGATGGTGTTTAATGTGATGATATGCTAACAGCTTGGCTGTAGAACCGCCACAGAGGCTCGGTTTCGTCAAATGTTGGCGTAGCAGAGCGAGTCAATAGCTACGACAGCGATGAGGGCGCTGGAATTGCGCACGCCGTCGAGCCACGAGCACGCATCCCCATGCTTCCCCCAGTTATGGTATGTGTGGGTTAAAGTTGTTGCAGGGCGGTTACTGACATTTGTGAACAGACAAAGGTCATTGACAAGCATCCGCTATCATGGCTAGAGTTTACTGAAGATGCCATCATTACCAGCTGCAAAAACGGTGAGTAATTGTCGCGCGGTGTTTGTTTCTTGTCACCCTGCTAATGTTGTATCTAGGCCATATTCGAACGTGGAATCGGCCGGGCATGGGAGCTGCAGGAGAGCCCGAGTCTTCAGAGGCAACCTCATGATTGACCTGGGCGACTTTTACAGGGCATACTCTGGCGTTGGTGGTCGTTTCGTTGACACGGTGAGACATATTGTCTTTGGTGTGAGCGATGTTGTTTGCGTCACGTCGTGGCGGTGCTGCCCGGGTCATACCAAGGGAAACCTTTCACCTGCAGTCTGGGTTGTTTAACTAGTATATACTATCGTACATAGTAAGGTTCATATACCTGTATATGAAGGCACTGTTATAACTAATGACTGGTTTTTTTCTGAGGGGCATCTTGCATTGTGTATTGTATACAAGGCAGTATTATCGTATTATTAGTGTGATGTGGCTGACGGTGGGTATGATCAGCCGGCCGTGCCGGACAAGATGGTCTACCCGTGCTTGACAAGGTCTGTCTGTTGGACATTCTAGAAGGCCAAACGTTCCGCGCGTTCACTGTTGTGTCTGCACAAGACATGAAATGGAGTCTCTTGGCAGGCAAAGAAAAATTCTCGGTGTGGCGGACCGAAGCGCCGAGTTTGGCGTTTTGAGTCAGGGTAGCGCGGTAATGAGGGAGATAAGCAAGCCGTGCAACTTGATTTTCGGGTTCCTTGTTTTGTGGCAGTTTGCCGATTTTATGGGCGAAAGATAGCGCTGTGGATACAAAACGAAGAGATGAAAAAGAAAACGATGAGGAAAATGAAAATAAAAACAAAAATGGGCAACGTTAGGCCGGGAATAAGTCATGACGGAGGCCTGACGGTCATGAAGGATACACATGGTTTCGGCGGAGCCATGTAAGCCCGTTATCGCAACAGGGTCCAGCCAGAACGGCCCGGTGAAAAGTGTGCATGTACTTAATTAAATGAAGTGCATTATTATATTCCGGATGTTTTATTCATCATTTTTCCGGTTTGCCATGGCGTCTTTCTCATGGGTTGTGGGAGATGATGGGCTGACGGCTGAACAACCTTGCAGAGATAAGGCGAACAAGGGACAAGGGGCCAGCTCAACGGGATGATACACACCGTGTTTAACGATTCCGTAGCCTGTCAGCTAGCTTGTTGCTTCCCGTGAGCAGCATGGCTGAGCTAGAAGCCTAGAAGCTCGATGGCTTGGCCATGTGCCGCTTCGGTGACGTCTCAAAGGCTGATGTTGGCCCGCGTCTATCAGCTGGCTGAGTAAGTTGGGTTCACACAAAGGCCTGAGCGAGATTGAGCTTAAAAAGAGAGATAATTACACGACATCGAGCATATCGATCGAGCTGCGGGTCTGGCAACGTAGAGTGTAATTTTACCGGCTATTTTTGTGCAACATGGCATCCGATTGCACCAAGCTATTTTGCCATACTCTCTGCCAGCTACATGGCAAAGATCGAAGGGTAAATGAAAAATAAAAATCGAAAAGAAAGCCAATACAAAAGCCAAGAGTCAAGAGGTTCCACAGCGGGCAGCGACCCGCTGATATCAGGATGCTGCAGGGCCGTGGTCGCGGCAGAGATACGATGGGCTCCATAGTAAAGAGGGCTTTCTTTTTATCTAGCTATCCAGGTCGTCTTTTTCTTCCCTCTTCTCATTCGTTAGCTATCTTGTCTTGTTGGGTAGTATTTTCTGATCGGGCCGTCTTGTCAAGTTACGGGACGGACGGTGAGTTTCGAGGTGAGCTGATGGGGGAGATGCTGCTTCAGGTTGTTACATCCGAGATTGTCTGACCCTGCAAGTTGATGGTCCTGTCTATGCAGAAAAGGCCACTGCGTGCATTTCGGGCGAGAGCCTAAAGTAACGTCACCGCATCTTGGGTTCGGAGATGCACAGACGGGCGGGCTTGGACCATGGCGCGTGCTGCTCCCTGACTACCCTACCTGGCGAGGTGACGTGCGTACGAAGCAGGTAGGTAATATGTACATGACATGGCATGACACGACACACTCGACAGGCAATGCTCGCAGTAAAGCAGGCAAGAGAGGCTATCTGGGCTGCTTGTTGCTTGTTGTTTGTTGCTTGTTGCTTGTTGCTTGGCTGCCAAGTTGTATGCTGGTGGCGGTGCATAGCGACGTCTCGGAATGGCGCAAGCACGAGCCAGTTACGGAAGAGAGAGCCCTGAAGCTTTCCGATCGCCGAGGCGACTTAATTAGCGTTGGAACGGTACAGTTGACAGGTCTAATATGGCAAGCCACTCGGCAATCCTCTTTTGAGAGTATGCACAGTTGGTATAATAAAGCTGCCAGGTGCCTAATTTGATGGTGGTCCGTCTTGGAAAAAAAAACCTTTTTTAGATTAAATTCAATAAAGGCGATGAGCCTTGCTGGATGCCGTCCCGTGTGCCAATACATCGGCGTGGGCGTTCGCAGCATGTCTCAAGTCCGCGACGGATGCGGTAACTAAGTATGTAACTTGATACTTCGCTGGAATGTTGAACTGCCAGTAACAGTTTTTTTTTTAACTTTATTCGGCTGCAACCCTACACCCATGGCTAGCACTGAATAGGCTACTGAACCGGACGGCTCTCGCGGTGCAACCCAAGGGGCAAGAATAAATGGATCAGTAAGGTAAGGTAAAATAAATAGCACATGCGAGCAGTTGCTAGAGCAGGAATACACCGACTTAACCTTGTACCTAGGCATATTCCAATGTTGTTGCCTTCTATTGCATGTGCTGGTTGGTTGGTGTAAGTGAAAGCCGGGTAAGTCTGGCTGTTTGCGTGCGGTACATGATGAAAAAGGACCGCCAAAGTGGGAAAAATTATTATTAGCATCTGGCAATGAAATTCGGCTTCTGAGATTTTGTCAGAATCAGTCGTACGCGTCTACGTTTATTACTGATACGGCCTGTACAAAAGAGGCACCCCCTCGAGGGCCAACCAAGTCGCAGCGTGCATGAACAGGTGGCGGGTTGTCTCAGGTGTCGATGCGCTGTAGATGCGCTGTAAATTTCGACGAGTCAATTGCCCAATTGCCCCTCCTTCCCCCCTTGCAGGAACGCAGGTACTTATCATTACCCTATTCTTAGGTACGATCTCGGGTACCTTTTCATCGCCAGGATACCTCAGGTCTGTACCAGAAGTTCCCTCGCCGTCCACCATCGCCGACTTCCGTCTTCATCCGTTTCGCCTCACATCCAACATTACCCGTCAAGGTCTCTCTCTCTCCCTCTCTCCCATCCCTTCTCGCCATTTTCCCTTCCAAACCCACCCATCAGCATCATCATCACCAGCTATCACACCCCATCCACTCCTATCAATCCACACCCGCTGCGCCGCCGAAATCCACTTGCTCTTGCATCCGTCCACTGTTTTATACCAAAGCATCGCATCCATCACCGACCCAGACCCGGTCTCCAGTCTTTTTTCTAGTTATCCGACCAGACCACCTGTTTTTTCCCAGCGGTACTTGTACTGAATGGATGTCTATCTAGCTCGTTGATAGAGCTGCTACGGTACTTGCCTGCCTCTTCTTCGCTTTCTCCCGTTCCCTCCAATTCTCCTCCCTCATCATCTTCCTACTTCTCTCCTCCTCCTTTGAAACTCGACTGCCAGCTCGAACACTTCACGGCTCAGACAATCACGACTGCTACAGAAACCCTGTGATCGCCGAAACGCCGCCTACCTAGGTACCACTCCAGTAGCCTACTCTGAAATCGGCTTCAGCGACCGTCAGCCACCAAACCGGACCCCCCCACCAAAGGCGCAAACCAGCCAGACAATTCGTGACTCTCATTTCGACGCTGGATAACGCCTCGTTTGTTCGACTAGCCGGTTTTCGCACCAATTGATTACCTCACTTTGAAGTAGTTCATTCTTCTTCAACACTTCATCAACTCTCCCATCCTACCATCGCGACTCTTGCGCTTCTACCACGACTCGACTTGTCCGCCTGTCCCCCTACATCTTGCGAACACCGCCCTCACTTATAAAATCGCTGAGCGGCCTTGGCCCCGCGACGCATCATACACCTCGGCCGAAATGCCGACCTTCAACCCCTTCTCTTCCGTCACCGGACGTAATAGCTATAGCCTATTTGACATTCGGTACGTTGCCTCGTCGCCGACCGTTGGCACCATGGGTGCGCCGTCGTCCTACCCCCACTAACCAATGCCCTACCAGGCTTGACGAGGACTTCATCGTCTTTCGTGGCAACGATCATGAATCTGCTGGCCAGCTTCTCAAGGGCGTCGTCGTCCTCTGTCTATCGCAGCCCCTGCGCATGGAAGATATACACCTGCGCTTGACAGGGACGCATCGTGTCTCGTAAGAAGCCCTGAACTCGGCCGTTCCGTCCACGCCGTTACCCAGTCTCCCGTCGCCGTTGGCAAATCTAACAGTCACAATTTTTAGCTGGGCCGATCCGCGATCTAGCACGCCCGCCGTTGCCGGCCAAAAGGTCGACAAGACGACCGTGATTCTCGATCACCGATGGTCTCCTTTTGTTGGTACTCACGGAAAGAGTATGACGCTACCTGCTGGCAACTACGAATACCCCTTCGACTTTACGCTCCCCGGCGACACGTCAGAAAGCGTCGAAGGTATCCCCGAGGCATCCATTACCTACCGACTCAAGGCTACCGTCAGCCGCGGCAAGCTTGCCTACGACTTACACGCCTACAAGCATCTTCGCATCATCCGCACCCTCGAGGCCGGTGCCCTCGAATTTCTCCATGCCATGAGTGTGGAAAACATTTGGCCCAACAAGCTGGAATACTCGATTGTCATACCCCAAAAGGCCGTCGTCTTTGGCGGTGTCGTCGATATGGAAATGCGATTCACGCCACTACTCAAAGGCCTCGAGCTGGGCGAGGTGACAGCCAAGATGATTGAGACGCGCGAGTGTGTCATTCAGGGCTCTACAGGCATCAACATTCGCGAACACAAAACCGAGCGTGACGTCGCGACCTGGAAGTTTGAGGTGACACGCGAGGATCATTGGCACGACATGATTGAGGAGACTGGACAGGAGGGTTGGGCCCTCACTAAGCAGCTGAGCCTTCCCAAGAAACTGCGCCAGTGCATCCAGGACATCAACCATCACGGTATCAAGGTGCGCCACAAGATTAAGCTCACTGTGGCTCTCAAGAATCCCGACGGCCATATCTCGGAACTCCGTGCCACGCTTCCCGTTTCCATATTTATTTCTCCCAACATCCCCTTTGATGAGCAGGGTAATATGGTTAGCCAAGCTCCTGGAGAGGCCGGTGTGAGTCAGCAGCCAGCTGGCGCTGCTCCGCCCGGCTATGGTGAGCATATTCTTGACCAGCTTTACGAAGATATGGACACGAGTGGCTTCCAAACGCCGGGTGTACAGTCAGGCGTCAGCAGTCCGTTTTATGCGCAATCACGCAGCGGCTCGACCGAAAACCTGTACGGCGTGGGGCACATGTCTCCCATCGCCCCCGCGGCGCTGTCCTCACGACTGGCGGATGTCTCCCTGGACCCCTCGCAGCGCAGCGTATCGTATTACTCTCTCAACTCCCTCTCGGGGCGCGTGTCTCCCAACCACGGCACCGGTAATAGCACCGGCTCGGCGGCCCGATCGGAACCCCCGTCGTCCAACAACCTGACACGACACAATAGCGAAGAGGAGGGTTCCGATCGGGCCTCGACCGAGCACGCTCAGTTGGACCCTGGGGAGTTTGCTGAGCTCAATCGCGTACCAAGCTATGCTACAGCGGTGCGGACACCGGCCCGCTCGCGCGTACAGGCGGCGGGAGGGCCGCTTCCCGACTACCAGACAGCGCTCAGCGCCCCTTGCACGCCGCCAGCGACAGAGGGCGGTCATGAGATTCTGTCGCCTATTGCCGAGCGTACTACAGAGGAGTACAACACGAGGCGCCCAGAAATGTCGCGAAGCGCTTCAAGGCGCACCCACAGCGCCGTGCCGCTTTCTGCGTAGGCAGCAGAAATCTTTTCACGAAACAGAAGCCGATGAATTTCCTCATTCTTCCTCAGTCACACATATAACGTCATTCATACCACTAGCATACATATCTGGCGTTTTCATCATATTTTTTTGGGATACCTTGCAGAATCCATGTCGAATACGAGAATGGAAGTTTGCTGCAGTTCATATAGACATGGGCACAGACTAGGTTAGAATTCTACCCTCATAATACCACTCATCAGTAACAGTATTTTTCACTTTTGTAATTGCTTGTTAGTACGCAATGTCATTTCAGTTTCATCCGATGTTTTCTAGTTTATCCTGATTTCCTTTGGTCAGTGGTCAGTTTCAGTTTTTAGCATCATGCTATTACATGAGAAATCTCCACCAACAAGGCACTGCTGCTTCATGCACAATGCGCCGAATGTTCTAGAGGTTAGACATGGCTAATTACAGCGCACTGAATTGTTTGGCTCTGTCGAAAATTGGGTTGTACTGGCAATGCTGACGGTTCGTGCGCCATCATCGGGTAAAGACCGCGAGGCAATGGTCCCGGTACTATTCGTACCTAGTAAGTGTGTTAGTGCTCTCAGTACAATGTCACGAATGTTGACATATCCAAGGTTCCGAAAAAGGCAGCTCACATGCACAGCCGCCCGAAACCCTGGAACAGCTGGCCTTGGGACCCCTGACAGTGACGATGATCAGGGTCCGTGGCATTTATCTGGCTTGGCGTCTTGCATCTCCCACAAACCTGCCAACATGTTGCCTACGCCTACCTACCTGGAGATGCTTAAACAACTGATACATGGTGAAACCATTAGTAGACCAAGACTTTACCTAGGCTGTTTTGGTGCACGAGCATGACAAGTTTGCTGTGCTTGGGGCGGCGTTTTCCAAGATGCGATTGTGACGTCACTGGTGTCAAGAGACAAGCCCTTCCCGTTGACTTCTCGCCTCTTGGCGCGCGACGATAAAAAGGACTGTACACGCTTCCCCAGACAGCTCAAAGCCTGTAATAAATTGCTGAAGAAGAGCGATTTTTCTTTCTCTTTATTCTGGCAATCTTACGCCACAGCTTTCCCTGCTGTTTGATCTTGTTCTTTTCACCTATTAGTTATCCTCTATTGGTACCCTTTCCGATCCCCCTACCTTACAAGCTGGGCGTACATCGACCGCCAAACACGAGTCGAACAAGAAAAAAAAAGAGAAAAAGCAGCCGGTTCCGAGAATACAGATTACAATTTCAGTACGTCAAAATTGGCCATGATAGCCGGTCCATCACGGTCTCGGCCCGCTACGGAGACGAAATCATCCCCCGCGCCCTGCAGAGATCAAGGACAATACCTAGACACTGGAGAAGGAAGGAACAGTAACTAGGATGGCGGTCCTGGTCTACGATGGGCATCAAGTGGTCGCTAGTAGTCTCATTGATGTATCCCCAAAATCAGGGTTTTCTGGGCCGAAGAATCCCCCTCCAAGGCAATTTAGGAACTATTTGCAAATTACACCGCCCTTGCCCCTCCCCGTCCTTCATCGGCCTTGGCGCCGCCGCAACCTGCATGGCTCCGCCAAGGAAGCGAGGCAGCCCCTCTGCCCAGAAAATCATCTCAACATCTCCCTCCCTGGCGCTCTATTTTCCCCTCGCTAACGACTTCGAATTACCCAGGTTTCCCCTCTTCTTCCTTCGTACGCATAGCTTGCCTGCTATCTGTGCTTTGCCTACTTTTCCGCGAGACCTTTCACATACCTTTCTACCACACTACACGAACGACTATGGCTTCCCCTGTCTCGTCCACGCTGCCCTCGCGCACAGCTACCGGCATGAGCCTCGAAGATGCCGTCCCCAACGTGGACCCCACGACCGTACGTGGCCTACTCTAACGAAGCCCCCAAACCAGATCACTAAACTCCTCATCCTCTAGACCGCAGGACTCCTCGCCGAGCGCCTCCAGGCGTGGAAGCACGCCGTCGGCTACCTCGAGGACTACATGTCCGCCGTCGAGAAGATCCACGGTCGACACGCCAAGGAGTACGAAAAGGTGCTGAAGACGGTGTCGAGCCCGCTGAAGGAGGGACACCACTTTGACCAGTCTCTCGGCGGCATCGCTGGCTTTTTCGAGAACCTACGCGCCAACACGCAGGCCATGATCAACACCAACCTCGAGACCGAGAAGAGCATCAAGGGCTCCGTCCTTCCCATACTCGAGCGTCTGCACAAGGAGATCAAGCACAAGGCCAAGGAGCTCGACTCCGGCGCCTACTCCGGCGCCAAGGAGGTCGAGAAGCTACGCAACACCACCCAGAAGCACATTGAGCTGCTCGGCCAGCAGACGGCCGCCTTCGATTCGGCCGGCGGCAAGCTGGCCGCTGGCGCCGACGACCCCTACGTCGTCTACCGCGGCGTCCTCCACCGCCTCTCCAACCAGGTCCTCGCCGAGAACAACCACACCAACGATCTCATCTCTGTGCAGAACAACTTTGCGGCCTTTGAGGCGCATATCATCGAGGTGCTCCAGGAGGCCGTCGGCGCGCTCGTCCAGCTCAGCGCGGGCCAGGCGGATAAGATCCGAGCGCTGCACGCCGACGTGCTCGGCACCGTGCAGTGCGTGCCCAAGGACTTCGAGTGGGCCAACTTCTCCGTCCGCTGCGCCGACCGCCTCGCCGACCCGGCCGACCCCGCGCGCTCCGTCGACGCCATCAACTTCCCCAACATGGCCCACGCCGCCACCCGCCCGCTCATAGAGGGCTCGCTTGAGCGCAAGTCGCGCAACAAGCTGTCCTTTGGCTACTCGACCGGCTACTACGTCGTCACCCCGTCCAAGTTCCTCCACGAGTTCAAGGACTCGGACGACGCCCGCCAGGACCCCAAGCCGGAGCTGTCCATCTACCTGCCCGACGCCGTCATCGGCGCCCCCTCCGGCGACAAGTTCAACATCAAGGGCCGCGACAAGAGCAAGACGTTCTCCAGCAAGCTCACCGGCAGTTCCGAGTTCGCCTTCAAGGCCCACACGGCCGCCGACGCGCAAAAGTGGTTCAACATCGTCCGCGGCGTCTGCGGCGCCACCGGACCCGCGGAGCCCAACTCGCCCGTGTCGCCAAGCTCGCCCGCCTCCGTCGCCTCGCCCACCGTCGCCTCGCCCTCGTCTGCCACGAACCCCAAGGACGACGCGCTCGCGCTCAACGCGCCGTCGGCCGTGTCGCATAAGGACCAGGAGAGCGGCGTCACCAGGAGCGTCTCCGGAGCCTCGGCCAATCCTGTCCCGGCGGCGGCCACGACGGCCGCGAGCGATGAGAAGAAGAAGGTGGCTGAACCCGACTTCTCTTGATTCGAAGCGGAGGAACGGCTGAGGAAGCAGAAGAGTGATGTGGGAGGAGATATTTTGGCATGACTTGAGCTTTGTGCACACCTACTAATTTGACTACTACCCTTAATATATGAGCGTTGATTTTTATGTTCTTGTACATACACGTCCAGTTCGATAAATAGTAGCGACACCAACGCGGGCGTAAAAGTTACATGGCGACTATGTATTTTCATGACAACTACTCCGTATGCAGTTGTACATTACGTTCAAAAACTTCGGTGAAATTGTTGGCAAATCTCTGGCAGCCTACTAGGTAGGCATTAATAGAAAATCTGCCAGGCAATTGCCAGTCACTACGATTGTTACTAGGAAATTGACGGCCAAATGAACAGATATAATTATAATAAAATGTGTATTGTGGTGGATATGGATATAAACTGTACAGGTGTACATGTCTACGAGTCTAGCACCTAGGAAAAGTCAGCGCGTGTCTCTTCCACAAGCTTGCAACGAAAAGAGGTATATCTGCATGATTTTCAGGGTAAAGTGCCTTGTCACAGGCGATATCGTCAATGCAAATTGGCTACGTTGACCGTCGTGATAATTGTAGCATCATTTGAAGCAGCGGGAAAGGGGCACGGGTAAAGAGGAAAAGGTACTAACCTGTTACGACTCTACAAGCATTGCTGCTCTGAGTTGTTAGTTCAAAAATGGCTGAAATACTGAAGCAAGTTAGCTTTGAGCTCTCCTTATGTCTGGTGACGAGATGAACATTGCTTCTGTAGTCAGACGTCGAATGAGTTTGTCTTCGCAGCGTGAGCTCGGACATATGCTTGTCATTTTCATTCTTGTTCATCATCCAGAAGGTTGGCAGGGGCGATGCATGTTTCGCACTAACCCTTTGAGACGACTACTAAAAGTTCTGTTTGAGGTCAGCGCTGGTTCTAAGCAATGCTGGCACAAAAGGGAGTGATAAGGGTAGTAAGTCAGGTAAAGCATGAATGGTAAAAAAAAGATAGTGTCAGCATCGAAAACTCGAATAAGACTCGTCATCTGTTACATCATATGGAGGAAAAATGCTTGGTTGTGTAGACATATTACGTACCCTGTGAGATCCTACAAGACCAGCTTGTTCGATCATCAAAGTACAACTGCAATTGATGCTGCCAAGCGAGTCAGCATTACTGTTCAACCACAGCTTGCTCAAGAGGTAGAGGAGTATGTGTGAAGTCAGTGGGCGAGGTTTTCTAGGCCTGCCGCAAAGTGGCTTGTCTTGCTCATGTGTATATATTCGGAGCCCAGTGCCGCTTCATCATTCAACGAGCATGTGCTGAGTATGCTTGCGTCGGGGGCAAATTCGTACCTTTCTACAATCTTGGCAACAGTTAGCAAGGAAGCTTGACGAGAGTTTGCGATGCAGAAAAAGTGAAAGGGATTTGCGTCAGATATAGCCATTTAATATCTTCAAGGAAAGATCTCAGCCGGTAATTTCCAGCGTATATTGTTTACGAATTGATCATCATAACAGCGTTGGGGGATGAAGTAGGAAGGTAATATGCATACGTACCAATTCAATGCAGGCTGATGCTGACCATCACGGTCAGTTAGCAGAAAGCTGTACCCAAAGGATCCGCACGCACAATCGGCCTGTTATTAAATGTTAGCTTGAAGCTCAAGCGATTAAAACATTCAATCAACGCAATGAGTGGTCTTCTTTCAGACTGATGTGTGAAAAGAGTTTTCATTCCAAAATGGTCAAAGACTCTAGTTTGCGGTTTCAACGTGTCATCAGGAAGATTGAAGGGAAAGGCATTCTGCTGGTTGGCGCAGTGCAAGGTGGATTGTCGCTCCAAGGACTTACCAAAAGGCTTTTTCTGCTTCCAGAATCATGCTGATGTGATGGAAAGGAAGAAGCTGGTGTGCAAAAACTGCTTCAATAAAAAGCGAATTTTTGGTGGAGCGGTGGCAGGGTTATGTAATCGTATCACGAGACTTCGCGCGTTGGGCGCGGCAACCTTGGGGGCTGGTGCGTGTGGCGTACTAGGTTTCTGTAGGGGCACGCACGCGCCTTGCAAATGACCAGTCGTGGCTGAAGCTGTTGCGTTCATTGTTGCGTCGTCAATACCTAACAACATCAATTCAAGATGCCTGAAATTGCCGAAAGTAGGTCGAGGGCGATTAATCGACGGGGGTCGATACTAATTGTTCGCGTTAGTCGCACGAGCAGTGCATTTTCTGCGCATTCACTTGGTTGGTAAGCGCATTGCTTCTGCCGAAGCCATCGATGATGCCAATGTGTTTGGCAAGGTCGGTACCACCGGTGCTGCGGTGGCAGCTGCTCTCAAGGGCAAAAAGGTGCGCAGTTTTACCCGTTTCTGCCTTGTTTATGCTAACAGCATAGCAGGTCGTATCCGCGGGCACCCAGGGCAAGTACTTTTGGTAAGCAAGACCGTGAATATCTCCTCGTCCATTTGCTAATACACGACAGGATAACACTCGACAAGCCTCCGCACTTAGTAATGCATTTTGGCATGACTGGTAAGTTGGTTGTCGGTTACACGAGCTTTGACATTGCCTAATGCGCCACAGGTTGGATTCACATTAAAAATGACAAGACTGCGTACACCAACTACTTCAAAAAGATGGAAGATACTGAATATTCCGTGTGGCCTCCGAGATTTTGGAAGTTTCAGATTACCACGGACGACAAGCCTGCCGTGGAGATTGCATTTACAGACCCGCGCCGTTTTGGCCGTGTGAGACTGGTGGACTGCCCCGGAGAAGACATTCGCAAACACACCCCGCTTGTCGAGAACGGGCCCGATCCTGTCGTTGACAAGGATCGCTTCACTGAAGAGTATTTGCGTGGCAAAATGCAGTCGCGCCATGTTCCCATCAAGGCTTTGCTCCTCGACCAAGCAATGATCAGCGGCATCGGCAACTGGGTTGCCGACGAGACGCTGTACCACGCCAAGATGCATCCTGAGCAGTACTGCGACGACTTTAGTGACGTCGAGATCAAGAAGCTCTACGATTCCATCTGTTACGTCTGCGACTTGGCTGTGGAGAAACTTGGCGACTCTGATCAGTTCCCAGAACACTGGCTCTTCAACCACCGCTGGGGCAAGGGTGACAAGAGCTCATCATCGCAGCTTCCCAATGGCGAGAAGCTCTCATTCATCACCGTCGGCGGGCGCACCAGTTGTTTTGCGCCAGCCATTCAGAAAAAGACGGGTCGCGTATCAGGCAATGCTAAAACAGAACCCCTCGTCAAAGAAGAGTCTGGCGATGAAAAGGTGCCACTGAAAAAGAGTCGCAAGTCGACAGGTAAAATCGCCAAGGAAGAGTCTGGCGATGTAAAGGCCCCCCTCAAGAAGGGTCGAAAGCCAAGGGACCAGGCTGTCAAGCAAGAGACGAACGATACGCCAGCCACCAGCAAGCGGTCGAGCCCTGCAACGAGCGAGAGCAGCAAGAGCAAAAAGGCTAAAGTCGAGACGCTCGTGGAAGAGAGTGGCAGACGCCGATCTGGGCGCCTGAGAAAATAAACGTGAAATAATGAATGGCTGGATAAAATGATGAGCAGGTATGGGTGGCGAATGGCTGAGCTATCAAAAATCCTTGTGCCGTCTATGTAAATATATTATACATCGTGTACTTTCCTTGTTAAGAAGAAACCCAGTATTTACTCGTGGCTTTTTTCTCCAAGCGTCAGTAGAGCGTGGAACTGCTCGCTCCGGAAGTCATCTTTGAGATAGCTATTTTTGGACGACGTTTCAAACCAAAGCAAGGTGTGATCTTCCGCCCAACGTGGCCAATGCTCATATTCGTCGTCTCCGTTGGGGTCTAGATTGTAGAGAAAGTTGAAGTAATACTTTCGCGTGCTTCTGGAAGCATAGTTTGCAGGCCAGCCGATAAATACTTGAAGTATGTCACTGGCGTGGAACGTCCCCAGAACTGGCAGCCAACTTGAATACGATGACAAGTACGACCACACCGGCACGTCTGGGTGAGTGGCGGTGGCGGATTGCAGGAACCGGCGGCGAGCCAACGTAAATGTGTGGTCTCCGATCATGGCAGCGACATGACCAAACATGGAGTAGGGCTTGTACGCCGACGTCGCAAACGGACTGGTTGTGTTCGTTGTAGAGTACGTGCCAGCCCATGCAGCGACCTTTTCCGCCGGCGCGTCGGCAAAGTAGACGTCGGCAAAGTAGCGCGCGAGATCGTCATCCGACTTGACGCTCCGCTGGAGCAATGAGAAGAGAGTGCCCTCATCCTCTTGGTTCCCGGTGATTAAAGGCACGGCGTGATACCTGCCACTCTCGGCAATCTTCTCTGGGCTTTCCCGCAGGACTGTACCATCTACACGTGGTGTGTAGATCATCTGGGTTCCGTAGTAGGAAAAGAGACTCGGGAAGTTGTTGGTCACCGCCCCGTAATATGTTGCAAAGTCTACTGAACGGAGACAGGCCAGGGTGTCTTTGGAGCCGTCACAGCCAGCTTGTGCCACAACTTTGTTGTAGGTGGCTTGCGGCTTGGGAGCATCAATTCGAGCCGCGGGGATACCAGCGCCAGAGTTGGCGATGCCTCCGCGGAACAGGGGCTTGCCCTTGTATGTTGCGTCGCCGTCAAAGAGGTACGATTGGTAGACAACAGAGAAGGCGCCGGCAGATTCTCCCCACAGAGTCACCTTGTCCGGGTCGCCGCCAAAGTCGGCGATGTTGTCGGCAACCCATTGCAGAGCCATGCGCTGGTCCAACAGGCCGATGTTAGCACTGCCGTTTTGGAGCATTTCCTTTCCAGCCATGAACCCGAATCCGTTTAGGCGGTAGCCGACGGCGACAAACACAAAGGGCTGGTTGTTGTCGACACCGGCCTTGATGAATGAAGAGCCGTCATAGGTACTTGTCGATCCCAGCTCGAATCCACCTCCATGAATCCAGAATAGCACAGGCAGGTTCGCGTCGGAGCTGATATTCGCAGGACGCTGCACAGACACTGTCAAGCAGTCCTCCTGTCCTACCACATTCTTGAAGAAGGGGAACTTCATCAGATGGCTCCCGAATTTGCTGATGATGTACTGATCAACAGCCGTGCTGGGAAATTGGGGGCACTTTGGAGCTGTCCCTGTCGCGTCAATGTTGGTGAGATGGTTGTCTGGCAGCCTTTGGGGCGGGCGCAGGCGAAGCGCGCCTGTTGGCGGGTACGCATAAGGGATGCCGTTGAAGGTTTCCACACCGGAGCGCGAGCGTCCGGTGATGATGCTACCGGAGGAGAGGCGAGCCGTTACGGGCTCTCCCCGGCGAACAAACAGATTGAGGCCGAGGCCGAGTAGTAACACAAGGGCCGCTAACCAGGTAAAGGACCTGCGAGCAGTGCGGAGAAAAGCCATGGCTTCAAATGGATCAATGAGTATCCAAAGCAACCTTCTGGCGTGAAGATGGAAGACGACATTTAAGCAATGAGATTATTGCTGTATCGTATAGCTTTATTACGTTGATGATGCCTCCTGGATTGCCCCGTCGGGGGCGGGTTTTGTTAGCGGCCCGCCACGCCCCGTTGCCGAGGGTAAGGGGACGCACGCGCAGACATAGTTTCGGATTGCCCTCCGACACATTACTATAATAACCTCGCCCTCGGGACTGACGGAGTTGGCAACCTGAGCGTCTGGCTGGGATTATACGAGAATTGCTCATCCCGCGCAGTACTAGGAAATAGTCATTATGAGTAGGTTACTTTGCGGAAACTCTCTTAGAGGATTAGTTAGTACTACTTTGTCTCAGTATAAACAGTCTGAAATTAAACTCGGCAGCTTAATAAAGGAGAAGGAATCATTTAAGAATTTGTTTCTAATTCTTTCAGGCAGATGAACTAAGCTATTAGGATGGTTAGGGCTAGGTCTTTCATATATGGGGGAGAGAACTTATGTACCCCAGTTGCAGAGCCTGGCGCTTCTTCCAGAGAGAGGACGGTAGTCGAGCAGTGAATCGATATCCTTCTTATCGGGACAGAGGCGTCCATTTTGAACGGATTGTTGATACGAGCTATCGTAGTCTCTAGGGCGATTTGCGCTGTCCATGTTGAGCGATTGACAGGGAGCACTTCAGAAGTAAGACATGGAGAACTAGGCTGAGAAGGAGGACAAATGTGGCAGGGACGTCCAACAAATATATATTTGCGGCAGGAGACCCTGACAGCTCAAGAGCTCCATTTTTAGATGCTACTACTGGTACAGACACCACGTACGCCTTGATTCTTCCTCATAATTCCGGCGAGCCCAGGGGCTGCTCGGGAGCTGCTCAGAAGCTACGCAGCAGCTACTGAGGCAAAGGAAGGGCAGCGCCATTAACTTGAGCACCCTCAGAGAGCGCAGACCACATAGCAAATAACATAGAAGCGACAAGTGAGAAATAGCAGTTTCGACGTAAAAGAACAACCAATTTGCACTTGAATCGAGCACAGCCAAGCAAGTCTAATAACTGGGTTATAATAGGGGCCAAATATCATGCCATCTTGAGAATCCGTGTATAATTCAAAACAACGCTTTCCGTATGCTGTATTGTAAAGTATAAATGCAAAAAAAAAGTGATTTCAAGAAAGGAAAATCGGATATAGATGTTGATCCGGGTGGGGAGGGGGGTTACGTTAGTTGGCAGCATCGGCAGCATCGGCTGCAACATGGAAACCGACGGAGTATTGCGTTTCGTTGTCGGGCAAGCGAATCGGTATCATGCTGAGGAGGTTCGTAAACTTTTGGCCGTTCTTCTTGTAGTTGGTAATGTGTAGTTGTATTTCGTTTCGAGAAGCCACTGCCTGATCTAAGCTTTGGATCGCAGCACTATGTTGGTCGAGTAGAGTGTCTGCAAAAGGATAAATGCTTTGTGGCGAGTGAAGGAAACGAGGATTCTGTCCTAGAACTTCACTGATGGTGTAGCCGGTCAACTTGGAAAAGGCCTCATTGGCGTAGATAATGGGAGAGCCGGGAAGGTCCAGATTGCTGACGGTAAGAGCGGCAGAGCAGTCTACGGGCCCTAACTCGAACTTGGGATCAGGACGGGCCAAGACACTAAACTGTTGGGAAGCAGTTAGATGATGCGAAGAAGGTGGAACTTTCGAAGGACATTGTCGTACCAAAATCGACATAATGTCTATACCACTAGGGGCATAGAGCCCTGGATAAATGATGGGATCCTGCCCAGGCTGGAAGCGGGATTGTGTAGGCAGCTTCTTTTCAGCACCAGGCGAGGCCTCGCGAGGGAAGTTATGCTCCAAGGTTGAATTAGAAACAAATTGTCCAAGGTTTTCAGGACTTGTTTGAAAACTTACTGACATGGCGTGCGACTCCCATGGATTCATGCTGGGCACAGTGATGGGTGCTCGCGTGAGGGTGCACATGGTGCTGAGGCTTGACTTGGAAGGTTGACAAAGTAGGAGAGAGGGTAGGTGAAACTTGAGGAAGCGAATAGAGGCTGACAAAACGGCAAGAAAAAGAATAACAATAAATACTAATAACATAAACTAGTCAAGAGCGCCACCAACAAAGAGAGACGGGTTGACAAGAAGTACCGGGGACCTGTGAGAAGGGAACTAGCATGTACATTGGGCTCACGGCCCTAAGGCGGTATATTTTACAGGATAAGAGGCCACATGGTACAACGAGGCACAAGCGATGCGCGCGATAAACTAGTATTTGGACATCGACGACGTAACCACCACGAGGGCCAAGACAAAGCTACATGTACACTCGAATGCGGTTCCATGCGTGACTTGGCTGCAGGCACCCAAAGACACTCAGCCCAATCCGGGGGCAGTGTCAGAGACGGGCGAGCATGGAGCTTGGTCTACGGAGACAGACGAAGCCGGGCTCGATCGCGGCGGATGTGCTCTCCAGCCCCGATCGAGGACGGGCTTAAAGGTGGGGCCGTGCTGGGCTAGACATCTGAACCTTCCAACGGAAGATCGGCTGGGCAAAAAAAAAAAAAAAAAAGGGCAGAGGCGCGGGGCCCGTTTTGGAGCGAGACGAAAGGGGAAAAAGTGAAGGAATCAGCAGGGCTGGACTAGAACGGGCGGCACGGGAGGGGAGGGGCATCGACATTTTGCAAAGACATCGATATTTTCAGCACCCAAGTTCGCTCGTAATACATGCGGCGAGCGCTGTTGGCTGCGGTGACGCGGTGACGCGGGGAGCTATGTATGTAGTCGGCCAGTGCTTAAAGTGTCCACCAAAATGGCATGACAGAAGTAGTGTGACGGCGAGGCAACAGCCTGGGCCTTGTGGTGACCCGTTACAGAATCAGTCGACAATATAGATTGCAGGCGGAGTTTGTCATGGCTATGACACGTTATATTTTTCGGCAGTTACATCTCGTGATGAATGCTCTGTCTGGAGTGAGGCGTTCGGCAGAGAACGCTATGTGGAGTGAGATGGAGGGATGACTGGAGCAGCTCGCAAGCTCCTGGAAGTTTCACGTTCTTGCAGGGGCTTTAATAGGGCAATCGGGCCACCCCCTACAGGGCGTTACAGGCAAGACAAACGCTGAGCGCTGCAACTTACTGCATTGTTGTGTCTTGGCGTGGCTGGCGGGGCGTCATTGGTCCGCTGCAGGCTTCTTGTCCGCTGCAGGTAAATTTAGTACATACATACACACAGTAGATACATAGTTAGCCGACATACATAGCGTCGCACTGCAGAGCTGACCTGCCTGGGTTGCTGTGGTGCTTAATAAAGCCCTGTAGGCTTTCTCAGCACTTGCAGCACTTGAACTGCGCTGGCAGGCAACGGCGCGTGTTCTGACGCGCTCCCCACATCTTGCACATCGCGATCCAGCTCAACACACAACTTCATCAAATCCGAGATTCACACCCTTGGCAAGTTGCACAGCACTCGCCATGTCTCAACGCTTGGCCAGTCGAGCGAGGTCTTCCACCGCCAACAGACCTGCTACCTCTGAGTCACCCGACTCCCCAGAATATGAGCCCCTAGACTATCCCCTCGACGACGATGCGCGACGCGCCCTTGAACGCTTATCCACCAACCGTCTACAGAACAGGTACATCAGGAATCTCAAAGCCAGCACCGCCAATCTTGGCAACGTCGTCAGCGATATCCAAGAACGCCTACACAAACGCCGAGCACACCTTCTCAAGCAGAGGCAACGCCGGCAAGGCAAGGACCCCGTGAATGGGGAGGAGGACCTGGACCATCTTGAGCAACACCTGGACGACTACGCCCGCAAAGTTGATGAGGATTCTCGCGAGGCCGAGGCCAACCTTCGCCTCCTGATTGATCAACACTTTGCGCTTGAAGATGAAGGAAGGATTATCAGCGAGATCTACACCGACACCACAAACGCACAAGCCGAGGAGATCACGCGCCAGCTGCAAAAAGAACGCCAACGAGAAGAGGCTATTGAAATTGCCCAGGCCAACGGGGACCCCGCTCCGCCAGAGGAAGAGGAAGAAGAGGAAGAAAAGCCGCCCCCGCCTCAAAGCATAATCGACTCCCTCCGCCAACGACGGGCGGACAAACGGCGCGAGTACGAATTGCTGAGCGTACAGCAGCGGTATGCTACCCACAACGAATACGCAAGCTTCAAGAAGCTCTGGCATGATGCGGCCCAAGGCGAAGATGGGCCACCACTCGCCGACGCATCGCGCTGGTTTGCCGCCGACGGTGCGCCTATACTGCCGACGGTCGCTCCCCGCGCAGGGCGAAGGCGAAGCAGGACCGCCGATGCAGGCGACGACTCGGATGACGATATTGCCGTGGCACGAGAAGTTACTAGCTTACGCTGCCCTCTTTCGCTCCAAGAGTTTGTTGAGCCCTTCAGCAACCGGAAGTGCAAACACACGTTTGAGAGATCAGCCATTGAAGACTATTTACCGGCGACCGGCCAGGTTCAATGTCCGCAGACTGGATGCTCCCAGGTATTTTCATGGCGCTGCATTACTATGCGAATATGAAAGCTAATTGTTACTTGACAGACCTTCAGACGCGCCGACTTTGCCCAAGACTTTTACCTCGACCAGGCCCTTTTGAGACGACTCCAGCGCAGAAATGAACAAAACCAGTTGGATGACATGGACGTGGACGACGAAGCAAATACATCTGTTCAGGTCGAAAGCACGAGATCTGTGAAGCGCACAAAGCGTGAGTCGTGAGCTGCAGGCTTGGGCTCGAGAAGTTCGAAGACCACTGCCACTGCACGATCACGACCAGTGCACCAAAATGCAACAAAAGCAACAACACTCTGAGAATGTTGCCAGGTATCAATGACCGCGCGGAATTGCTCAAAGCGTTATGGCGACGTCGCCATTCCAATAAGAGAGGTCAGGGAGAGATGCCAGGCGATGCTGTCAGAACACGACGACAATGGCGACAAGAAATATCCAGTACGGAAACATCATCTCTTGAGCGAGTGTTGACTCTGTCACGCATGCTGCATTTTCCCATCGCCGGAAGTCGGTCTTTGACTTTACCATAACCAAGCAGCCGAATAATCACGACCGACGACCCGGTCCAACCAGAGTCGCAGCCGGCAGACAAAACCGGGGCCGCCTGGTGGTTCGGAGATGGTCGCTGCAAAGACGCACCAAAAATGCACCAAAAATGGCAGCCGAAGAGGCTCAAGGGTGGTGGCATCATCGACGCTAAACCATCTTTGGTCAAGGCGATTGCGTGATTGTCCTCAACTATCAACAATTTCGCCCCGAACCAGTCAATAACACGGTAACAGGTGGACGATGCGCCGTTTTGCTAGCAAAACTCTCTGGTATTGCTGGCCCGTCTTCGCAATGCTCGAGTCGGACCCTCGGCACTCCCGTCGCGCAATGGAGGAAGGCGGGCCCGTCTGGGGTTTTCTTCTCACGTTCGAAATAGAGTCAATGCTATTTGTCTTGTGCTTCCTTTCTCTCCTCCTTCCATATTCTTCCCCGCGTCTGTGTTGCTCTCCTGCCTATCAAACGTTCTCTGCGGCTCTTGTTAGAGGCGTAGGAACAAACCTGGGTGACCTGTCTATACATATCTAACCAACACAGGCAATATCCCCTCCTTTGATACATGAACGACAGGACTCTCACATCATCTTTGAGCATGTCTTCCTCACAGTCGTCCTCCACGCTGCCTTTTGGCCAGCACGTGGCCATTGGTGACATCTCCGGTCCGACCTATGTCACAACCCAGCTTCTTGTTCAGCACATCGCCTACAAGCTCTCCGACAAGATCTTCTCCTACTCGCCCGAAACCTACGACCTCGACGTCGCCGCCAAGCGCTGGGCCGCCGACGGCGACAGCAACGTTCACAAGTACACGCCCGAGGTCCTGAGCCTGCAGACCCGCGTAGGCGCAGGTGCCCTCGCCCTTGGTTACATCTTCTCTCCCGATTTTGATGTGACGAAGCGCCACATCCCGCAGACGCTGCTAGCCTCCTCTGGCAGCCTGCAAGCCCTCCGCGCCACGCTCGACCAGCTCTCACTGCTCTACAGCGTCTCCAGCCCCTTCGTCGCCCACGTCGCGGCTGCCGACTACTCGGCCGCTCACGGCATCGCCGCCAACTATGATGGCGCGCTTCGCCTGGCCGAGGAGCTGGGTCTCGGTCTCGTTGCCTCTGCCTCGACCTACGAGGCCCAGCACATGTCGCTCTTTGCGACGCTCCTCGCCAAGGTCCTGCCCACGCTGCACGTCTACGACGGTGTCCGCGTCGCCCGTGAGACCCTCCGCGTCGTCGATGCTCTCGGCGAAGCTGGCGTGGCCGACCTGTACGCCAAGCTCGCTGCCGAGGCCGAAAAGCTGAACCCGCGCCTGGACAACGCCGGCAAGGTTGTCGAGCTTCTCAAAGCCTTCAACGACGAGCTCGGCACCGTCTACGCTCCCTTTGAGTACCACGGCCACGAGACCCCTGATGTGGTTCTTGTCACCTTTGGCAGCGTCGAGGCCCAGGTTGCCCGCCAAGTCATGACCAAGATCGCCGTCGAGGGCGCCAAGGTCGGCGTCATCAACGTCCGCGTCTACCGCCCCTTCATCGAGGAGGCCTTCCTCACCGCCATCCCCGCCTCCGCCCGCACCATCGCCGTCCTCGGTCAGGTCAACACTGAAGCCGCCCTGCATGATGAGGCCACTCAGTCTGCCCTCTACGGCGACGTCCTCACGGCCGTCACCTTCGCCGGCAAGTTCGCCCAGGAGCCCGACGTGCTTGACATCAAGTACACGGCCGCGCAGACCCTGACGCCCCAAGGCCTGGTCAACACCCTCCACAAGGTCTTTGGCAATGAGGGTGAGGCCAACACCCTGCCGTCGCTCATTGCTGCCGAGCAGTACACCTTTTGGGACCTGGATAGCTCTGCTACCGTGGCCTCGCCTGCCGTCATTGGCACGCTTCTCGCCAAGCAGTCGACCTCCAACGTCTTTGTTCGCGAGGTCTACGATAACCTCACCCAGGGCGGTGCTGTCCGCTCGGACCTTCGCGTCTCCAAGAAGACACTCGAGGCTCCCTACGACATCAATGAGGCCGACGCCATTGTCGTGGGCGATGAAAAGATTCTCAAGGATGTCGACGTTCTTGCTAGCGTCGCTCCCGGTGGCAAGGTCATTCTAAACCTTCCCGGCTTCAAGGAGGCCGATGTTGAGAAGCGTCTCTCGTCTGCTTTCCGCAAGACGCTTGCCGACAAGGATATTGCTGCCTTTGTCCTCGACCCCGCTGTCCTCCCCGCTTTTGAAAATGACCCTTCTGCCTCCAAGCTGCTTCTTGAGCTTGCTTTCCTCAAGATTGCGCAGCCCTCGGTCTCCCCCAAGGGCATCACCATCACTGCTAAAAATGTCAACCTCGAACAGGCTGCCGAGGCCGTTGACCAGTGCTTGACTAAGCTCGAGGCCCGGGCCGAGACTGAGGAGGCAGCCACCATCGAACTGCCTCTGACTATCCAGCCCAACAGCTTCGTCTCTTTTGCCAAGGATGAGGATGTAGAGTCCCTCCAGCTGCAAGACTGGCAGACCCTCGCTCGCGGCATTGTCTTCAAGGAGGCATTCGGCACGTGCGAAGCCGTGCGCCCTGACTTGGCTGTCACCACTCACACGGTCACGGTCAAGGAGAACCGTCGCCTCACGCCGTCGGACTATGACCGCAATATCTTCCACATTGAGTTTGATCTGGGCACTACCGGGCTCACCTACAAGATTGGCGAGGCTCTCGGCATCCACGCCGAAAATGACGTCAAGGACGTCGAGGCCTTTATCAAATTCTACGGCCTCAACGGCGATGACGTGGTCCAGGTGCCCTCTCGTGACGACGCGTCGGTTACGGAGCTGCGCACCGTGCACCAAGCGCTCGTGCAAAACGTCGACATCCTGGGCAAGCCGCCCAAGCGCTTCTACGAGGCCCTCGCCGAGTTCGCGACTGACGAGACGGAGAAGAAGAAGCTCGAGGCTCTCGGCAGCCAGGCCGGCGCGGAGGACTTCAAGAAGCGCACCGAGGTGGACACGCTGACGTACGTCGACATCCTGGAGGAGTTTGCGTCGGCGCGCCCCAGCCTCCACGACCTGATCAAGATTGTCAGCCCGCTGAAGCGCCGCGAGTACTCGATCGCGTCGGCGCAGGCGGTGACGCCCAACTCGGTGTCGCTGATGATCGTGGTGGTGGACTGGGTGGACACGCGCGGCCGGACGCGGTACGGCCAGGCGACGCGGTACTTGTCCCGTCTCGCGGCCGGCGCGCCAGTGACCGTGTCTGTCAAACCCTCGGTGATGAAGCTGCCGGTCAAGGACACGGCGCCGCTCATCATGGCCGGCCTGGGCACGGGCCTGGCGCCGTTCCGCGCGTTCGTGCAGTACCGGGCGATGCAGAAGGCGCAGGGCAAGGATATTGGCGCGATCCTGCTGTACCTGGGCTCGCGGCACCAGCGCGAGGAGTACCTGTACGGCGAGGAGTGGGAGGCGTACCGGGACGCGGGCGTGGTGACGCTGATCGGGGCGGCGTTCTCGCGCGACCAGCCGCAGAAGATCTACATCCAGGACCGCATGCGCCAGACGGTGGGCGACATCGTGCAGGCGTACATCAAGGACGAGGGCAGCTTCTACCTGTGCGGGCCGACGTGGCCGGTGCCGGACGTGACGGCGGTGCTGGAGGAGGCCATCGCGGCCGAGGCCAAGGCGGCGGGCAAGAAGGTGGACCCGAAGAAGGAGATTGAGAAGCTCAAGGAGGAGGGCCGCTACGTGTTGGAAGTTTACTAAATTTTTTTTTTTTTTTTTCATTTTGTGTTGGCTCAGGTTGTCATCATAATCATTGTCCATCATCATGGCATTGGATATTTAGAGGTTCGGAACAGCGGTAACTCAGATAGATGATGCAAAAGCATAACCCCTTGTACTCTCTTGCTCATATCCTTCTTTCAGTGCACGTTCACATCCAGCGAGCCCGGCAATGAACGCAGGTCTTCCTCTCCCGCGCCACGGCTCTCTGTCGTCGGGCAGCCCCGGCGACGTCCTCGTCGCAGAAGGGCTATGGAGCGAAGTGGTAATCCGACCGCACCGAGTGGCTGGCCTGGTTGGGCAGCAACGGGAGCCTATCTTCGCGCACCCTCTCCCCTGCCGTCGGGACGACGCCGTCCTCTGCACATCTTTTCCTCGCCCTTGCTTCCTATTTGAGCTCCAGCCCTGCGCAAGATGGCTGCCTCGCCATGGGTGGCGCGGGGAGGCGCAACCCGGGCAAGAGCCGAAGTGGCGGGGAGCGGGCGGTGCGCGTGGGGAGAGGGAAACAGGTACCTAAGAAGAAAGGAACAATGCCGATGACAGCCATGCTGCATGCTGGGCTTGCTGCACCGACTGCCTGCCTGCCTGCCCTTGTCAAGATGGCATCAGAGCATGCATAGGAATGAACAGCAAGGCGACCCTCCCGTCGATACTTGCGGTTGGTTGGGCGTTCTTGCCCGTCTCGCATGCACAGGGACAACACAGCGATGCAACTATTCCGTCCCGGGCTTTTCGGAGTCCAACAGGCCGGAGGTTTGTGTCCGCGTTTACTACGGAGTGCATCAGGTAGGAGATGTCCTCTCTGTCTCTCTCCTTGAGAGCCTGGCAGGGCATCGGGTTGACAATGGAGAAGGGTGGGGTGATTGCCGATCTGGGTAGTAGTGGTTGGGAGAGAAGAATATGAAAAGAAGAGTCCATTATTATGCCGCAGGATATGTATGCTTGGGAGGTGGCTTGCATTGCCCACCTACATACCTTTGCAGCCTTGTTGGTGAAGCCAGACCCTAACCCACTACCCTACAGTTAGAAATATATTAATGTTAGAGCGGTGTGACGACGGTCTCGGGAGAGGTGAGAGGGGGAAAGAAGAGGAAAGCGGGTGTTTTGAAACGGGATATTGAAGCAAAAGGAAATAAATCGAGAATGCTGTCGGGGTACCTCCGAGTCGGTGAGATGCAATATTATTGAGTCGGCAGATAGGCTTGGGCAAGGGGGCGTATGCGGCCTTGGACATGTCGGGTAGCACAGTGCTCAAACGTGAACTGCGGCAGTGTGACGAGAATGAGGTGGCTGCATAAGCTGGTATATTAAGAAGACAAACTAAAACCCGAGATTTTCTACAACGGAAGAGGACGCAGGGATCGGTGCCTCTCGTTGGTCAATGGACGAAGCAAGCCTCTTGGGGTAAGACGATCGTCAAACTTCCTGTGCCTGTCTATGACGACCTAATGGGCCCCCTGTACACGGGATAGTGCAGGATGACGACACAGGAGGGACAGGAAGAGACCTTTTCCAAGGCGACAGGACAAAAAAAAACGTGTGTAATTTAAACTTTTCTGCCGCTCCTCGTTGCCAGGCGTTGTGGTCGTCGTATCGTGTGTCGTGTTCGAACTGCATCTTCGCGCCAGGGCTAACGCCTCGGCCTTCGTGGTGTCCCCTTCGATGCCCCTGGGCGGACAAGACAGGGGATGGATGGAAAATGTCAAAGCAAAATATGCACGTCCTTTCAAGTTGACAACGGGGGAATCAAAGACGGACACATGACAGACAAACACCCCGGGACATCCAGGAAAAGTACTCCATCCAAGCAGCCTCGATAGACGACCCCCCCCCCCCCCCCCCCCCCCCCCTGTCCTTGACAGCGCAGCGATCCCAGCACATCGGTAAAAGCGCCACTCAAACTCTTTGTTGCCGGGTTCTGTCGCTGCGCTTTTTTCCCCTGTCCCGTCGTATCGTCGTCGTCGTGGCTGGCTGGCACCGGCGGAAGGCGTGGGTTGCGCGCGGTCGGGACGAGAAGGCGGTCAGGGGAAACCAGGCGGCCGAGAGTTTTGGAGTCTGGGGAAGAGAGGCAGCTACGGGCCAGAGTTCCCGAACTTTCCGAACCTCTTCTAGACGACATGATCTTGTATCCGCTCTTCCTCCCTCTTCCGCATGTTTACCATTTTGGACGGGAAATACACTTCACGCGCGCAGATGCAGTTTGCTCAACTCCAAGAACCTGGGAGCCCCGCCGCTGAACCCAGCTACAAGGACCAAGTAAGCCAGGAAGCTTCTTCCATTTTTTTTTTCTTTTGTGAAGGGGAAAAAAAAAGAAATCATTTCCATTCTCAAAAAAAAAAAAATGGACAGGCCTGGGCAGCGTGGTCATTAAGATATCCGTCGCCAGTTTTTTTTTCGTTTTGAGTTTGACCTTGCAGATGCCTTCAGCTCGTCAAGATACGATGGCTGCTCCGTATGCTGCAGATAATCCAGTCGCCCTACGCCCCCACTCGCGTATTAAAGCCTTTCTTGTCTCCAGACGACTGAAATTGCCCAAGAATATCAATCCCAAGTGTATTTTTGTAAACCTGTAATAGACCATACAAATCTCCAGAAAAAAAAAAAGAAAATGATAAAAAAAATATAGCAAGCGAGTGGCCATATCAAAAACGCCGATTCGTCAATGTCCTGGTGTATGTATGTATGTATGTGTATGCGCCCTCGGTATGGCTTCTTTGCAGCTGACTTCTAGTATGCGTGTGCCGTCATCCATCCACCGCCTCGTGGGTATTTCTTCCCCCCTGCCATTTGCTTCTTCTCCTCGCTTTTGGTCCATCGCCTTGGTTCGATGCGCCTCGCCTCCCCGACCCTCCTGGCTCCTCCTATCCTCTCTCTTACGCGATCCAGTCTTGGAGATCCCCCGCTACTAGGTACGTCGGATTGGCCGAGTGGCCGTCGCCACCCACCTTGTCCCACGCCCAGCGCTCTGTGTAGTCCTTGTCAAGTGTGCCTTGCATCATGTCGGCAATATAATCCCCGATGACTGGCAGGAACTTCCAACCGTGGAATGATCCGCCCGTAGCCACATACAAGCCATCGCAGTGAGGGTGCGCAGTGATGAGGAAGTCGTGCGTCGGTGTCGAGGCATCCCTAGTAAATCACCGTGTTAGTCACTGTCCTGCAACCTAGCAGCAGACTCAACTTACCAGCAAATGCGATACGACTCAATCTCAACATCATTGATCTCCTCTCCGTAGATACCCTTGTATGTCATCTGGGCTCGCTGCTTGAAAAAGTCGACAAACTCGGCCCCAGTCCATGTGTTGTACTTGGGGTCGCTCGGCGGTAGCGACATTCGCTCGCCCGTCGCGGGAAAATCTTGGAAATTGGTGAAGCACATGTCGCAGTTAAACTTGATGGTGCCATCGCTGAGGATGGACATGCCCTCGCCCTTGACACTCTTGAGGCAGTTCTTGAGCACAGGCACCGATGCAAATCTCGCCTTCTTCTCCCCATGTAGTTTGGCATAAAAGCTGACGGCACCCGTCGCCAGGACGCGATCGCCGCTATGTAACTCCTTGTTCTTGGGGGCGCTTTGCGCAAGGAGGGGTTCGGTGCGTGCTCCGGTGGCCATTAGAACCTTGTCCGCCAGGAAAATGCTTCCGCTTTTGAGGGTCACACCGATGCATTGGCCGTCGAGGCCGAAAGCAAGAGTGTCCATCTCTCCAACGACGTATTCGACACCCAGATCGATGCCCGCTTGCACAACGGCTGCCAACGCCTTGTCCGCCTCGGCGATTCCCACGTTAGGGTTGAAGAGAACCTTGTCGAGGTCCTCAAAGTCGGCAGTGGCAAAGATACCGTTCCACCGCCGACGAACCTCGTCAATTGGAAGCATCTCACACTCATGTTCAATGCCCAGCTTCTTATAAGCATCAATGCTTCCCTCGGCGAAGTTGGTCGGATCGGCGCGAAGCATGCCAGTTTTGTGGTAGAAGGACTTGTAGAGGTCGTCGCTTCTCCACATGGGCATAGCCTTGACCATCATCCGCATGTAAAGCAGATCTGGGTAATCGTCACGAACAATCTTGTTGATGTCGTGTGAGGCAGCTCTAGGGCTGGGAAACATAGCGGTATCAAGGAGGGTCACTTGAACACCGCGCCGAGCCAATGACAAGGCGGTACCGGCGCCAAAGTTGCCTGCACCAACAATGATGACGGAATTGAAGTCGGGCGCGTCATTGTCCGGGGCAGACATGGAGGATGAGGAAGACAGGGGTGTGGCGGGTATCGAAGGCGACGGAGGAGTTGAGGACGGAGATGAGGAGGGAGCTGAGGGATCCAGCATGTACGTGTTGGTGATTTCGCGCATGGTTGCGGTTGTGAAGTTGTTGTTGTACTTTAATAGCAAACCAGTGTTGGTGTAACTAATGTGGTAATGGCAGTTGTGTGTGACAATCGGAGTAGCAACAAAGGCTTGTGAGACCAACGCAAGATTGAGTGGTGGCACCGTGTGAGGCAGTGATACTCCAGTTATAGTCTTGAATGGCTGTACAAACGGTCAACAAGAATTGAACAAGTGGAATTGGTGTCTGTAGAGGGAGGGAAAAAAATTGGCAGAAGAAGAGGTGGGTGGATATGGCATCTTTATAATTCAAGCCGCGATTCAGACTGAACTTAACAAGCAAGTCCCAGGAGGAAAGAAATAGTTAGCAGAGACAACTCAGTTCCCCCGGGGCGTGCGAATTGCTCGAGGAGGGGTGTATTGACAAATGAATCTCGGGGGGGAAGGGGGTGGCTCGTCAACTAGTTGGGTATTGGCTTTGCAGGTAGTTGCTCCCCCAGGCACGAAAAAAGCAAGAGGCTTCGCATGCTTCTTTTCTCAATGCCCACACGCACGCACGCCCGTCTCGTCTCCTCTCTCGCAGGGGCGACGACTGGGAAGAGAAGAGCTAACTAGGCCGACCAGTCTGTATTAGCCTGATGAAGGGGCCCCAGTCCTGTCCCCTCCCCTCTCATCAATTGTGTGTGTCCGACGCCGCTCCGCCCAGGAAGGGGAAACAAGTGCTGCAGCTGCCAGGCACAGTGGCATACTGGGTGGGAGAGGTGGTTGACGGTGCTTGGGGTTGGACGAGGCTGCCGACACGACATATTCCGGTACGGAAGACTGGCAATCTGGATTGGCATACAACTGGCACTCCGCCAGGCTAGCGGACTAGGGCGAGATTGGCGGGCTTGAAACCAGAGCGGCGGCGCGCCATCCTGCCATGGATGAGGGCCATGGATCATGGATTGTGCTGCTGGTGGGCGGGCAGCTCGCAAGAGTCTGTCCCAAGCCACGGTATTAGTTAGCGCAGTCGTCTCTCCCACGGTCCTGTAAAGTAGGGACAGCCAGTCTGTCTGTCACTCTCGATGGAGCACCTTGGGGCTTGCGGGCGACAGTATCACACGGGACGGGCCAACTTAGGCGTTGTCGAAGCAGGGGCATGGCGAATGAGAAGCGCTGGTGGCGACGCTTCTTGGCGGAAGCGTACCTATTCGTACTGCTAACTTAATAAACTACGTAGGAGACGTAGCAACAGCGCACGCAGCTGGTGTCTCATGTGCAGAATTCGAGATACAGGGCTTGAGGGTCCTCGCTGCTTGGGTTGGAGTCAAGGGTGGATGTGGCTGCGAGTTGGACGGCGAGAGCAGCGGGCTGCAACCTGCATCGCCTGATTAGCATTCAACAGACGTACCAGTATGCATACTCAAAAGGCGCGATGACCAGTTGTTGTTCGATGGCGGCCGATTGTCTCCGCCAATCACAACGGCGGGATCTCTTTCATATCTGTTGAGCACGAATAGGTAGAAAGAACCCCTGTATATTGTGCTTATTGCTTCGTATAACAGGCCTGCGTAGATGCAAGGCCACACCGCCGTCAGTTTGTAGCCGTGTGTGTATTCGGACAATGAGGTCAGAGAGCCGGGGCATAGTACAAGCTGGCTGTAATATCGGAATGCGGGAGAGATTACTATTCAGGTTGCTGTCATGTGAGTGTGTGTTTGGGCAGCAAGGGGAGGAGCAAGCAAGCAAGCGCAGGTCTGCTTCGTGTCCAACAGTGATTGTTCAGTTGACCTACCTCCGCGTTGGCGTGCATCCGAAGGCCATACAGGAGGCAATAATTGTGTCACAGCATCGATCGATATAGGTATGTTGTAAGAGCGGCTATTTGGCTGCCACAGAGGGTTCGTTGCGAGGGACGCAAGAGAATGGATGGATGGGCGCCAGAGAGAGTGTAGGCGAAGGGGATCCGTTTGATGATGGTGAGGCTGGATGGTGGGGGAGGGGGAGGAAACAAGGAGATTAGTCTAGGATAGGGCACTGTTTGGTAGGTGGCATGGTAGGGGCCACGGTGCTATGTATGTACTGTACATATGTATGTACATACATAGTTACAGGGTCCACAGGGAGTATGCTGTGGCGTTTTGAGCACTGACGCAAGAAGTACAAGGGCATGTTGGAGGTTGTGTGTGACCCTGGAATTATAAGGGAATCGCGTAAACCATCAGCCTTTTGCTGCCTGCGTACAGTACTTGATTGTCTACCTAAGTACTTACTAATAATGGAAAACGGTAGGTTAATTGACCCAAGGCAAAATCAGGTGCCTTTGGGTTCAAGACAATATGTATGTAGGTATCGTGCTGGCCTGCGTCCAAGCTGATAGACCTCTTTGGCCATGATGGCGCCATCTGGTCTCTCTGAAAATGCCCAAATCTGGCCGCTCAGCAGCATTCAGCTGGTACTTTGTCACTGCCCTTTTTGAGACATCCCCTCCTCCATTCATGCCTGTGGTCGCCGAGCACAGCTGCTGCCCAGTTCGTAACGGGCTGGAGTGGTTGGGACAATGCCACGCCCGCTCCGCCGGACAGAGGAAGCCGGACAAGGCTGAGGCGCCTAGAATTTCCTGTTCCTGATGTGCTCTTGAATCCTTACTTTTGGCCGCTTCTTTGCCAGTGTGCTACCCTTACCCAGCCCGGCCAAGTTAAGGCCAAGCCAAGCAGGAGGAACTCGCATACGGTGCATCACTACCACCCTGGTAGGATTAAATAGTTAGTATGCTACTTCAATGTTGACTCTTTCCTCCGCTGGGAGTGGAGGGACCCCGCGGGGCAGCCCTCTGACGAGGAAACTTTACAGGGCAGACCACGAAGACTTAAAAAAAAAAAGGGCAAAGAGACGGGAACAACGCCACTACCTTATATTCATAGGGGGTTTGGTGGCGTACTAATAACGTATATACTTATAGTCTTCATTATGATCCTGAAAATTACAGACGGGCTGAATGACCGCTGTTGCACGGACTTATTTTTTTATCAGGTACTACCCATAGATACTTCAGTATCTGCTCCTACTGGTACGTGCAGTGAGCACTGGCTCCTTCCATCCTTCCAAACCTGCCACTTCTTGCCTCTCAGACTCCCTCCCTCCCTCCCGCAAACCTTGGCCCTCTTTTTTTCTCCCCATCAATCTGCTCCACGCTAAAATCCATCTCCCTGCTAGTCAAGTTTATTTTTGTTCTTGCTTCTTCTCATATTGTTGTTGTCTCTTTTCTCATCACCCACCAGCATCTGTCCACCGCCCGCACCTAAACTTAATAGCCGTCGCCAGACGTCACCGTTGAAAACTCTGCATCATCGCTATTTGTTCGTCTCAGACCCAACCACATCAGCGTCCGCACCATCGCCAGTGCACGTGCTATCTCCTCCTCTACCAACTGGCGGTGTTTGCCTTGATGTGCATGCTGGCACATCCTGTTCGGTCACTATTGCCGCTGCGACTGTTGCTGCTGCTGTTTGCTCCAATGTAAACCAGCGAGGCAAATGCAGTACGGAGTATTCCCTGGCTGCCCTGGCATTACATGCATACGGTAACATGCTCCGGCTTCCAGCTCGGTCAAAAACGGCAACCCGGGGCCAGAGATGAGATCATCATCCCTAAAGCCTCATTTCCTGCTTCTTCTGATCCGCGCCGATCCTTGAACCTGGAACGACATCTCTGTGGCCACTGGCCACGGTCTGTCCAACCACTACACCGCTACCACCAACGACTAAGCACCTTACCCTAGTCTTTCCTCCCTCCTTGCTGGACAGGTCCCCGCCGTCCCAGCTACTCGGGGCTACTGGGCGCTGTGGCTGCTGGCTTCAGGTCCATTTCGCTTTGGGGGACCCAGGCAATTCATGAGACAACCGACCCATCGCCTTGGGTTGACCAGGGCCTGCATCGAGTCGATCCACACAAGTACCATTCCACCGGTACCACAGTTGTCGATGGAAGAAAGTATGGTCGGTCCCTGCTGCACTCAAGTCGTACAAGCCCAAGGGAAGGAGCATTGCGGAAACAGCAATGCATGCGCGCGCGCTGCCATCACATGTTCGCCAAGCCTTGCCATCGCGTCTTTGTACTTCGTCGTCGGATGTAACTCGACTCGGGCCAAACCTCAATATAATAGGAAATGCATACCAACGCAGCCGCTGTCGTACAGCAGCTTATGTGGCTTCCTTTCGGCTTCCTTTCGGCTTCCCGTCACTCTTGACGTTTGCCAAGCGTACTGACTTGGCCGTACTGACTTGGCCGACAACCTGCCAGGTGGCACCGCAGTTCTTCTCACTCCACTTGGGTCACGAGAACATATTTGTGCGTTGGAGTTGAATTGTTTCCTCGAGGCATCATATCTCTATGCTCTTCCCGCCACGTTTCCCTTCCTCTTGACCCAACGAGTTCACTCAAGACATTGATGTCGTATCTCTTCTCTCGTCACGACCGGGACTGCCCGAACCCGAGCAAGACAACCGAGATGCTGCAGCACTGAGCCATGCACGTGCGTTCATCATGCAGGGCCAACGCACTCCTTCCTCTTCAGATGACAAAACCCTGAATTCTTCCATCTCCAGCAAGCAAGATTCAGCCTATGGTACGTAGTAGTATGCCTTCCCCATCTCCGTAGGATCCCATGCGTCCCCAGACAAGCAGCGCATTGTCCCTTCCCAAGACAAACTGGTAGCGAGTGCATGGCACAAATGCAATTGCCGCAAGACATCCCCCCGACCCTTTTACACACGCTGCACCAGCGGCTGCAGCGTCATCTTCAGCCTTGCCTCCATCGTTTGTTCACATTCACTGCGACTACTTCTCCTCTTTCTCCACTTGTCGACAAGGCATCCCTGACCAGAACCAAATCGACTGCGGAGTTACCAGAAGAAAGCGGCCAATATAACGGTATGAGAGAATGACCCTCTGTATCAAAAGCCAGAGTTTGTTATATTGGGCTGCTGTTTCAGCGCACTTACAAAGAGGAGCTCGCTGTGTTCTTAGTGAGAGGCTTTTAAGATGATGCGCCTCTTTCTCGCTCACCGCCGCGAGATGCGCGGATTTCGTACGTCAGAGGCGTGGCAGCCAAAGGTCATTTACAAAGAAATTAGTCGGCAGCTTTACCGTCTGGCTTTGCAAGTATGCTATGCAATGCAGGGAGACGCCTAATCTAACGCCAACCTGCACCAGGAGCGGAGTCTTTTGTCTCCGCTGAATGCAGGCGTCTTGCCCACATGAATTTCAAACAAAGCCGAATTTCTTGGTACCTAAAGTAACACAAGGGGTTGCAGCGAGGGAGGAAGAGGTCGCGCTGCGCAATGAAGGATGAGTGATATCGTGAAACAGCCCTCAGGGCGCCGCAGCCTCCCTGGCTCCCTGCCCGCCTGCCCGCCTGCCTGACTACCAACCTACTTGCCGTGGTGCAAGCCCGAAAGGCCTGTACTGGTACGAACATGCATTGTTTGCCGACACTTGAGTTGTACGACGACACATACGAGACGTTTATACCTACGTACCCTTGCCATAAGGCGCCGCTACCGCCGCCGCCGCCATAGCCCGAGCACCAGGCCAGCCTCTATGGTGTGTCTCTAAATTTCCACAAAGATGTTCACTCTATCTATTTCCCGCGACCCTCCAGTCGCGCCAGTGCTAGTCTGCATTATTAGCCGCCCAAAGAGCAAATATTTCGAAATGGATAAAGAGGAAACAGGAAGACAAGGATCACGCTTGTCCGCCTGTTGGTGTAGTTGGGCTGCAGAACATTGCCTCCGCCCTTCCAGCCGAGACTTTTCGGCCTAAGCTTTATGGCCGGGGCCCGAGGGCTTGGTGCCAGCCATGATCCGCCATCTGCACCAAGAACGAAGTAGGTTACGGAGTCAAGACGCAGACAGGCCCAATGATTGAAGTTGCTGCTGGCCCAAGACCACCACACCGGTACCCCAGCCATCCCATCTAAGCCAAGCCACGCTACGCCCCTTGCCAAACCCGCAAGCCGAAGAAGGCGAAAAAAAAAAGAAGAAAGAATAAAGGAACAAGAACTTGATTAGGAACAGGGATCGGCGTTGCGCAGGGAAAAAAGGACAGGGGGTGGAATGGGCTGAAAGGGAATGCTCATGTCGTGCGTCTCATTCCGCACCTACCTAGTTCGTAGATTATTATTTTATTTTCTACTGCCAGTAGAGAAACCTCTTAGTCGCCGACAAGGTGTTGCCACGCCGTCATCTTACATGAATTCAAGTTTGTGGCTCTCGCCCATCTCAGCAAATCTCGCCGACCTTGTTTACACAACAGGCTTTGTCCTCCCTATCCTCTTCCCCCATTCCTCGTCTTGATATCTCTTTTCTCCCCTTTGCTCAAAGGCGCAGCAGACAAGTTGGCAGGGCACCATTTCTTTTCCTTTTTTTGTCCTATTCTCTTTTTTACCTTCCAGAAATTGTCCCTCGGTTTTGCTTCTGGAAGAAGTGCAAAGCGCTTGCACCCATTCCCCCCCATGTCGATGTCGACTCCTGTATGCTGCTTGGTCACGGTGGCGTGCTGTCTTCAGGAGCTGCGGCTGCATGGCTGCCAAACCACGTCAACGTGCTTCTGCTTCTGTATCTATGCATGCATCAACGCCAGTCTGGTCCGAACGGTGTGCCCAGATGCATGAATCCGTGCAATCAGTGTAGCACCAGATCATGCATGATGGAGCGATTAACCAGTCACAAGCCTGCGCAGACGTGCTAGCTGGCGCCAGTTTGGGGGTCTGCATTTTTGGGTTCGTGCTTCACCGTCTGTTTATGCCGTTCTAACCCGTCTCGCCGGGCGAACCGTCGCTTCTTGGGCAAGTTTGGACAGTTTGGCAAGTCACAGACCCAAGGTTTGCGGTGCTTGTTACAATGCTGACTATTCAGGGGTTAGCACCGCCGTCATGTCATGCGGCTCGGCCATCGTGCCTGACCCTTCCTGAAGCCGAGATGGAATTTGGGCACGTACGCAAATGATGAGTTACGGTCAAAGATTATAACCTTGCCGTCTCTGTCGACGCCGCCTTTGTCGCATTTCGTTCCCTTGGGGCACATGTATGTCCCTTTGCCTCTCTGCTTGAGTGCGTCCATATTGATGCTGGAGAAGAGCTCCTCATCTCCAGAGTCTGAGTCCGAGTCGTCTTCCTTACCAAGATCCATCTGCTCAGCCATGCCACCGGCCAATGTGTTGAAGCTGTCGCCGTCAGTGTGGCTGCTTGGGATGAAACGAGCGTCTTGGCTTGGTGAAGACAGCGTTGTGGCTGCTAGTGGGAATTGTCCCCCACGCTCAGCTTGACTGGACGAAGAAGGGTCCGGAACAGACTCCTCTGGGCGCCAAACTGCTTGGACATCTTTGGAAAATTTAGCCGTTAAGTCGCGAATTTTGCTGTGTAACTTGGTAAGAAGGTTGTAATGGCATCAAAACGGGACGCATACCGTAAGCGACCGAGCTCAACATCAACGGCGGCAATGGTTGACAAATCCGCCAGACGGGTTTCAGTGGCTGAACGGACGTTGACGTCCCTCGAAATCTGATCAATATGCGGTCCCTGAAGGAGATTATGGGTCATCGTCGACCACATCTGGGCTGTACGGGTAAAGTAGTCTCCCAGCTCCCGAAGGAGGGTGGCCGACGCCTCAGAGAGTAGCGGGCCGGGGGCAGGCGGCATTGAAGGGGAGTCGGTGCCCATGCTGTGAAAGTCGCGGACAATTTGGTTAAGTTTGTCTCTGACTAGATAGTCGAAAGAGGCAGTTTTGCAAGCAGTGGTGTGTAAGCTCGACTCAAAGACACGAGCCTGCCTCGGCATCGCAGCAAATGCGCCGTCCATGCTATGTATATCTCTGAGAGGCGGGCTCAGGCTGGAGGTAGTAGGTACGTATCTGGGCTGGGCAGGCACTTGGGAGGAGCTTTGGGTGGCAGCTCTTGGTTTCGTCCCACTGGGCGAGTGCATCGGCGGCGCAAGCACATGCCACGAGGGTACCTGGGCAGGTAGAGAAGGAGGGTACGAGCAACACTAGGATGTATGCCCTCACGAGACGATAAGTGGCACAGCGCAAGTTGTCGCTCTCAACCTTGTGCGGAGTATCGCGGCCGCAAACAGAACAGCCGTGTGTGGCCTTAAGCGGGCTGTCTTCCTTGCAGGCGACAACGACGGATGACGTTCGCTGGGTAGGTACAGAATGAGCGGGGCGCTCGCTCCTCACTGAGCCGGGAGGGAGCTTGCTTAGAGGCCAACAACACCTTGCGGGCAGGCAGCAAAGAGCTATTGCCTTGGTAGTATTATGCTGAGCCGCCCAATGAAGAAAGTCAAGAGTCTGTGGCAGGTTCTGCGGGCGACACTGCGTCGTGCCCTGTAGTGCAGTTTGCCTGGGTGGGGAGCCGTTGGTGAGGAGGGAATGTGGAGATCCCGACGGTAGAATGGGGGGGGACGGGACAGCCAAAGAGTGGGCGAGCCGGAAACGGGCGGGCAGGTGGGGAGAGGGGAGGGGGGAACGGAGGAGGGGGAACGAAGGAGGGGGAACGAAGGAGGGGGAACGGAGGAGGGGGAACGGAGGAGGGGTGATGATTGAGCTGCTCCGGTGGTCCTGATACTGGTTCTTCCTGCTGTCTCCGGTGGTGGTTGCTCGGCCCGGCGGGCAACGCGGGTGGTGAAGGAACAGGGCCCAGGATTATCTGAGGCTCGGATAGGCCAAGGAAGCGAGAGACAAGATGGGAACGCCGCCCAAGGATCGATCTTGACGGATGCTGGAACAAGCAAAGATAGACAGGTGTGACGACAGTAGCCAACGGGCGCGAGGCGGAGAGACCTGGCCAAAGCCAAAGCCCACTCTCACTTGGTTTGTACCAGGGCCGGGAGGGTGAGGGTGGCGGCTGGTGGTTTGAGTCTTGGAATCGGCGACATACAAGAGCAGGGTCCCGATGTCACTGTAAGTGGCCGGGCGAATGGGGTAGCTGGGGATTTGTGTACCGGTGCGTTGGTGGTGATTATTAGAGTTGGACTAGTTGAGGCGAGCCACGGGGTGGAACGACGCGATCTCTGTCTGTTTGCTGTTCATTACTAATAAGCTGATAGATAGCTCGCCAGGGAAGGCACGCACCCAGTGGCTTGCTGGCCGTAGACGCCGCCCGCCCGGCTCTGTAGAATCTTACATAATAAACTCCATGGTGAGAGTATGTCCAGACCATGAAAACGTAACAAAAAGTAAATGCAGAGGTTAATCCGTATAATTCCCCTGAAACTCGGACGTTTTGTTTTATCTTCGTCTTTAAAACACTATATCTCTGTGAGCATTGCTAACTAAGCCGGACGGGCACACAACTACCCCGTGCAAAACTTGGTTACAACTAGTTTGCCCGGTCCATCAATGGTCCGTCAGGCTCTCCCTCCAATCGAATGCACTCCTCGGCCTGTCAACTGTCTTCGGCCTGGAACTTCACCAACCAACTACCATGTCTACCCCGCGCTGCTGTTCGATGAACTCTATAATACAGCGGTCGTTATCCTTCCCGCCCTGAAGACTTGTTTTGATGGTACTGCTGCCCCTGGTTACTCAAGTATGGACAGATCGCGCCCTGCCATCATCATACGGGCCAACGCGTATCGTAGACAAAAAAAAAACCGTAGGTAGCTAAAGATTGTTCGTAGCTTGTTTACTTTTGGCTAAGTTGTTTTCATTATTGCCTGTGAGCAAATCCTTGCTAACTGTCATGGCGTCGCAACTGCTTGGTTCTATTCGCGGGGTATGCAAGGTTTTATTCGTATAGTAGAGTGTATGTTGGTATGATGAGCTTAATTCCCACCATCCCGTGATCAGTTTACAACCGAGGCAGCGTGGCTTAACACACAGCTTGATTGATTTAGTTTTAGCTACTCCTTCTAGCTCTCATAGCGTCGACTCATCCAACATTGAGCCTCGCACAATGTTGAAAACAGTGCATCAGGGTAACAAATGCTCGCCAGTGTGGGGAACTTTGGCTGGGCCTTCCGCCATGTTATGCACACGATAAGTTGTCATGCCGCAAGTTGGGTCAGAGCGCGCATTAGGCACGTCATACCTATTGTTATCCAAAGGAGCAGTTCTCATCAGTGATGCTTGTTTCTTTTCTTTTAACTTTAATCTGTACGGTGGAGTTGGCACGAATCGCGTCATTCTGAGTGATTAGATGAAATGGTGTTGCAAGATTTTTTTCTTTTTTGCTTTTGAGGCTCAAGACGGCCTAACAGCGTAGATAGCTATTACAAAGTCCCTAATACTTGATCTGATAGCCGCGTAACGATAATACGTAGAGTCCTGAATACCTTCATACTCAGAAGGTGTGGGAGACTGAGGAGCCCTAACCTAGAGCTCGGAACGACTAGTCTCGATCGGGCACTTACCCCAGCACCTTGTTCTCAGATGAAAGCTGATGATTGGCTGTAGCCAGCAGGAGGGAAGAGAAAACAACGCTAGGCCGGCCGGCAAGCTCCCGCTGGCGGATCCGCTATCAAGCGTCCCGTTTTGATCCCTGCTAGCGGCATTTCGCGTCTTTGCAGGTATTTGGCATTTTGGCATTTCCCATCTGGGCTGCGCTGCGGGGAGAAGGGGGGGATGCTTGGGCAACAGTGCGCAAGCCAGAGGCCCTGTTTGAACGCGAGCACAGCGGGCCAACGTAGAGATTGCTTCAGGCTGCAATATGTTTTATTTCGACATGCATCTGAATCTTTTTTCGGGCCCAAATGCAGCCAGTTTAGCCTATATTTTAGCACGCAGCTTCTTACGTCCTGTGGCGCGGGCCGGCTAACCCGTACAGGCACTGCGATCATCTTTGGACTGTATCGGTAATGATCTGTAGCAAGTCCGCTCCATCCTGCCTTTTGAACCAGATACTAGCAGGACTTGGCTGCATACGCGAGATGTGGTCAGACTATCTGTCCATTGGTGGTAGCGGCATCGAATCAGCTCGTGGCATCCTCCTTCGACTAGCTATGCAGGTGAACAAAGATGATGCACTGGAGCCCACAGATGGGGCGAAGAAGCAAGAAACAACAAAAGAACATGTAGAAGCAAAACACGTACCTGATCCTGATGGAGCAGCCCCTTGGAGCCGAACAATGATCGAGGCAACCTGCGGCTGTACCTTGTTTATCTGTTGCGCTGTGGCTTGGACGGCCCTGGGTCAAAAGGATGCGTAGGATAGGGGCATCGGGCAGACAATCGTTGATCTGGACACCTTTCCGCGCGATCTCCAGCGGTGTCTGAGGACACGGGGATCGCGCGCTGCACTGGTTGATGAAGTGTGGCTTGCAGGGCAAGGCTCAGGCATTCGATGGAAGGATTGCGGTGTGCCTGCGCATCCATATTCCATGAATTGCATCCTGCATGGCCGCCTCATTCTCCCCATCTGATTTAATCCCAGCTATTCGGGATGACGCCTACAGTGCAGGCGGCTGAGCGCAATGAAGGCGACCAGGACGACAGGGTCTCAGCCTTCAGGCGTGGACACCAGCGAGGTGGCACTGCCCAATCAATCTCGCGCAGATCTGGGAGGGACTCAAGGCCAGAGTCCGCATGCTGCACCCACTGCAGCATGCAGCTAGACGCAGTAACTAACAGGTCCCTTCCATTTGGTGTGTGCTCCTGGTACTTGTTATGAGTCTTTCTTCCTGCTTGGCTGTACTGGCACGGAGGAGTTGAGCAGTCCAAGCTTGGGAAAATTGCTCCGCAAATGATAAAATTAAAGTGTGCCGCTATCTGTCTTGCGTTGCCTGGCCGGCCCAAACCCTCGCCCAGGCCCGATGCCCGAAAAAGGTCGGCAGCATGGCCTTTTCGAACCGATGCTACCAGTCTAGATCATCGGATGCTTCCTGCGAGCTGTCAATCTCACTGGATACCCTAGTTACCCTCCTTCCTGTCACCCTGGAATTGTCGCCAACCGTTTCTCATTGGCCTCTTGTTGCGCCCTTGTTTCCCGCCTGAGGCCCTGTCTTGCCCATCTCGGCCGCCGCCACGCCGCAATGGGATAGAACGGGGGAATGAAAAAAAAAATGGATAAGCATTTGATACCTCTTCAGTGCAAAACGGTGCCTCCGACCGAGTTTCTGTATGCAGTCGTTGACGGCTTGGGCTGTTGTTGCAGGCCAGGCCCATTCTCGCTACCGCTCTGTCGGCTTCACGCAGACGGGCGCCTTTTTAGTTCCCGCTTTCCCTAACCCTTTCTCTCCACACTTTCTCGACTCTTTCCCCATCTCCCTTTCCCTTTCCCTCTTGTCCCATCAGCAAAAGAGACGACAGGTAGACTCGTCTTACTATTTTCCTGTCTCTTCTTGTCAATCAATCTATGCGGTTATCTTGTCTCTCGTCGCGCCCTTTCCTGCCGCTTCCATCGCTCGTTGGTCGCAAACGCAAACGCAAACACCCGCACACCTGCCTCACTCGCTTGCCCGCCTGCGTGTTTCCACTATTGGCCCCGCGTATTCGCCGTCCAAACTCCCAGTACCATACGCCATTGTCGTTGGCCCAGACTTTGGAGTCGACAAGCATCAACCAGTCGTCAACCCTTGGATCATCGTCGGCTCATCTCGCGTCTCTGTTTCTGACCAGGAATCCAGGAGCCCACCCCGTCCAAGCGCAGCATTATCCACACACGTGCTCGTACCACAGTCCACGGCAATCCACCGCAAACGCCGCTCGTCCAGCCAGACCAGAGGATTCGACCAAAATTCCAGCTTTTTCTACGCCCCCAAAACACCAACAAGTCCATCTGCATACCTCGGTACGGATACCAACACAGAATACATCCCGTTGGTGAAACTTGACTGGCTGTCGTCCGACGTCTCCATTTCCTTCGGTCGTCCGACTCGCCATCGCCCCTTCAGCTGCTCAAGGGTGTGTCGCCCTCCAAGTGGACAGCCACGGTTGCGGTCGGCCCGTCCGTCAACTCCACTGGATTAGCTGCCGACAGATCATATCAGGCTCATCAAACGTCCCCCACTGCAACAGCTGCACCAGACGTGCACCAAACGTGCACCAGACGTGCGACTAGCTGCATTTGCTGCAGTACCGACCGGGGGAATACCCTTGGTTGCTTGGCTACTTGGCCGTGCCTTGGCCGTGCTCTGCTGTGCTGTCCAGTAGTTGCGGTGTACCGCTGGTGCCGAATACTGCTCTGCTGGGTACTGGTATTTTTGGAGACACAGCCTGTACGTGGACGTGCTCGGTTGCAAGTTGAACCCCGCGACAAGTACCGACTCCCCGGCACCACCGACTTTCAACTACCTATCCATGTAGGTACGAATTACTGTATACATCACACACGCTATCATCTACCCAATAAGCGGAGGTACCGATCCTGCACGACTCCATAATCTATATACCGGCACTTTTTTACACCAACAGCGCGCGTCACCTCTCCGGCCTCCTCGTCGCAGTGGATCTCCCTCATCTACTAGCGCTGTCCCATCTTGTCTTCTTCAGCCCTCATGGTACAAGATAAAATACATAGTCTTACCTTGTTGTTGAATCCCTCCCTCGCGCCAACGCTAATAAACCCGCCGCTGCCATCCTGCCGACCATACCGTCGGGCCTGCTAGAATACTCTTCTCTCTTCGCGCCATCTCCTCTTTTCGCGGCTACTCTTCTCTCGCCGTAACGCTCTCGTCTCCACGATTTTCTCTTTGCGCGCGCGTCTCACAGCCCTCTTGTCGCCTCCCGTGCTCGTCGCCCTTCCGTGCTTGCTCCGCCCGCGGTGCCTGTCTTGCATCGTCCTGTCACTCAACGTCGCTGCCCAGCCCAGCCCGGCGTCACCCCACGAACCTGGCTGGTTGGCTAGTGCTGCCCGACAAGCACTCCCAACCAACTCTCGCTGCCGCGACCCCAACTCCGCTGCCCACGCCCATGAGCCCTACCAACCCTCCACTTTCCCGCTTCGACTTCATGGGCGGCTTTGGGGACGACGACCAGCGCCCAGCCAAGCGCGTCCGGCGTGATGAGACCGCCGCCGGCCAGGCGGCCTTGCCTCGAGATGGGCAAGACAACTTCCCCGACGCTTGGGGCCCATCACGAGCCTCGAATCGAGAATGGTTGTTTTCCCATCCTATCATGCCGTCGGCCGCATTGTCCATACCTATGCTTGGATCGATGGCTGACATGGTGGCTCACCCAAATGCCGCGATGCCCATTGACCCCTCTCCTATGGTCACCTCTATGTTTTCTCCTATGAACAGCACAATACCCCCGGCTTTATGGAATACAAGTTTGAGTAAGTTTTGCAGGAATATGCACACACACATCATCTCCCGTGGCTTCAGCAGCCTTGCCCGCGTCTTTCGATGTATAGTATACCCTGGCTTAGTCGACTGTGCATTGTTTGTTGTCTAGCGCTGTTCTCACTTGCCTCTTACCTCCGCAATCTGTGCTTCACGCGGGGGTTTTTTTTATCGAGCCACCGATCCAGAAGTTTAAAAAGTCCACCTTCCTCTGAGAAACTACTGGCGGTTTCATCTTTTGTTAATAGCCGCGGCGGCGGGGGCTACTCATCCCCTGCTGTAAGCAAATCACAAGGCTTAAGCTGCTACAAGAGAACTAACTACACTCAAGATAAATATACTGATGACTCTCGGCTCGCAGGTCTTCCTCAGAGTTCTGCTAATGTCTCGACGGCATTTCAACAGCAGTCACAGCATGTTACTGCTCCTCCGCAAGAGCTACCGCCACTGCAATATGTCTCGCCGGCACAACGCACCTTCCAACCACAAGATCCTCAACAGTTACACCCGCCACCACGGTCGCTACATCCACCAGAGCGCCCCTATCAAGCACAGACATCTCAGAGCCCACCCTTCGTTTCCGAGCCGCCCCGCCAAAGTCAGCAGCGGCGAAGGTCTCTCGCCAGACAGGCCGCTACAAGTCCATTTTCTGACTGTATCAACTCTTTCGGGCACAACTTCGCCCCTCTACAGTTTCCTCGTCCACGGGGTGGTGAAGTTGACGGGTATATCAAATTTTCCTGGACCCAGAAGGAGGATAAGCAGTCATCGAGGATTATCGAAGTAACGGATCCCGAGGACGACGATTCGTCTCCCTCTATGGTTACCACATATCCTTCCCCCCATGAATCTGACATTACACTTCCACGGCGGGGCTCTGCGTCTCCTTTGATGCCCTCCAATAACCCCTCTACGGCTGGAGATTCACCCCTCTCAACGGCCTCGACTCTTGTCGCATCTCATGCCGGCACATACCACCAATCACCTCCAGGGAGTGTAATCTCATTCCCTGAAAACGAGAGGAAACCAAAGCCCCGCTACGTCCCTTCCCATTTTGGACTCCATACAAAGATGGATAGTATGGATAGAAAGCTTTTTAACTTTTGTAAGTTTCATCTGACCAGTCTCTACCGAAACTTTTGCTGACTAAATCAATTCAGATATCCGCAACTGGTGTCCCGGGAGAAGTGTCCTCAGAAAAACTAATCTCTGGTTGACCGACTTTGCAAGAATGCATGACAATGGTGGTGTGCTGGCTGCCATGCAGTCCCTCGCCGGTATTTATATTCATGACTATCTGCCTCATGATTCTGTACGGCGCCGCATCAACGAAAGATTCGCCGTAGCCGAAGCTCGGCTCAGCTACCTGCTCCAAGATCCCCAGAAGCTCGACGAGCGCGAAGCAAACGAGTTAATTACCTTGGCCTCGGTACTCTCGATGCAGGACATTGTTCTCACGGAACGCAGGCTTCAGAAGCCCTACCACCCCCGTTGGCTGACGGGATTCAAACATGCAGAAACTGTGCTGCAGCTTACAGATCCTGGCAATCGCTTTTACAAAGAATCGAATGTTCAGGTTGATGCTCTACGTCTGTCGCAATCAGTTATTGTTGGGAGAGCAGTCATTCTGGCTCAGCCCATGATGCCCCTCCCATCCCTCACCACTTTCGACCCCGTCGCTGAAACATCCAGATTTGGCTTTCTGTTATACGGCTCCGAACAGGAAATGTTTGAAATACATGGTGGCTGTGGTTTCTCGAAGCGTCTACTTCACATCTTCAGCCAGGTGGCCTATTGTTCAACCCGCATGCTTCAGGATGGCGAGACACCCATAGTCCCTGTGACAGCCGAACTGTTGTACAACCAGCTTCAAACTATGAATCAGTGGAGTGCTGAGTATAGTAGTTGGGAAACCGCACAGTACCAGAAACAGCAGCCGATTGAATGGATTCGTGAAAAGGATGAGACATATGTTGTCCGAGAAGCCGCAGAGATGACGGAAGTGACGGCGGAGGCTTGGAGACTGGCTGGGATGGTCTATCTACAGTGCCGGCTTCTCAGGTATGGAATCATGTTCTTGGTCGTCTTACGTACAAGTGAGCCAACTAACCCTTTCTAGACTTCCTCGAAATCACCCCGAGGTGATTGCTAACATCGATGACTTGGCCAAGAGTATTTCTATCATGCCAACATCGGGAAGGGTGTTCACAGCCCAGGCTCCGTTGCTGCCAGTCTTTCTCCTCGGTCTGCTGGCCACTGTGCCTGACCACGTCGAAGTCGCCCACACTTGGTTCCAATCGGTCATTCGCACACCGGTTCGCAGTGTAAGTTGAAATAGTTCACAAGAGTCAACTGTTTTATTCAATGGCAGTCGCTAATTCAAACTCCTGCGGCAGAGCGTGCCGCCACTCTATAAAACTCTGCAACGTATTCAGAGTTGGATGGGAATTGAAGTCCCAGTGCCTGCACCAAACGTGGAATTGCCCCGTACAATTGCCGAGAGACAGCCCTGGTGGGAGCGCATGGTGTCCAAGGTTCAGGAAAAGGAGAGCGAGGTCCTTTGCCTGACATGAGAGACTGTGCACGCACATAGCGCGGCACAGCTCTGGTCTATGAAATGGAAAACTGCCGCCCGTCTATGATTACCACTCAATCAATACATGATACAAACCGGCGACCAACAGTCAAGTGGGAAGACACCCGATCAAAGGAGGGATTTTGTGCATTGGCTTAGAAGCCAGAAATGGCGCTGTCGTGGTCCTCCAAATTGTCGCGTTCGTCTTTAAGACGCACGAGATACTGGCCTGAATCACTCAGTTAGCCTCGCTGCACTTGATTCTTCGACTGTTGGAAAAGACGGAATAACGTACGGAAGTCAGAGCCTGGTGGCGCCCAAGACTTGATGACCGTCAGGCCAGCCTTGCCGCACATGAGGCGGACATCTTGCTCGCCATACTTGTGGGAGTCAAACCAGTCAATTTCCTGGCCTTTGGAAATGACGCTGTTGTCGTCCCGCAGCGGGATGTCCTTCTTGGCACGTAGGAAGAAGCGATGGCGGGTTGTTGGCTTCTCCTCCAGCTCGGCCAGGAAATCCCAATCCTGCTCGTCAAATAGCTTGTATCCCAGAATCTTGTTTGCGTTGTTCAAACCGTTGTTGAAGAACTCGCGGAAGAGTTCGTCGCAGGAATGATAGGCAGCCCAGATTTTCTCCCTCTGATCAGCAACCAGATGGCCGTCCATGCCAATGAGCATCTTATCCTCGGACCGAAGAACGGATGCCCAGCTTCTCAGGTGGCTCAGAGCTGCGGGCCAAGGGTCGTTACACAGCACAGAGCCGAGGGATAGAAACAGACGAGGCGTCGTTATCTTGCCAACGTGGACAAGGCCGTCCTGAAATGTGCCCCAGAGACCGCCACACTTGACAACGGAGTCAGGTCCGGAGTGGTTCGCGTACAGGCTCGCTATGCTCTGGTCTAGCGAGGTTTTTGAGATGTCGAGAGCTAGGTACGTAGCAGGGAGTTTCTTGGATTCGAAGGCGGCAAGAAAGTGGTCAACCTTTGTTGTATCGCTGGACGACGGAAACACGATCTCATGTTAGCAGGCTAGGCGAAGAATACTAAACTAATTGATGGGAAACAGCGTCCACTCACCCGGAACCCAAGTCGATCATGGTTATATCCTTGGGGATGTGACTGATAATTTCGTCGCTGTTGATGTCGAAGAGGGCAGTCTCGTCATGGGTCTGGTAGAACTCGGGAATGGAGATGATGTCATTCCAGATGAGCAGGCCCTTGTCGTCATAGAGCAGCTCATCGGGCAAGGTTGGGGGGGTGTCCTTGTCCCCTGACAGGGCGATTGCGGCGAGCGTCTCGTTGAGCTTGTCAGTGCAGAGGCCCTTGAGGGAGCTTCCACCAATGTTGAGGATCTGACCGTGTTCCGGAGTGGCGGCGAAGGAGGCCTTGGACACCGGGATGGGCAGATTGTGCTCCTGGGTACGTGAAGGCATGATGATGATGATGATGATGATGGTGATGGATTGGCTTTGGAGGGGAGAGGTGGTTTTAAGACGATAAGGGCTGCCAATGCAAAACGCGAAGAAAGATGAGAGGAGTCTGCAGCTGGATTGTTCTGGCTATGCAGATATCGCTGTGTCGTACAGACGAGAGGAAGAAGGAGGAAGGAATTGGATTGCTTTTTATATCCTGGCTTGCGCCTTTTGGAACTGGATGTATCCACGGGAAAGAGACGAGTTGTTTGTACAAATGGACCTACTTCTCGTGGGTCGTTTTGGATGGGAACCGGATAACGCCTTGTGGGTGTATGTTTGCTGGGTATCGCGGTGCAGAAGCAGTGACGAAAAAGACAGGCAGGTAAGAGATGGTTACAAGGCGCCTAGGCCTGTCGGTCGAAGCAATCCTCCTCCGTCGGCTATCTCTCTCCCCATCTCCCTCCCCTCTCTCACTATGATTTTCTCCCACTCTTTCTCCCTGTCTGCTTTGTCTCAGAACAGGCGTCGATTGATGCAAAACCAGCCTGAGATTTGAGTCTGGGATTGAGGCAATTGAATGAATGAATGGAAGAAGGCGGTAAGAGGTCAAGATGCCGGAAAAAACCTTTCATCTGGAGGAAGAGAGAGGAGGATGTTGTTGGCGGCGGCGGCAGCGGCGGCGGTGGCTTGACGACGGACGGCGACAGGCAGACGGGGACGGACGAGACCGAGGGTGGGCAAGCAAACAAATCGGCAAGGAGGGAAAAAAAAGAGAAAAAGAAAAGATGTGGGATGAGAAGGGGGGCGCAGGAGAAGCCCGATCCAGAAAACGGAAATGCAATCTCGCAGAAAAATCGAATTGTGGTCGGCGTCCTCCTTTACTGGGGATGGTATGGATGGTTGGATGTTTGGCTATGGCTTCTCCGTCATGCGCCGTGGGCACCGCGAATGCGGCGGCGGCGACGGCGACGGCGGGCGGCGCGGCCAGCCAAACGATTGGACTGCTCTGTTGTTGACCCCTGGTGGAGAGGGACAGAGAGAGCATGGGTATCTTTTTTTTTTCCCCTTTTCTTTTGTTCCCTTTTGTGTTACTTGACAGGGACAAGGGCTGGCTGGTCCGCCTCCGGTGAGAGCGCGCGTGGTTGATTAACAGAAGAAAGCTCCCCGAGGACGAGTGCCGTGTTTCGAATCGAAGACGCCGCGTGGGACCCTGATGATGAGATTCGGGGAACAAGACGGCCGAGACCAGACCAGAGAGACGGAGGAGAGGAGAGGATCGACGACGACAACGACGACGACGACGACGAGGAGGAGACAAAGGTTTGGTGGCGGATAGGAAAGCGAACAATGTAAAACTACCCAGGATAGAATCTGTACTTATAAAAATGACAGCGCGCCCATTTCCAATTTCACCTTTGGACCAGTCATAATAAAATAAAATAAGATAAACTAAATAGAATTAAATAGAATTAAAATACCCTTTTTCCCCATGCTTTCTTCAACACTACTACCTTAGCCTACCTACTTATCAAGTAAGACCGGGTCTTGGATCGCAGGACCTTGACACCAGCCGGCCGGGCTGGGTGTCTGGTGGCGGAATCCATTCACGCTGCCTTCTTTTTAATTCCGCCCCAGCCGCAAACGAGGCAAGCCCGTTGTAAATCAAGCCTGGTCTCATGCACGGTGAGCAACGCCGCGCGCCCGGGGGGCCTGGGGGCGTGTTTGGTGAATGTGTGTACGTACAATACGTGCATATGAATGAGCACCTTGGTACATACATCGTTCATACAAGTCGTCCGCGAGTTATGAAACTACGAACTAACTAGTAGGCTGGTTATCGGGGTGTGCCATGGGAGAAGGCTGCTGTTATTATTTAGTTAGCTAACTAATAACTTTAGGGG